GCTTCTTCCTGACTTCTCTGTGCCCAGGTATTTCCCTTTAGTCAGAAGGGGGCAACCTGCATGCAGGTTGGTAGACTTGGAAACCGACCTTTCTTTGCAACCTGACCTTCTGAATCCTGACCCTTGGAAGGAGCTGCTCGGAGAGAAGATAGGAATTTCTCTGCTGCCATGACTCACTTGTTCCTCAGTTTCCCTGATGTGCAATCCGGAAAAAGATGGGCTGAAGAGAGAAAGGCTAATGAGCTGCTGGCCCACCATGAATTTTGCAGCTGAGATGAGAAGGACCAGCTGCCACGTCCCTCCCTGCTCTCCCCCACCCTTTTAATGTTGGCCCCCAGTTCCTACTGACCCATGCAGGATTGAGGTTGATGGCCTGCCGAGATGAAAGTCTGCCCTGCCCCACTGCTAATCTGCCCCCACTGTTGGCTCCGGCCATGCTTTGAAAGTGGTGGTGGGTGTCCTTTGTGAGCGAAGATGGGCCGGAGGAAGAAGGAACAAAAGCTGCAAGAAATGTGGGGCGAAGGGAGGGAAATGGTGGGGCGAGGAGTCCATTTTGCTATGCAGGTCCCCCCTCTCTGATTTTAATATCTCTTTCCCAGCACTGCAAGTTAGAAATGGACCCTGTTTTTAGTGGGAGAGCCTTTACTGGCATTTAGGTCTAAGCCACCTGCCTAGGTGCTGACGGTTGTAGAACTGGGGTGCCCAACCTGGGCAAATTTAAGACCAGTGGACTCCAACTCTGCATCCAGTTTTGATCACCACAATATAAAAAAGACGTTGAGACTCTGGAAAGAGTGCAGAAAAGAGCAAGAAAGATGATTAGGGGGCTGGAGACTTAAGACCTGTGAAGAATGGTTGCAGGAATTGGGTATGTCTAGTCTAGTCTTGTGAAAAGAAGGACTGGGGGAGACATGATAGCACCCTTCCAGGATTTGAGAGATTGTCACAATGAAGGGGGCAAAATATTCTCCAGGGCACCAGAGGGCAGGACAAGAAACAATGGATGGAAACTAGTCAACCTGGAATTAAGGAGAAACTTCCTAATGGTGAGAACAATTAACCAGTGGCACGGGTTGCCTTTAGGAATTGTGGGTGCCCCATCACTGGAGGTTTAAAAAAAAAAACTGGACAGCCACTTGTCTGAAATCGTGTAGAGTAGACTTTCCTGTTTGTGTAGGGAGTTGGACTAGATGACCTCCAAGATCCCTTCCACCTCTGTTATTCTATGTTCTATTCTATGTTCTAACTCCCAGAATTCCCCAGACAGCCACAAGTCTCAAAGTTGCCAAGATTGGGCATGCTGGCTGGGGAATTCTGAGAGTTGAAGTCCACAAGTCTTAAAGTTGGCCAAGGTTGGACAACCCCAGTTGTAGAAAATGGAAAGGGCTTAGGTGTGATGGCCTGGAATTTATATTTGCAAAAATGGGGCAATTTTAGATGTTTCCTTTTCTCCATTGGCTTGTGGGATCCACACTCACCACTCATTTTGTACAGCAGGGTCTCTAAACCTGGCAGTTTTAAGACTTGTAGACTCCCAGAATTCCTCAGCCAGCCCGGGAGTCTTAAAGTCAGCTAGTTTTTTGTAGAATGTACAGCTCACTAGTTTCCTTTTAATTTCTCAATCCCAGTTTACTGGGTGGACTTCATCTCCCAGAATTCTCCTTCCTGGCTGGGGGCCTCTGGGAAGCCACAAGCTTAAAATTGCTGCAGTTGAGAACCCCTGTTCTAATCAGAGGCACCAAGATGAGTCATACCGTTTTCCTCCCTCTGTGTTTTTTCTTTTTCTAGTCAACTTGCGTGATTAAGAATTCTTGGAAATTCAAAAGCTCGCAACGGTTTCATATGCTTCCGTTTGTTATTCTATCTATGGATTATGTAGTTTATTTTTCTCTTAACCACAGGGTGACTCATCCTTGTTTACAAAAATAAAAGGGTCTCTTTATCCTTCTTCAGCATTTAATAGCTGGTCTTCTCCCCTCACTCTCATCCTACAACGTGTTGGGCTAATTTGGAAATTAGTTTTTTCTAGGAAAGCCTAAAGCAGGGGTAGGCAACCTTGGCTCTTTTATGACTCGTGGACTTCAACTCCCAGAATTCCTGAGCCAGGAATTGTGTTAGTAACCATTGTGTTACTAACTTGACTGCAGTGATTCATTTAACAACTGTGGCAAAAAAGGTCATAAAATGGGGCTCTCTTAACAAGTGTCTTGTTTAGCTCAGCTGTGGTTGTAAGTAGAGGACAAGCCATATAATGCAATGTTTCCCAATAGATCTGGAATTTCTGTTTGAGAGCATCCTGAGGTACAGGGCTGTCAAAAAAGTGAGGGTGGTGAAGATTGTGTTGTGACTGTATAATCACAGCTTTTATCTTTATCTGTGTGGAACAACTTTGTTTTTACAGTCGTGGTTGCCACCTTGACTGTTTTGATAGCCACAGATGTACCGTCTTCATCACACAACTTTCTTAATCAACAGATGCACATCCTGCCCTAGCCAGGAAAGCCAGCTGGGTGACTTGGTTTAATATGGTAATTAAATAGCATTTGAAAGCAGGAGACTGTGACTTTTAGCCCCTCTTAGGCACAGAAACTGGCCAGGTGACTTTGGGCCAGTCCCTCTTTCTCAGGTCAATCCACCTTGCAGGGTTGATGTTATGGAGAAGATAGCAGGAGGAAGGAATGTTGGATATGTTCACCCCTCAAGTTATTTGTCAAAACCATTTATTTATTAAATATATATGGCTCTCATTTCCCCAACAGGGCGAACAATAAAGGGAGGATAAAACATTTAATGAATAAATAAATACATACCACTAAGTCAAAACATGGTTTCTTTCATTTTGGCTTAATAGCTGGTGTGTAAGCAGCCATTGTGATTTTCTGGCTTAGCGGGGTTGATGAGACAACCTGCCCTGATTTATGTAACATCACAGTTAAGTAACAGGGTCATCAGTGACTGTTCTAAGCCCAGAGACGCTAAAACTGCCAATGTGCATTGTGACCCAAGTGCTATCCTTTGGCTCCTACATCGGGATGTTATTTATAAAAAATGATGTATTTATACAAACAATAATGTTCTGCAGATGCTTCCCTCATCCTGAATATTCATTAAGTATTTGACATTCTATATTTGATGAGTGGTAATGCTTGGTTTCACTGGAAGACATTTGGTTATGAGACAACTGAGACGACAAGACTGAGTTTTGACCATTAGCACGTCAGACTTGACAAGGTTTTAGTACTTGACAGTTGGCGGCTGGGACTTTCAGTTGGGATAGCTGCCAGGAGTAAAGCAGGAGAAGCCCTGGTGTTCTGAACCAAGTATCTCAACCTTAGCAACTTTAAGATGTGTGGACTTCAACTCCTATGGCTGGCTGAGGAATTCTGGGAGTTGAAGTCCACACACCTTAAAGCATGTTGACTGGGCTATTTGGGGAGTAGATGTCTACACACCTTAGTTGCCAAGGTTAAGAAGGTTGTTTAAATATTTTAAAATGCTAAGGTTCTCCCTCCCTCCCTCCCTTCATCATTCCTCCTTTCCTTCCTTCCTTCCTTCCTTCCTTCCTTCCTTCCTTCCTTCCTTCCTTCCTTCCTTCCTTCCTTCCTTCCTTCCTTCCTTCCCTACCTCCCTCTCATTAAAAATCCAGATAATCACCCTTTGAAATTGCTCAAAATTTTTAAACATTTATCAGCATTACACACGCACACACAATAGATGGAGCTTTGGTTGACCACACCCTGTTGACTTTGTTGACCACACCCTGCAGATGGTCCTGATGAGGATATACCTGGTTCTCTGAATGGAGAGCAAGGTCTGCTTCTCCTGCCCACCTCTTCTTTGCACCCTGATTCAAAGCCTCGCACCGGTGCTCCTCCTAGGTGCGTGTGGTGTAGGCGAGCCCATTTCAAGAGAAGAGCCTTCTGCACTGGCTGTGGGCCTCAAGAATGTTGAGGAGAGGCAGTTGGTTGAGCCCTGTCTAGGAGGGAAGGATGTGGGGTGAATTTCTCACCATTCAGGAAACCGCTTAGAAAGTGAAAGTGGAACCCTGCAGGCTTGCCCGTCTTCCAGGATGCGCCACTGCCTGCGCGGATGCCTATCTCCAAACAAGACACTAGTGAACAATGTGCATCGAAACAGTGCGATCCGGCAGCTGGACTGGCAATATTTCAGCCAGGGTGCATTTTGAATCTTGTGTGCAGGATTCTGGTTGGAAAGTCCCAACTTGAGTGGTGTGAAATTTCTGTCTGGTGTACCAGGATGTCATAATTGACAGCCAACAAGGGCAGATTCATGCAGTGTTGTTGCACAGTTGGAACAATTAAAACAGTGGAACAGCTTGCCTCCAGAAGTTGCAAGCGCTCCACTGCTGGAGGTTTTCAACAAGAGGCTGGCAGAGCTTGTGATGAGGGCAGAAGATGGTCATCTTTCTGGAGTTCAGTGGGTGAGAGAACTCTGTGTTCCCGTGACTTTGCAAACAGGAGCACCCATCACAAGCATATTGAACCTGCCAACTTATAGATTTTAACACACACACACACACACACACACACACACACACACACCCCGCTGTGGAAATCCTAGTTTGCAGAAGTTTGAATGAGGAAGAAAGTGTCATTGTTTCATGCTTCTTTTTTGTAATTCAGATAATGATGAGTGAATGAGTATATGGGTGAGGAACGCCTTCAGTTGCGTAGCTAGCAAATGATTTGAGACCTTGGCTGTGGTTGGCCCTCTCTACTCCAGAGAGGACTGGCTTTTCAGGATCCTAATAGAGGATCTTCCCTTCCCTTGACATCTGGTTCTGTTCGAGAGGGGACCTCAAAGTGGACGATGGGGACAAGCAAGAGCACTTCTACAAAATGGTGGCCTTTCCCCAACGGATCAGAGAAGGGCCCAAATAGGGAGCTGATCACTGATTGGAGGTCTGGGCTGGAGACCAGAGGTGGCGACTCCTGTGTTCCACATCTTTGATGTTCAGGGGCCTTCTTGTCTTTATGCAGCACCCAGTCTTAAAGGCAAACGGAAAAAGAAGAGCGTTCCCATGGCTGACAGTGAATTCCAGGAGATGCCAGGTGTGACCCCAGAGGAGGAGCATCAGGACAACCTGGAGAAGCTGGAACAAGTGGTGAGTATGAAGAACAGAGCTATGGTAATTTTTAACTGTAATAAACCAAATGGAAAGTCAAAAAAATATAATCTCCTTGGCTGAGTTCACCTGTGAGATTAAGACCTAAGATGGTTTATTTCATTCAGATGTAGCGTGTTGTATGAAGTTAGCCATGGTGGCTGAGTTAGCTTACTGTTGTTTAAACAAACCATGATTTAGTGTAGCACGAACCTTTGCAATGTGGTTATTTAAGGGTAGCGTGTCTCAGTTTCAGCAACTTTAAGATGTGTAGACTTCAACCCCCAGAAATCCCTAGCATAGTGACTAGGGAATTGTGGAAGCTGAAGTCCACACATCTCAAACTTGTTGAGGCTGAGAAATGCCAAACCAGGGGTCTTCAAACTTGGCCCTTTTATGACTTGTGGACTTCAACTCCCAGAATTCCTCAGCCAGGCATGCTAGTTGTTGGTTTAAATTGCTTTGTTTTTATGCTTATAAATATTTCTAGAGGTATCTTTATGCTTACAAAAAGACTTCGGGAATAGGAGGCCCAGAAGCAAAATGAATAAATAAATCAAAATGTTGTACTTCATCTTTTTGAGTTTAGGTAGAAGAATATGCAATAATTAAGTGTTGGTAATTCCTAGTAGTGTATGCAAATTTGTGACACTGCCATTTTTTTTCCTATTTAGAAATAACTGAATTGATAGTGGGGTTTTTTGGTTGTTTTGAACAAGATATAAAATTTATCTGAGAAATGGAGGAAAAAAAATTGATTTTCAAATAAGAGTGAAATTCAGAAAGAAATTGAAAATGCAAGGGCCTTGCATGTTGCGTGTTGTGCACTGAAACTTGAAATGAGTTTTCTGTTGCCAAGAAATCATTCTTTTTCCTGAGAAACGGTTTTTGTACTGGAGGAACTCTTCATTTCCTCTCTTACCACGTTGGTCTCTGCAGCAAATCTGCAGTTAATGAGTCGGCCTTTGGAAACGGCTTAGCTCATTTCATTCATTTCAATTCAGCTGGCACAGATTTCCAATGAAATGAAGTTTCAAATCAACAGAAGCAGATACCCAGATTCAGCCCTGGAGGCACCTCGATAAAGGGGCTCCAAAAAATGTGATCAAAATCCTGTTCTATATTATCTGTACCACAAAGTAAAAAAGGCTGGCGCTTTGATCTCCTCGTTGTGACCACCATTTTGACTTTTCTGGCCTCTCTCTCCTGTGGAAGAATGGCGATTAAGATGGGTGACTTTTAATAACCACAACCAAACAGTTCACGCAGATGCAGCAAAACACTTCTGGGAATGCAGTTGCCCCCCAAAATATGGAGCCAGCCACCTGAATAGAATCAGGACAGGCCGTGCCAGAACGAAGGCAAAGCTCTTTCAGTGGGGAACGGCTGAGAGCCCACAATGCTGCTGCTATGCTCTGGAACAAACTATAATACATATAATTCAGGAATGTCCCCTGGTGGCACCGTGATTAGAATGGAGTATTGCAAGCTAACTCTGTCCACAGCCAGGTGTTCGATCCTGATGGGGCTCGAGATTGACTCAGCCTTCCATCCTCCGGAGGTCGGTAAAATGAGGACCCAAATCGTTGTGGGAGCAATATGCTGACTTTGTAAACTGCTTAGAGATGACTGAAGAGCTCTATGAAGCGGTATATAAGTCTGCATACTATTGCTATTTCTACGGACCGACTCTGCTGTACAGAATCTGGGCGAGCCACAGGCTCATCTCATCGAGAGGGAAAATCTGTCCTTGAAAGTGTATTTTGATTTCCCTGCTTTGGGGGAGGCTGCCTTTAAAAAGAGAACCAGTCCCATAAATAGCCTGGCAGCTAAAATAATCCTCTTGTGAATGGCGAAAAGAATAGAGCGAAGCAGAACCGGTGAGAACGAAGCAGCTGCCTTCCCTCTTTCCCTCCCTCCCCCGCCCCAAAATAGCAAGTTTTCTAACTCCTGGAAAATTTAGAACAAACAAATGCAAAGCATTTTTAGCTGAGGGAGCGAGGGAGGGCGTGTGAGAGCGAGAATTGGTGTCGCTGTGTTTTCCTGGAAACAGCCTCTTGTGTTCTCACACATCTCAGCACTCTGACCAAGTTGGACGGCTGCCTGCCCGGCTGTAAGCAGAAGACGCTCTGTGCTGAACGAACGAGCTGGTTAAGCTTTGGAGCTCTTCAGTTGCCTCCCACCACAAAACAGGTCTTTGGGGTGGGGGGGAGGAACAGCTGTGCTGTGGGGGGGCACAGAGGAGGAGAAATGGATCGATTCAGGACTCGTCCTTGTGTTGAGGAAGGGGCGCCCAGCTTGGCCTGAGAAACGCCCCTTCCTTCTTCCCTCCTGCTCCTCTTTCCCCTCCCAGGATTGGCAGCCACGAAGCTGCCATCCAACAATCCCAAAATCAGGGCTGAAGAGGAACCACGCACTTTGATAATTTTCTTTAAAGGGGATTGATCGCTCCATGAAGGTAGTCCTCAACTTACAACAGTTCATTTAGTGACCGTTCAAAGTTACGGCGGCAGGGAAAAAATGGACTCACGACCGTTTTTCACACTTACAACCGTTTGTAGCATCCCCACGGTCACATGATCAAAATTCAGATGCTTGGCAACTGACTCATATTGCAGCGTCCCCAGGACATGGGATCATCTTTTGCCACCTTCTGACAAGCACACTCAGCGGGAAAGCCAGATTCACTCAACAACTGTGTTCCCAATTTAACGACTGCAGCGGCAAGCAAGGTTGTAAAATGGGGCCAAGCATACTTCATAACTGTCTTGCTTAGCAATGGAAATTTTGGGCTCAATTGTGGATGTATGTTGAGGACAACCTGTATTTTGATGATACGTATTGCTGCTAAATTTTAATGGGGTGGAGGGGTTTGGGGAAATCATGTTTTCCCTCTTTTGAAAATACTTTGGTTGTAGCCAACCAAATCTGTACAATGTAGCTGAGGTTGACATTGCCCAGCAGTTTATGGGTGTGTCTGTCTGTCTGTCTGTCTGTCTGTCTCTCTCTCTCTCTCTCTCTCTGTGTGTGTGTGTGTGTGTGTGTGTGTGTGTGTGTGTATACACATGGATACTCTAGGAACAAACTGAAGGTCTTAGAAAGCTTGCAGAAGTTTCAAGTCATTCAGGGTAGGTAGCAGAGGTCAAGAATGCAGTTGGGGGCTGTCGAATCAAAGTGCCTGCCCTCTTGATTTTTTTTCGGTCCCTCCCCATGGACACCCTGGCTGAAGTTCTGAATCCCTCTCCCCATTCAAATGGCTCTAAGTCCAGCTCATTTCTGAAGGGTGGACTCCAAAATGCTACACCAAGCCAAAGGGGATTCACACATTTCTGCACTTGTTAGACACGTGTTGGAGCAGAGCCAAGTGGTTCTCAGATTGCGTTAAATTGTTTGTGATGAAGGGGATTTCTGCATTGGGTAGGAGGTTGGACTAGGTGACGTCTAAGGTCCTAGGAGCCGTGGTGGCACAGTGGTGAGACTGCAGTATTGCAGGCTAACTCTGCCCACTGCCAGGGGTTCGATCCTGACCGGCTCAAGGTTGACTCAACCTTCCATTCTTCTGAGGTGGTGGGTAAAATGAGGACCCGGATGGTTGGGGGCAACAGGCTGAATCTGAAAACCGCTTAGAGAGGCTGTAAAGCACTATGAAGCGATATATGTCTAAGTGCTGTTGCTATTTTCAACGGCTGTATCCTCTGCAACCTGGTTTGTTGAGCAATTTACAGTTGGCTGGCTTCTCAGAACATACTAGGACAGGAGTACATTAAGTTCAGATGGTTGCTCCAGCCTTTAAATAGCAGGTTGAGGATGGATGCGTCAGAAATGGTCACGGTCTAAAGCCCAAATGGGTGGAGGCTGTTCAGAAGTTGTAAGAAGTAATGTGAAAGCAAATGCTTAAGCCAAGGAACAGCTCGTTGGCTTCCAGTCGTCTCCGTTGTTAATCAACCAAGAATGGCTGCGTGTTTCCAGCAAGCTAAACCAAAGCACACAGGAGGAGATACAGTCACGCCGATCTATGTGAAGCCGAAGAAAAAGAACATGGCTTGTGGACTTTGCTCAACTTCTGTTATAACTCTTGCTTTTCTCTCCTGGGAACAGTGCGCCTCGTTGTTCCTGGATCCCGCTAATTGACGCCAGGGTTGGAGGTCATGAATTCTGGAGCTCCGGCTTCTGCAGCTGTTCCAAAGCAAAACAGGGTCCCATCTGTTTTCTGTTTCCACTAGAGCAAATGATTTGGGTCTCGGAAGAAGCCAATTTAAAAAGAAGAAAGGAACTGGATTACAAACCAGCCCTTTGAAGCTGTTTGGGTTATAAAATGATTTTTGGCATTGGATCACGCTTGGAGTACGGCTATGGGGGCAGAGCCGTATCTGAGTGACAGAGCATCTGCTTTGCATGAAGTCTGTCCCAACTTCACTCATCAGGCGTCTCTCTTGGTTTTGGGGGCTAGAAAATTCCAAAATGCTAAATCAACTTGTCAGTAGGATTTGTCCTGAGAGCATCCTATATCCTTGGTCACTGAGGAAGGCTCTGAAGCCAAGAACATCTTGCTGTGTGGCTACAAACAATAGAAAGAAGGCACTAGACAAGCATTGGTCTAAAATGGTAATATGGTCTCCTGCCTTGAGCAGGGATTGGACTACAAGACCTGCAAGGTCCCTCCAGCCCTAGGATTCTATGTTCTGCAATGTCAGTCCTTTTTAATGGAAAGCCAATGTTTTACTGAAATGTCGTTTACATTTTACAAAACATGTTGCCTGACAGGTTGCTGGTTCCCAGTCTTAAACTTGGTATGAAGCAGATTTCTGCTCCTCTTCCAAAGACTCCTTTCCCCAACCAGGCTGCTGATTCCCGCCCCCCCCCCCAGTCCCAGCCAAAAAACTGTGATATGGTTTCCCTCAAGTTTTAAATGAGAAATAGAAAAAAAAATAACTGCTTTGAGCCCTGCAACTAAGCTGAAACCTTAGTTGACCCTACTTTGCATCTTTACTGGACTTCCTGTAATCCTTCTGCCAGAACAATTTTTTTAAATGCAATTCATCAAAAGTTGTCCATTCCTATCCCCTGTTTTGTACTTCATTTCGTTGGCCCTAATTAAAATATTATTCAGCTGGGAACCTGGAATTTCTGTTTCTCCATAGTGCAATCTCACTTTCACTCCCCAAGGTTCAAGTTTCACCAAGGCTCTTGGGAACTCAAGTGTGCCTGCAGAGTTGAAGGTCTCCAGTGCTCTTGGATTACAAGGATGACATTCTGGTTTTACTATTGCTTCATTATTAATATTGGTTTTCACGAAGATGAAAGTGTAAAGGAATTTGGTCAGTGGAAAAATAATGAATCATGCAAGCTGCCTGTTTTAATTGCAAATGAGACAAATAGAAATCTTTTGCAATTCCCCCTTCAGAATAATCAAAACCTCCTGACTGGGTTTCAGTATCTTTAAAAAAAAAACAGTATTATTCTAAAGGAATTGCAAAAAGAAGGTGGAATACTTGGAGATTTGTTTGTAGACATTGTAAATAGTCCTTGACTTAGAACCATTTGTTTAGTGTCTGTTCAAAGTTACAGTGACACAATGAAAAAAAGTGACTTATGATCGTTTTTCACACTTATATGACCGTTGCAGCACCCCCAGGGTCACGTGATCAAAATGTGGACGCCTGGCAATTGGCTCATATTTATGACGGTTGCCGTGTCCCGGGGTCATGTGATCACATTTTTGTGACCTTCTGACAAGCAAAGTCAATGGAATTAAGTTGAGAAAGGCTTCTCTCATGTTAGATAGAAAAATGGTCTTTCCCAGCTCTGCAGTCTGGGGTTGTTTTAAGCAGTACTGTGAGAAAATAAGTAGCGATCTTTCGGAAAAGGTGAATCTTGGTGAGTCTTTCTGGAGGCTCCATCCATTGCGTTGTGGGCAGAACTTGGGGCCAGGAGGAGATGAGATGCTGTTGAGCATCCTCAATTTCTCACTGTCCCTTCTTGTCTTCTCTCTGGTGGTTAGTAAACAATTGCCTCTGACTGATTGCCCTTCCTCGCTCAGGTATCTCCAGCTGTCAAGCAGGATGAAGCTGAGCAGAAACCTCTTGAAGAGGATTCTGGAGATGAGGAGATGCTGAGCAGTGAGAAGGAAGAGGAGCAGACGTTCCTGGTCAACCTCTACAAGTTCATGAAAGAGCGTCATACGCCAATTGAGAGGGTGCCTCATCTTGGCTTTAAGCAAAGTATGTTCTTGGCTGCCTTTTCCAAAAGTGTGTGTGTGTGTGTGTGTGTGTGTGTGTGTGTGTGTGTGTGTGTAAAAATACTGTAATAAAAATTTCTAAACTTGGAGCATGGTGTGCACAATATGAAAGAGATCAAAAGAAACACTTGCTAAATATGTGAGGATACACTGCAGAATCTATAAGATTTGTCTGTCTGTCATCATCTTTTGGACTCCCCATCAACAATTAGCTATTTGAAGCATAAACTAATCAGTTGTGATAAATACTGTAGAAGCAATGCCGATTTTCAACAAGTGGGGCTGCATCAGTACCCATTTCTCAATTCTACAGAGTAAAGGCTTTCAGGACAGGTTTTTATACCACTCCAGGCAGTTCACAAATGAAAAGTTTTAGCTCAAGCCATACATTATCTCTTACTTCTCTGATTTTTGGCTGTTATCTGATCTTTCTCTCTCTCTTTTTCTCTTTTCTTTTTAATAGTTAATCTGTTTAAAATCTACAAAGCTGTGGAAAAACTTGGCGCCTATGAACTGGTAAGAGAAAATCAAATTCACTGCTTGGAAAAGTGGGGGTGAAATATCTTGAGGAATTCCTGGCAGAGCAGGACATGATTCTTAAGTCCTCAACTTATGACTGCTTGCTTACTGACTGTTCAAAGTTACAACCGATCCCGTAAAAAGGACTTAGGACCCGGATTTGGCATCCTCTGCTATTTCAGCTCACCTGTCCACTGACCTTAGTGGACAGTGATCTGGAAATATCCTCTCAACGTGTTTAAATCATAAATTTAAATCTTAGGTTTAAATCTTAAGGACCACAAAAAACAGGGTGGCAAAGTAAACTATTCCAAAAGAAGAGCAAAAATTGAGGTGCTAGAAAGTGCGCAGAGAAGAGCAACAAAGACGATGAGCAATCTGGAAGTTACAATGATGAACAGTTGCAGGAACTGGGTATGTCTAGCCCAGGGGTCTTCAAACTTGGCCCTTTTATGACTTGTGGACTTCAACTCCCAGAATTCCTCAGCCAGCCTCCATTTTGTTTGTTAGATTTAAGACAGGGGTCTTCAAACTTGGCCCTTTGATGACTTGCGGACTTCAACTCCCAGAATTCCTCAGCCAGGCACGCGGGTTGAAGTCCATAAGTCATAAAAGGGCCAAGTTTGAAGACCCCTGTTGTACATGTTAAAGTAAATTCCATTGGACAAGTCCATGAGGGCACAGGGAGTCAAGCTTGGCTGAGGGAGAGAAACCTCAGCTGACTGGTCCCTACTTGGCTATGGCTGATCGAAAAACCTGATTTGCATTGGATCTCGCTAGGACTTGAAAAGGAGACTACCAAGAAATCCCAGGAGAGCAGACCAGACTAGAAAGCGAAAAAGAACTGAGAATGACTTTTATTTCACCTTTATTTCAGGTCACCGGAAGACGTCTTTGGAAAAATGTTTACGACATGTTGGGAGGCAGCCCAGGAAGTACCAGTGCTGCCACTTGCACCCGGCGACATTACGAGAGGTATTGCTCACATCCGCCCCCTTTTCTTACAAGAGGAAGCGCGCCCAGACGTATTAGCTGTAACTTTATTGGAAGGTTACATTAACAAAATCTTACATCTCTTTCCCCTCACTTTTACATCCATTGAAGAAACTAGGGAGGATCCCTTTCTGAGACGTTTGCCACATCCCGATTCCTTCGGCAGACTCAGCTCCCCCTTCTCTTTTTTTTTGGTCTATGTCTCTTCCTTCTGTCCCCCAAGGCCTTTCTCACTGACCATTCCAGGTGCTGGTCTCAGTGGCTTAAGGGCTGGCAAGTTGAAGAAAGGATGTCATCTCCATCCTTTCCACAACCAGCAAGGTCTTCATAAAATCCTATTGGTGTGAACTTTCAGGGGAGAGGGGGAAAAAAAGACTTTCTGATGCATTCTGGGCCTCCTGTTGCTTGAGCACATCTAGAGCATGGCCCTAATTTCTCCTTCCCCAACATCTGCTTTGCAGGCTGGTCCTGCCGTACGTCCGACACCTGAAGGGGGAGGATGACAAGCCGCTGCCCCCAATCAAGCCTCGAAAACAGTACAAGATCTCCAAGGAGCCGAAGGGGGATCACATGGTGGAGAAGAAGAGAATGAAGAAAGAGAAGATGAGAGATCCAGTAAGGAGACCACTTCCCCCCCCCCTCAAATGTTGCTTTCTTGCATGCTGAACAATGTAGGGTGGGGAACCCATACAATGTATGTGTTACCCGGAGGCAGACAACCAGGAGCATCAAAACAGTCGAGAGGCTGATCACCATGGTGTGTGCTACCAGTACATATTTTTTTGCAGAGTCTGTTGACCCAGCTGTAGAGAGGATTTGAGATTTGCGCAAGAAAATAGGATTTTTTTTCTCTTTCATGGACTGATTTCCCCCAAGCTGTGTTAAGTTACCTCCTGTTGGAGGCCCAATGCATCGGGAAAGTTTCCATTTGAGAAAACCTGGTTTATGGTTTGCAATCCTTGGATTTGAATATTTCTTGGGGCTGGCTGCCCTCTGGGGCGACTCGGAGAAGGGCACCTAGGGATAATTTTGCTTAGTGATTCTTGATGCTGATGCACCCTTTCCTTCCCTAGACATCTAATCATAATCCTAATTATAATTATTCACAATTTGTATTTGTTAGTCCAATGGACTCTAGATGGCTTATACAATATAATACTAATCAAAAGAACTTAAAACGTAAACAAAATAAAACACGACAGCCTGTTGGCTATCTCTTAGGAATCCTTGCAATTAATCTTCTAAAAAAAAAAAAACAATTTGCCAGGTCTGGTACTTGACAGCCAATGAACTCTGTAATTAAAGACAACTCTCAAGTGAAACAGAGCCAGAGGATTCCCTAGCTGGATTCTCCCAGAAGTGTTCAAAATCAGCCTAAAGGTTACTTAAGGGCAGATGTGAGCAGCCCGTGGATCTGGGAGCCCTTCTCGCAACGGGGCTCTTTCGATTCAGGGGCAAACTAACTGACTGGCAAGGCTGCCATCTTCTGCTGAGGCTTTGGCACAGCTTCCCTTAAAATAGGGGCATCCAGTCTTCTTCAAGTTGAGTTCATCTCCTGCTATTTCGGAGACTCAACCGCATAATTTCCTTGTAGCAGAATTGAAATCCTTGCCACCTTCGGCTTTAAAAAATAAATAAAAAATCCCTGTCTAGCCAAACTATGGAGATCTCCTGGTGGTGTTCCATCCCACTACTAACTAGAACCATCCCAGATTCCCTTCCAAACCCAGGCAAGGTCAGTCAAAGGCTAACCACGTGTGCAAGAAATTAGGAACCAAGGTTGTCCAAATGAGTGCAAATTTAATCCAGGCTAGCTCCCTTTGTCAATTAAATATTCTCCTTTAATTGCAGAGTTTGCCGGAGAAAGTGAGGCCGGACGTTGCCTTGATCCCCAAACCTCCCAATGGCACTGAGCCGAATCAGTCCCGGGATCAAACCGAGGGGCGCCGCTCCCTTCCGAACAGCCGAGAGATAGCCGAGACTCAGCCCACCGGCAGCTGCCTTGGGAACTGTCGATCCCATGGCTGCTCTGAAGCCTACACCCGTCTCTTCTCCAGCTTCTACTTCAAGGGGAACAATGGCATCATGTCTCCCTTGGCGAAGAAGAAGCTGCTGGCGCAGGTGAGCCAGGATGAATGTTTGTATGCTCATGAGAAGAAGCATCTCAGCCACTGTCCTGAATACAAGAAGATCAGGATCCGGGAAATGTCAGGCTTGGACTCCGAGGTTGGTCATCCCCAGAAAGAGGCCCCAAAGACAGGAGCAGAGGTGAACGGCTCCAGCAGTCCTCCAGGTCCTTCCCAGGTTGGAAAAACCAATAAAGGTTTGATGAAGGCTCCTCCAGGGTTCAGGGAGGGAGCAGGGTCCATGAATGCCGAGGAGGAAAGCTCTGGAGCTCACCTGTCTACTGGGCCACCTGCCTTTCATGGCTATTTCCACACCTCCAGCAGCACCATCTTGAAACCCATCAGTGGCCTTCGAGGACCGGTGGAATATTATCCCAGCTTGAAGGATCTCCCTGTGACTTCTCCAGCCTATTCTAAGCCTGGAAAAGAGGCCCTGGTGGCACCTGGGTTTCAGAAGAAGCAGGAGAGCTTGGAAGACCAACCGGAAGATCTCCGCAGGAAGTCAGGTCAACCTTGGAAAGTGGACCATCAGCACTCTTCTGCCTTCCAGGCTAGTACCCTGAGCAGCAAGGCAGGCTCTCCCCCATTTCAACCGGTCAAAGCCTCCTGGGCTCCACCTGCGGTCAACCTGGCAAAGGTCAGTCCACAGGTCTCCAAGAACGGAGGGCTGTCGGTGTCTGCAGGCCAGGCGAGCATCACCGTACAGAAGAAAAGAGCCTCGGAGGAGGACTATTTCCTGCATGGCAAAAAGCTCAAGGCGGTGTCTCCCTTCATCAAGGAGGTGGACCCAAACAGCGGCCTGGATCGGGGAACGTCTCCCAGCGGGCAGCCAGGGATAGCAAAGCCTAAGGCAACGGTGGCAGGGTCTGGATTTCCACATGCCCACATGCCTCAGATCCAGGACATGTACAAGGGCACCATGCTGAGATTGCCCGTTAACTTTAGCGGCAGCCCAGGAGAGCATCTCAAGGAACAGGCCCCTTCGCTGATCCAGTCTCTCTCCATCAACCCGTTTATTATTCCCGCCTTCCCAACCCCACTATTAACTGCGTCCGTCCAAGCCTCGGATCTGGGTCAGCCTCTGGGCACCAGCCTCGTCCACTACCCCACTTCCTACGACAGTGCACTACGCCATCGGCTGTACCCTGTGTCAACGTGGCACAGCCAGCCCACCTACGCCACCGCCCACGTCCCGGCCTACCATCGGAACAACAAACTGTAGCCCCCCCATGGACCCTCAGAGACTTGCCATGTTTGGAGAGCCGTGCGAGGGAGGTGCAAGGCCCAGGTCTGCAGCGTTTCGATATTTTGATTCCTCTGCTTTTTTGAGCTCTTATTTAGGACCTGACAAAACAGGACCATATGACTTTTTTTTTAAACCGGTCAAAAGATGAACTGTCTTTGTATCTGACATGTATGCAAATAACTTGCGCTTAAAAAAAAAAAAAACCTTAGAGGGAACAAAGTTCTTATAAACAGAGATTTATATCTGTGCATGGCGTGGCCCTAATTTCCTTCTAATTTGCTCATTCTCCATAAGCTGCTTCAGATGCTGCTGGCATATACAAGGGACTAGTCCTCAAGAGAGTCATACGTGCTATGATGTAGAGGTGGAAGAGGGAAATGAGTAAAACCCGGTTTAATGACCAACACGTGGCATTCTGGATGTGACTTAAGCCTGTGTAATAAGCTCCAGGTGTTGCTTAACCCCATAGGAAAGAACGTGCGTCTGTCTGAAGAGTAGGTTACAGGAACAATCAACATTTAAAAAAAAAAAAGTGGGCACATTTGAATTTTGGGAGCACATTATGGGCATTCTCCAGACAGAGCTGCCAGTTGCAAAAGGTGGATTTCCCAGCTGTTACCTTTAGACAAAGGGCTCAGCAGCCGGGCTGGGTATCCATCCTTGGGTTGATCAGAAACTCAGCCTGATATATCTTTGCTTTTTTTTTTTAAAAAAAAATCTTGATTGGAATTATGCACACACGGTATATATGTTTATTGTAAAAAGGAAAGAGCGCCGATTGCCGATATATTCTTGTATTTCAATATAAAAAAAACTATAAAATAACAGAAGGGAGTTCATTAACAGTAATTCTTGGTTTAATGGTTAAAGCATCAGGCTAGAAATTAGGAGACGGTGAGTTCTAGTCCTGCTTTAAGCATGATGCCAACTGGGGGATTTGGAATAACGCTTCATTTCTGGACCATAAGGATCATATTTCATCAGCCATCATGATACAGGGGCGAAATTTTTCACCTCCTTTTCGGTAGTGTGAGAACAATTTCATGACAAATTCAACTCCTTTTATTATGCATAGAAAACAGTTTTGAAGAACATCAATAATGCAACCACATGTTCCTGTTCCTGTAAAATACCAAGGCTGACAATAATGTCTTTTTGAGCAATTGCCGATTACCATTAATCAGCTCATCAACTCTTCGCATGTGAAACTTTCAGTTGTTGTCATCTACTTCGATCTTAATCAAGCAAATCAGCTTTTCCCGGTTTTGGGCCCAGCGACGCACCATGCTCATCTAAACAGCCTGAATTCAGTGGTGAATTTCAACGGAGAGATTAATTCAGCAGTCAAAAATTCAATCACAGCACATTGCTTAAAGCACAAACCAAGTGAAAGAAGGGGGGGAAAAAGCTAGATCGGAATTTCTAGTGTATCAGTACTGTCATCTAGTGGCAAGTTATAACATTGGGGGCCATGACTTTTCATTCAGCTTTCATATTTGTTCTGTCTCCTCACCCCCCCCACCTTAGAATAATTTTAGACCTATGCATAGCTTCACATTACAACCAGACATACATTCCAGTAAAGGATGTGTCAGAGTCTACAAGGAGTAAGCAATGTAGGTATTGCTATCAAAACGGAATACTCGATGGAGCACCTGCTGTAAGTCTGTCCTGTTGCAGAGGGAGCTAAGACTGATAGTTGATTATTAAGAGGCCAGTCCCTAAGAAGCTAAGGAGTAAGAAGTGTTCCTTGACTTTTGGTAGTGCCATATGACACTGTCTTCTAATCTAGGGAGTTTTGTTTGATTTCCCAGATAACTTATAGTTGTAAATCCCAAGGATGCAACTGGACTTCCTCGTCTTTTTTCCGTGAAAACGTCTATGGAGAATCTCAGTCATCCAGATCATGGTTGTCACAAAACTGAGGTTTTTTATATATATAAAGGCAACTGGACTATGTTTTTTTTTCCTTCTCATCCAAGAAGCTTCATCAATTCTAAAGAACTGAACTGAAGAAGCTTCTTCGATGAGAAGTGAAATGTTTTCAAGGAAAAAACAACAGGCAAGAAAGCCCAGCTGCTTTTTGGAAAAGCATCTTTGGGACAACCGTGACCTGGATGATTGAGACTCTCCATAGACCGGGGGGAGGCAACCTTGGCTCTTTGATGACTCGTAGACCTCAACTCCCAGAATTCCTGAGCCAGCTATGGGCTTTTTCCATCTACCTGGCTGAGCCCATCGTGTGAACTCTTGTTTGCATTGCACTCATTAGCAAGATTTACCGGCCATCCACCAATACGTAGACCGGGAAAGTTATCCAGCCATGACAAACTGGGGAGATGAAGGTGGAAAAGGAATGAAATGGAGGAAGCAGAGCCGGAACCGGAGTAGCTGGCATTTAAAGAGTAAGCCAGTGATTCCAAGATCTCCTAGGCAGCGTTTGCAAAGTCCAACACAATCGTTGTCTTTTGTGTAAAGGTCACACTCCCTCCCACTTGGATGCCATTCGGCCCCCTCAGCCCCATCACAGATTTGTCAACTCAGCTCTTTTGGCACAATGCTCCAGGCACTGCGTCACAGAAAGTGAATTTACTGCTAGGAGAGGATAATATCCTGCATCTGTCAAATCAAGCCCATTTGGCAACTGCTACTACTACTTCTTCGAATAGAATAGAACAGAACTGGAAGTGACCTTGGAGGTCTTCTAGTCCAGCCCCCTGCTCAAGCAGGAGAACCTATACTATCTCATCTCCTCCTCCTCCTTCCCTCTTCCCTTCTCCTCGTCATTGGTCTTATTTTGGACATACATATGGATCCATTGCTCTTTCAAGATGTTCTGGGACAATTTCTAGAGTTCCTTAAAGGTGATATTGGTTAAGAATGCTGGGTATTTCAAAGCCCAATACTTTTGGAAAGCACCAGAATTCTGTCTGAGCGAAGTTCCAAACTCTCATCCTGCAGGTTCTGCTATCACCACAAGATGGCAATATTTCCATATACAATTTCCCATTTCTCAGCAGCAGTTTAGAACACTGCTGCAATTAAACCAGGAAAAAAATCTAGGACTACTATATCCCGCCTATAAAAGTTCGGCTGACCAAGGATAGCAATAAACGGTTATAATGTTCAGTCTCATTCTTCTGCCATCCGCTATTTGTCTGGATCTTTGCAGCCAAGATATGAGTGTCTTCTAGTGATGGTAGAGCAGAAAACAGAAAATATGTGTGAAGAAAGTTTGTTGAACTTTGTGTCGAGAGTTCAGAGAGGTCAGGCATCAGCTTGCATGCATAAGGATCACAGTTACCACATCTGGCCTCCCAAAATCCAAATAACCCCTGGATGGTAGACAAGGACACATAGATGTTAAAACAAAACAAGCTTAGCAACTGATGCATCTACAGCAAGAGTTTTGTAGCTAACTTGCTTACGTGTGTTATGTGAACAGAGCCTAGGAATATCCGGTCTGATTTAAGCGGGTGTGAGCAAGAAGCAAACAGTGAATAAATATTTCAATTTTGGAACAAACACTAGAAAAACAACAGGTGAGAATTGGCAAGGTTTGTTTGCTTTTCATAGGAAAATTGACACAAGACAAACGGTTGGATTCCATTCTGCATTGGAGGAAAAAAAAACACCTGTTAGGATTCAGGTAGCTTAGCATATCATCTGACATCAACCTTAGTTGCAGGTAAAGAGAAAATAACTAATTACAGTTTGAAACGTGTGTGCTGGTGGTGCATACCTATTTGAGTTCAGGAGTTTCTTTTTTATACACGTCCCTACTGAGGATGACCACCTCTCCAGGCCAGACTCCAGGGTGGTTGTATCTTGTAGTCAGAGGGGCGCTTTGCACAAGCATGACTTAATAGCTGGAAGGCACATGCCACATGAAGGTTGTGCTCTGGCCAGGAGGGAACTGCCACTGTATCACGTAAGAGGAACTTCTAAAACCATAATTCATAGCTCAGTCCTCTTCAATATCTTCACAAATGACTTAGATGAGGAGACTGAAGGGAAACTCATCAAATCTGCAGATGATACCAAGCTGGGGGAAATTGCTAACCCTTTGGAAGATAGACTCAAGATTCGGAAGGATCTCGGTAGACTTCAGCATTAGGCCCTATCCAACCAGATGCAGTTCAGTGATGAGAAAAGTGAGGCCCTGCATTTAGTAAAAAAAAAACCAAAAGCACAGGTAAATAAGCAGCACCTGACTCAACAGTAGTGCCCATGAGAGATATCTAGATGTCCTGGTAGACCACCACTTAAGTATGAGCCACCAGTGTGCCGCAGCTGCCAAAAAAGGAAAATCAACAGAGGGATAGCATCAAGTTCACAAGAAGTGATAGTAAATCACTCTAATACAGCACTGGTGGGACCACACTTGGAATACTGCGTCCAATTCTGGTGACCACATTACAAAAAAAAAAAAAAAAATGTTGAGACCCAAGAAACAGTGGAGAGAAGAACAACAAAGATGACAAGGGGCGTGGAGGCCAAACCATATGATAAATGGCTAAGGGAATTAAATATGTGTCAACCCTTTAGCTCTTTCCTCTCACTCCCTGGCCCTTTGGAATCCACACCTTACTTCTTGGGAAATTAATGTTTGTATTTACATTCACTGGAGAGGAAAGATTACAAGGGAGTAAGCAAGCACAAAGTGGTGAACATTGAAAAGAATGCATTTATGCTGGCTATTTGGTTAATGCGCTCCTGACTCCTGAGGTAATAAAAATATCTTGACTTTGTTTTAACCACACCCAGTAGATATGCCTGATTTAAGTGATTAAGATTTCATAGTGGGTCTGTGTGACAACAGAGATACCAATAAGGCACCAGCATGTCAACAATGGGTAAGAAAGAATGAATTATTCTAAACCAACAGGGTTATTGAAACTACGTGAGATGTGGTGTCTTCACACTGGGGCCTTCAGTGGAGGATGAAAAATAAGAAGGAAATTGGCTTGTCAAACTTCTCACCTCCATTAAAGGCACTCACAGCTTACTCCAACCTTCTTTAATTTATTTAATTATTTCTGACACTTTTATCTCACCTTCATGACAAACAAGCACCCACCCAGCATTTGGTTCTGACACTCTCAGTTTAGTGACTGGCAAAGTGAAGAGCTGCAATCTCAGGCCACATTCAGGGAATTCCTGATGTTGTGTGTGCATCATCATGGCCACCATTTTGACTTTTTTTACTTGACCCTGCAGATACTGCTGAAAGAAGATAAACTGGAGGGGAAAAATTGTATATAAATACCAACATTCCTCTAAGTCATCTTGCATATAATATTTCAATGTATAGCAATCACAGAACAAAACCTTCTTGGAATTTAAATATGGTAATAAAATAGTTGGCTTTGCTTGAAATAAACTGAGCATAACTAAAAAGAGAAACGAGACTAATGAACAAGTATAAGCAGGAGAAAAAAAATTCATATAATACCAATTGGGTATCAATATAAAATTTATTCATTCATTCAACCTTGCTCTTACTATTAAATCTAGACCACATAGAATAATCTTGACTTCCCTTCTCACTTTTAAATGCTGTCTCTGCCCGGAAAGAAGTGTAGAAAATTATCCAAGAAGATTCAGAAGCAAATAGAACTAAACAGTTCATTATGAGCTACGACTGCTCCTCATGTTGTCTCTGTTTTGAGTAGCTGATTGAGATCTTCAGGATAGAAGAGTACCTTATATTTACAGATTTATTGAAAGTTGACTTGCATGTGGAAAACATCAAAATAGGACATCTACAATTTCAGCATAAATCTTTAATATGTGATAAACTAAAGGCAAGGAATAATTTTCTAACCATAGAGAGGTCTTTGAACAAAGAAGCCATGCTAAATGTTGACTATATATAAATGAATACAGAAGATTTTCAGGGCATGTAATGATTTACTGAGATCCAGGAACTAGATTTGAATATTTATCAAAGTCACAGAATGAGCCAAACCCTTATCACAAAGATCAAATCAGATCCTGGATTTAATCCTTGAGCAGCTTTTCCTCATTGCATACATTCTGCCAATCCTGTTTTAGTTTTGGTAGACCCTGAAAGCAATTTGCATAAATCCAGTTTGTGAAAATTTCCACAATTTGGCCCACAGGGAAATATATCCTGCCTCCCCACACTGGTGAGTTGGGTCAATGTAACTGGTCCTTCAAATAAACTGATCCAGGAAAGGCCATAGCTGACACACAACCCACAACTGACCACAGCCACCACTGCTCCAGGAGAACCCCCATATTATGCATTAGGTCCATCTGGGTCAGCTCATCTAAGACCAAAGACTAGTACGAGTCCATCTTGAGAATTTCAGTCTACCTAGACTTACGTTATTGCACATGGTATGGCTTTTAGTGCTGGTAGTCACTCTCAATGTTGATAACATCAGTAAGGATGTTAAAGCATACGTGAAAGGTAGCAGGAAGATCAGTCTAATTCCTTATCAAAGCATTCCAGAGGAGAAGGCTCTAGGTCGTTGCTTCAGCCCTTTTTTCTTTCCGCTATCTATCTGCTTCCTATGCAATTGTCAATGTGGAGCATAGGCTTGCTTGGGGCTCTTCCGGCAGAGAACCAGTGGCTCATTTTTAGTGCAATAAAAAATACTTGTAGCTCGAACTGGTGTTGTTTATTATCAATGTGGTTTGAGATCAGGGATTTTTGGTCATGCCATTTAACCACTAGTTGATGTTCATGGACCCTTGCTTTCAAGGTCCCTTTCAACTTTATTGTTGTTGTTGTTGTTGTTATGGATAATCGCACAGTCAGCCAGATGTTCAGACTGGATTTGGCATTTTGTCTACCTATCGAGTCCTTACCTAGGACCTGGGATAGGCAGATGTGGATGTTCGATGGTATTACAGATATCGTCACAGGATGGAAGTAGTTCCTAGTAAGGCCGCCTTTTGCAATTGACTATATTGAAGGTTTCTTATCACCCACCCATCTCCCTTATTTTTCATGCAAAGATAGGTTTCATAATTTGAACAAATTAATGGACCAAACTCTCCCGTCCTCAAGTATATCTGTTGTTCCAATCTACAGATGCAATTTTTTTCTTTATCCATATGAATAAAGAATGTTGAAGAATGATGTGTCATCTCCACTTCCACCATTTCCATGACATTAAAAACCAATATCACGTTGTTAATCAAGGAAAGACAAGAAAAAGAACTAAGATGCTTGTTCGAAAGATTTATTCAGAGTCATTCATAGGTAAGAGATTTAATCAGGTTCCTCTATGTGAGCAGAATAGACACCCAGAAGGACAGCACATTGATGATGGCAGATGTACCATTATCTTGCTTCTTAGAGTTGCGTCTGAATCACTACCAAATCTTAAATCAAAGAAATAGAAAAGAAGAAAAAAAAACGTAAAGGTTAGTCCTCGGCATGGAAAAATCTCAAGGTTGAGACATCCAGGAAAATTCATTCTGGATGCCCCTGTGTTTGATTGCAACAAGCATTATGAGTTTCTTGTAGACCTGCAGCCAAACCCAGCAGGAGAGGCAAAATGAGAGCCCAGTTGTCCCCCAGTCCTGAGAAGCCAGGAGAAAGGAAGGGAAGAGAGAAGTCCGGCTCTTTGCCAGCCTCAGTTTCCCTATTCCTTTTTGCACCTAACAAACCTGGCTCTTCCTACCATATAACAGTGCTCGCTCAACATTGGAAAGGTAAACAAGAGGCTGAACTTCTCAATGGCCTGGAAATTTAATATCATTAGCCAGAGAGGAACAGATCAACAGATATTGACCTAGATTAGCTATGGTGGATTATCATGAAATACAGTTCCTGTTCGCTGAAATACTTAGGCAGAAGGTTTCTGTGGATGTATATTGTGCACATGAGGAGCTGCTATCTCGAGCCACCGAGGGTCACTCGCCAGTGAAATGGGTGACATATAAATTTAACAAACAAACAAACAAATAAATAAATCTCACTAAACATTTCTGGCTTAATGTGAGAGAAATCAAGTGCAAAGTCTTATATCCTCCACATAATACTGCTTGCTCAACATTGGAAAAGTGAACAAATGTCTGAACTTCTCAATGGCCTGGACATTTAATTTCATTAGCCAGATGATAGGGCTACCTATTGCTCTAGAGTAGTTATGGGGGATTATAATGAGATAAGGTTCCCATTCACTAAAATACTTAGGTCGACGTTTTCGGTATATGTACATGTGTGCTGTTAAAGATTCTGAGCTTATCAGCTGGAAAGCTGACGGACTGGGTTCAAGACCCAAACTCCAGGATGGGTGAATCATGCTACCTGCCTCAGCTCCTGCCCACCTAGCAATTCAAAAGCAAGCAAATGTGAGTAGATACATAGGTACCACTTCAGTGTTCCGCGCACCTCGGCATATAGTCATGATGGCCACATGACCACAGAAGTGTCTTTGGAAAATGTGGGCTCCCTCAGCTAAGAATTGGACATGACCGGACATGGGACACCTTTACTTTAACCTTTATATGCGTGCATGAATATTTGCTGTCTCAAACCACCCAAAGTCACTCAACAATAAATCAATAAAAAAATCTCATTGAACATTTCTGGCTTAACTGAAGAGAAATCACGTACAAAGTCATATACCGAACTGCTGTTCTTGTCTTCCAGTGGGATGCTTATCTTTTGAGGGATGCAGGTTTTCTTTCCTGGTTTATGTAAGGAAAAAGACTCCAATTAAACCTGCAGATTGGGCAACCATTTGTCTGAAATGGTAGAGGGTCTGCTGCTTGAGCAGGCCGTTGGACTAGAAGACCCCAAGGTCCCACCCAACTCTGTTATTCTGTTATTCTGTGCAGCCAAATAGCCAGCTGTACCAGGAACCAGCCACTACATTTGGAGGCTGCTGTAAGAAGTCTACTGTTGGATATACGTGACGATATATATTATTTGCGCTTGCTGCAAACCATTTTATTTTAGTTATTTTTTGGGTTGGCAAGACTTCCTTGTCAAGCCTGAAGACTTTCAAGGCTGCTATAGGGAAGAGGGCTTCGGTTTACTCTCTGTAGCACTTGAGAGCAGCAGGAGGAGCAGGAGGTGGACACTAGTCAGAGAGAAATCCAGGAGATTGAAAACACTCCCAAGTGCATTCCCAGCAATCAATTCATGGGATAAGGAGGAAAGGAAGGCTACAGATGAATATTTTCTGGTATCTTCAAGCCTCAGAAGGTCTCTATAAAAGTATGCTATTTGGTCAGACGAAGAAGGAACTTTACCATGGAACTTTTTCATAGCATGATGTTTATGTAGTGGGGCTCCTTGACACGTAGCCAGCATAAAAAAGAAGACAATCAAGATGCAGAAAACTCTCTGAGAAAGCAGCAGAAGAAAAAAATACAATAAGTGACCAGAGAAAGCATATCCAATCACAAAATTCATTTACTCAAAGGCTGCTTCCTTCCTTTTCTCTCTCTTTTATCCTGTTTCTTTAACTTCTACATAGCAACTATTCCAGATGGAAAGCAAAATTTCAAACAACAACATGGAAATAATTAAAGCAATTGAATTTATCTTTATTTTGGTAGCAATGTCTTTTCTCCTGAATGCTCTAGTGGGAAATTTGTGAAGCCGTATATAATACAAATAATTTTAATCTTCCTTCCTTCCTTCCTTCCTTCCTTCCTTCCTTCCTTCCTTCCTTCCTTCTTTCCTTCCTTCCTTCCTTCCTCCCTCCCTCCCTCCCTCCCTCCCTCCCTCCAAAAACAGGACAATAGGACAAAAATGGTGTTTGTCCATTTGTGTATTTACTATTAATTCTGCTAAATTATCTAGAAAATAAAATCTGTTTGAGTCCTTGCCCCCAAATGCCTGGATTTTACACTCATCCCAAATACCCCAAAATGTGATTAATTAGTTTTGCAAATCATTGTTTTTCTGCTCTCTCTCTTTTGATGTTCTAAAGGAGCATCTGATGGTATTTGATCCTCCATTAATATTTCTTCATGTATTTATCTTTCCAGCTTTATTTCATCCACACTCGGTCCAGAATGCTCCCTCCTGTTATGGATCTTGTTCCTCCAGACGTTCTCTTCTTAAGTCCAGATCAAGCTGTTGCTGCAAAGGAGAAGAAACAGTTTGCTTACCATCTTGGATTTGGGGCAAAAAATCAAGGAAAGAGGAATGACAAGGAGTAGCGGTTCTCTCTGAGGTCAGCAATGAATTTGCTCCTCAGATTTATATAGACGTACAGAAAGCAAAGTTAAAAAAAAAAAGGTACCCCTGTGCACTTATTAACCATATTTTGGGTACAAGTTGTGCTGAAATAGGCCCTTCCAAGCGGAGAAGACATGCTTCATATTTCAGTGGTCCCAGTTTTATAGATACAATCAAGGGGAAATATTTTGTCAGCTTCAGAACAACATGATAAGGAAAAGACCAAATTATGGAGTGCTTGAAAGCCTCCAGCAGAATGTGAGGAAATAGCTAGTTGTGCATCCTCCTCCCCACCTTCTCCCAAGATAAGGAACGGCTGCTGGAATTGGGTATGTCTAGTTTAATGAAAAGAAGGACGAGAGGGGACATGGTAGCAGTCTTCCAATACCTCAGGGGCTGCCCCAAAGAAGAGGGAGTCAAGCTATTCTCCAAAGCGCCTCCAAAGGCAGGACAAGAAGCAACGGGTGGAAACTCATCCAGGAGAGAAGCAACCTAAAACTAAGGAGAAACTTCCTGACAGTGAGAACAATTAATCAGTGGAACTTTTTGCCTCCAGAAGTGGTGAATGCTCCAACACTGGAAGTTTTTAGTAATAATAATAATAATAATAATAATAATAATAATAATAATAATAATAAAGTTGGAAGGGACCTTGGAGGTTCTCTAGTCCAACCCCCTGCTCACCATTTCGGACAAATGGCTGTCCAGTCTCTTCTTAAAAACTTCCAGTGTTGGAGCATTTTAAGAAGAGACTGGACAGCCATTTGTCTGAAATTGTGTAGGGTTTCCTCCCTGAGCAGGGGGTTGGACTGGATGACCTCCAAGATCCCTTCCAACATCTTCTTCTTCTTCTTCTTCTTCTTCTTCTTCTTCTTCTTCTTCTTCTTCTTCTTCTTCTTCTTCTTCTTCTTCTTCTTCTTCTTCTTCTTCTTCTTCTTATTATTATTATTATTATTATTATTATTATTATTATTATTATTATATAGCCCTTGCTATTTTAAGGATTACAGACCACCTGGCAATTGGCTGTCCTACTCAAAGAAGTGGGACTTGCTCTCATTCTTTCCCAAGAATTCCCAAACTAGAACTAGACACTTTAGAGCAGCGGTTCTCAACCTATGGGTCGCGACTCCATTTGGGGTCGATCGACCATTTTTCGGGGGTTGCCAAAAGTGGCGATCCGCCATTTTTTGCGGCGCCGTGCACGCGCGCCGCGCACGGGGGCGGCGCTGTGCACGCGCACCGCACGCGGGGGCGGCGCCACGCATGCACGTTGTGCATGGGGCGGCGCCGTGCACGTGCGTCGCGCATGGGGGGGCGTCGCGCATGCGTGCCGCACATGGGGGCCGCCGCCGCCCATGCGCGCCGCGCATTGGGGCCCCGTCCCCATGCGCGTGGCGCCGCGCATGCACAGAATGTTTGTGTGACGGGGGTTGCCAGTTGAGAAGCACTGCTTTAGAGCTTTAAGAATGTCCTTAAGTCCTCTCTTGATATGGTGTTTCACACATGCTTTTTTTGTCTGTCCAGTCAAATCCTCAGTAAGGTATTTGACAGAGTAGGCTTTCCCTGCAGGCTCTTTCTCTCTTGGTGACAAGCTCACCTGCTTTTGTCCTGTGTTAGTCTTGCCCACTTGTTCTCTGGCTCTGCTCAGGAAGAACTGCATATTCTCCCATGGATCTCCTGCAGGAGATCTTTCGGTTGAAGGTTCAAAGAGTGCTTTGCGCCAACTCTTTGATGAGACACAATTCCCACTTTCCAGGAATATCAGTACACCAATGGCAATACCAATAGCACAGAGATTTATATAACACTCCATAGTACTTTATAACACTCTCTGAGCGGTTTACAATGTCAGCCTATGGCCCCCAACAATCTGGGTCCTCATTTTACCAACCTCGGAACTATGAAAGGCTGAGTCAACCTTGAGCCAGTCAGGATCGAACTCTTGGCAGTGGACAGAGTCAGCCTGCAATATTGCATTCTAACCACTGCGCCACCAATGCACCAAGATGGTTGATGGCCCAGAGCAGTAAGAGGCTTCCATAATTCTCTGCTTCCTTCTTGTGCTGTTCTTTGCATTGACCACAAATGTTGCTGTAAATCACTTCTAGAATATAAGATAGTTGTTTCTTCTCAAGAAATGTGCATCTGATCTCTGTTGCTTGTAAACAGCAGGAATACTTGATCGAACCACGCATGGCTTTATTCCTGAAGCTTTGGCTAAAGTCTCCAATCCTGTGCCAGGTTCTTTTGTGTCATCAGCTTAAATAGCCTGTTCGTCTGCCTCATCCAGTTTTTCCCCCTGGTTCTCTGCACAATGTGCAGAGTCCATTTTTTTTCCTAGAGAGAGTCTTTCATGAGTAACTCTGCATTTGAATCACATAACAATGATGGTTTTCAAACTTTACTTCACACCCTTCCTGTACCTAAACCAACATGGATTGCAAATCTGAAACATTCAATGCATTCTTAATAGTTAAGTTGATTTCCTGTGCTTTATCGCAAACACAAGAGAACTTTACCAGGAAAATAATGTTTGGAGATCTTCTCTGTAACTTTTTATTACGTTACGACTTGTACTTCCTTTCCCCCAATATTGGAATGGCTCATTCTCTCTTAAATGTTGTTCAAACTAGTATTTCGGGTTCATTCTCTCTGCAGTTTGCACGGACTGGTGTTTCAGGTTTTGTTTCCTGAGGAGAATAGGCATGCAATTGGCCCATCCTTTAAAATAGGGTTACAGCTTCTTTCTCCATTTGGTTAATCAAAGTCTTGTAAATGATTTATTGCAAAACCGAGATCTGTCGTGTGTCTTATTTCCAGTGAGCAAACTATAGTCTGATAGCTTTTTATCGGAGTGTAGAAGCAAAATAAATAACATTGACCCAACGTGGGTCACGGAGAGTGTGTAAGTATGCAATAAAGCAGCTAAGAACTGCTCTGCTCAAACTCTTAGTCTTTACTGAAACATTTCCAGGAAGACCAAGATGGCTTCTTCTGAGGTGGTAACTGGCCCAGAGCAGTTAACAGAGTAACAGAGTTGGAAGGAACTTTGTAGATCAGGGGTGTCAAACTGCCGGCCCACGGGCCGGTTTCATCATACTGGAGCCACGCCCACCCCATTTCTGGCAATGGCGAAAAAGCTTCGATACGTTGCATGACGTCACGTGACGTCGCGAGTTTGACATGCCTGTTGTAGTTGATCAACCAGCACCCAATCAGGAGTCCCTACACCATTTCTGACAGATGGCAGTCCAGTGTTTTAGCCTCTAGTCCCCTGTTCATCTTTGTTGCTCTTCTCTGGACTATTTTGAGTATCTCAACATCTTTTTTATAGTGTAGTAGTGATCAAAAATGGTTGCAGTATTCTAGGTGTGGTCTTACTAAGGCTTTACAGAGTGCTGTTAGTACCTCAGGTGATCTTGATTGCAATGCAACACAAACATTCCATGAAACAGCGAAATGAAATCTGATTGACTGGATAAGAAAGTTATCATCTTTCAGAACACAGAGAGAATTTCTGACTCAGTAGAGAAACAGAAAGAGGAAAATTTTGTCTTTAAAGGTGTTTTCCCCTGAAGTCTGAAGGGACAGCTTGAAAAAAATAATCCACAGATGGAGATCAAGGTAGATCTAAGGTCCTGGGTGGCTGCAGTGACAGAGCCTCTGGAATTATCTGTCTGAAATGAAGACTTTTTATAGAGTTTCAACATCTTTTTTATAGTGTGGTGATCAAAACTGCTTGCGGTATTCTACCTGTGGTCTTACTAAGGCCTTGATGTAGGCTACATGAGAGCCAGATTGATATCGTGGTCAAGGTACCAGGCCAGAAACAGGAGAGTTTGAAGTAAAGAAGGTAACAGATAATTATGGGATTTTCTTACTGCTCTGGTCTGTTGGTATTCCTGGAAAGAGGAAATCTTGCTTCAAGAAGGACCAAGAGTTGGAGCAAAGCAGCTCTGGGCACCTTCACCAGAAAGATCTCCTGTGGGAGATCCGTGGGAGAGTACAAAGATCCTCTCCAGCAGAGCCAAGGGGGCAAGCGGGCAGGACCAAGGCAGAACAAAAACACCCAAGATTGTAACCCACAAAGAGCCTGCAGGGAAAGCCACATAAAGGGAGGACATTCCTAACGCTCTAAAATGCCTGATTCTGGCTTGGGAGTCTCTCCAAAGTGGGATAATAACCGGGTGGGTTACAATCCTGTGTACAGATAGTTCTAGACTACCTGCACACAGTTCATTTAGTGACCGTTCAATATTACAACAACACTGAAAAAAGTGACATGACAGTTTTTCATACTTATGACCATTACAACTCCTCGTGATCATAATCCGGACGTGTAGCAACTGGCTCATATTTATGACGGTTGCCGCGTCCCAGGATCATGTGATCCCCTTTTGTGACCTTCTCACCAGCAAAGTCAAGGGGGAAGCCAGATTCACTTCACAACCGTGTAACTAAGTTGACAAACGCAGTGATTCACTTAACAACTGTGGTGAATGTCGTAAAATGGGGCAAAACTCACTTAACAAAAGTCTCCCTTAGCAACAGAAATTTTGGGCTCCATTGTGGCCGTAGGTCAAGGACTATCTATACTGGACAAGGGCAGGGGGTTCTTGGAGGAAGCTGAGGAGGAAACTGCAAATCCGGCTACTTGAAATTCACACATCCTGCTGGCCATCATTTCATTATTATTATTTTTTTCCCACGTTGTTCTAAAGCTGACAAAATACTTTCCCTTTATCACATCTACAAAACAAACGCAAACTAGTCATAAAATAAATATTTTCCTTCTGGCAGTGGCTATTCTGATAAAACTTTTCCTCAGAATTTTTTTTTCCAAAATTGCGCAAGGGGCGGTCTTGGTTTTCATATAAATTGGAGGAGCAGATTCCTCGGTGACTTCAGAGAGAGGCGTCCTCCTTCCTTCCCACCAAGAGTTTCCTGGGTCTTCCCCAAAGCCAAGATGGTAAGTAAAATGCCTTTTTCTTTCTTCACAGAACCAGAACTCGATTTAACCTGGACGTGAGGAGAGAGTGGCTGGAGGAATGAGCCCAGAAGAGAGAGAAGACAAAAAGAACTATTAATGAATTGCATTTTGGGGTGTATGGAACGAGTGTAAAATCCAGATGTTGCTAGTGTAATTTTTGGGTAGGGACTCAAGCAGAGTTTATTTTATAGCTGTTTAGTTGGATTAATGATAGACACACAAATGCAGACACAAATGTTTTGCTATGGAGGACATAGCGACTCAGTAATACAGATACAGCGATGTCTCTTTCTCCCTCACCCCCCCAAAGCATCCCAGGTGGGAGAAAACATGAAAAAGGAGCAGAAACTGATGGGGGCACAAGGCATGTCTCCTTCCATTGTAGTGGGGTCAGTTCCAACAATATCAATGGAGAGTTTTGCCTCTGGAGGGGGAAAGGACTGGAAGACGTTCCACGGTGAGGACTTCTAGGGAGATGAACAAATGGCTGAGATATTCGGGTATCCTGGGGTGTGTGCAGAGGGCACAAAGAGGGGAGGGAGATCTTCCAGGCTGACCCTCTTGTGCAACAGAGATCCAAATGCACACTTGCACAAGATTATAAACTTAACCCAGAGGGTTTTCCCCAAAATTCATGAGCAAGATCATATTATTGAAGAGGACATTAGAAAAATTTTGAACAGCTAGTTTCTGAAGCAACTGCTAAGTTCTCTGGTGACTTACTTTTTTCTTTTCTTCCTTTCACAGAGAGTCTTCTTCAGCCTGGTCATCCTCTCTTTCATGGTGGCCACATGTCAAGGAGCATGCTTTTTTGGTCTCTTTAAACCTCAGCTTATAGATGGTAACCAAGCTCTTTATGGACCTGAACAAATCATGACTGTACTGCTTGCAAACATCTAGTAATGCCAGGAGAAATGTTACTGGTTTAATCTCTACAACCCAGATTTCCATCTCTTAATTAGACCGGAAAACCCCAACCGTATTAATGCAGAAGTTGTTTGCTCATCAGGGGTCCCTACAGATCTGATCAACAAGTAAAATAAAATGCTTTGCAGCAAATGCAGAGAATCTATATATTAGTCATATTTGTGTAATAGTAGATTTGGGCACAGCTGCAGTTCAACGAGACTCTTTTTTTCTTAGGTAAAGAGGTGTGGCCAACCAAATGCGTGGATCCATATGATAAAAAAAAGCATCCCATTGGGTCCAAATGGAATACAGCCCACTGTATGAAATGCGACTGCCTCAAAACAGGATTGTCATGCTGCCACAGGTAAGAAATCATGCTTTTTTTTGAACCAGCTCTTGGAGTTGTGAGTAGGAGACTCTGTCTTGCTGTACTTCACTGTACGTCATGGACATTCCAGTCAGTGTTGGTGGGGCAGGAGAGGTCAAGCCTTACGTCTTTTCAATGTAAGGTGCCTCAGAGCTCAAGTCCTTCACGTCTTCTTTTCACCATCTACATGAAACCTCTGTGGAAGTTCATCCATTTGTATGTGGTGCAGTATCAGTATGCTGATAATATCTAGTTATATAGAACCACCCTTAGTTTGACAGGTGACACTGTGGGCTGTGCTGGACAAGTGCCTGGAGGCCATGGGGGATGGGGAGGAATCAGCTTTGACTCAACCCTGATAAGACAGAGTGGGTTTGGGTTTTTGACTCCCACCCACCCACCCAAAGGCCCAGGTAATATGTCACCTTTGACTCTGGACAGGGTGTATCTTCCCCAGACTGAGCTGATACACAATTTGGGAGTCCTTGTAAACTCACAACTCTTGCTCAAAGGAGCAGTTGGTAGCCATAGCTATTGCTCACTTTTGAGTAGTGTGCCAATTGTGCCCCACTGGAGGCTTTGTCCATGGCCACTCATGCCTTGGTCACTTCATGTTTCAATTACTGCAATATACTCTACATGGGGCTGCCCTTGAAGATGACCTGGAAGCTACAAGTGGTCCACAATGTGGTGGTGTGTGCAGAGATGAGTACCTCTAGGTTTACCCATATTATATCTCGGTTACATGAGCTGCACTTGGTCCCAGTTTTCTTCCAGATGTAATTTAATGATAACTGTTTCATGATAATCCCCCATAGCTAATCTTGGTCAATATGTGATCTGTTCTTCTCTGGCCACTTCGAATACTGCATCCAGTTTTGGTCACCACGATGTAAAAAAGATGTTGAGACTCTAGAACAGTGGTTCTCAACCTGTGGGTTGGGACCCCATTTGGGGTCGAACGACCATTTCACGGGGGTCGCCAAACAACGCAGCCCGCCATTTTTTCCCCCTTTTCCTTAGCTGTACTACTCCCTTTTATTCTGTTGGCTTTTGAAAGCCAATAGAATAGACTCTGTTGAATAGAGTCTAATTCTATTGGCTTTCAAAAGCCAATAGAAATTGTCCAGGCTGTCTCTGCCCTTCTGAGCCCACCAAAAGTCCCATTCTGCAAACAGTGCTGCACCAGTTGAGTAGTCCTCGACTTACGACCGGTTGAGTAGTCCTTGACTTACGACCGGTTGGGGGTCGCGGCATTAAAAAGGTTGAGAACCACTGCTCTAGAAAGAGTACAGAGAAGAGCAACAAAGATGATTAGGGGACTGGAGGCTAAAACATATAAGGAACGGCTGTTGGAATTGGGTATGTCTAGTTTAACAAAGAGAAGGACGAGGGGGGACAGGATAGCAGTGTTCCAGTATGTCAGGGGCTGCCCCGAAGAAGAGGGAATCAAGCTATTCTCCAAAGCTCCTGAAGGCAGGACAAGAAGCAATGGATGGAAACTGATCAAGGAGAGAAGCAACCTGGAACTAAGGAGAAACTTCCTGACAGAACAATTAACCAGTGGAACAACCTGTCTCCAGAAGCGGTGAATGCTCCAGCACTGGAAGTTTTTAAGAAGAGACTGGACAGCCCTTTGTCTGAAATCGTATAGGGTTTCCTGCCTGAGCAGGGGGTTGGACTTTATTATTATTATTATTATTGTTGTTGTTGTTGTTGTTGTTGTTGTTATTATTATTATTATTATTACTAAATTTCTAGACCATTGAGAAGTTCAGCTCCTTGTTTACCTTTCCAATGTTGAGCAAGCAGTATTAGGTGGAGATCTGGGTAACGTCTAACCCAGATCTGTTTAATTTAGTGTCTGATCCGCTGAAATGCCCCTTTGGCTTTGATCTCCCAAGGAAAATCTAGAGAATGCTCAAGGTGTGGTGGTATTGCCGGATTGCTTCTTGCTTCCTTTCCTTTCTCCTGGCCTCTCTGGACTGGGGAACAGCTGGCTTGTCCTTTTGTCCATCCTGCTGGCCCTGACTGCAGGTCTCCAATGCTTTTTGCAACAAAACATCAAGGCATCCAAAATCAATTCTGAGATTTCTCCGTGTGAAGGAGAATTTCCAAAGAATTGGGTTTGCAAAACCAAGTAAAACCTTGGCTGCATCAACATCTCTCCCAGGAAGTTTCTAAAGGTTTGTGCAAGTTCTAAGGTGCAAGATGATCCTAGATGACCTTGCCAATTAAAGTCAACTTAGACTGATCATAACTTCTTCCTTCTCCTTTTTCCCCCTTTTGAAGGTATGGTGGGCCTGCCATAATGGAAGGATGCAAAACAGTGATAAATCCAATAACATGTAAACATGAATTCTATAGGCTCGATGACCCCTCAAAGCGCTGTGATAACTGATCTCTTCTCTTGGACACACTGGAATAAATCTCTTATGTATAAATGAAATGGAATAAATCTCTCACATAAGCATCTTAAACTTTTTTCTTTCCTCTACTTTTTATTAAATAACTATCATGTTAAACATGAGGTGGGACTGTGATACAAGGCATGCATAGCTGGGGGATATTGTCTGCATCAGTTTGGCATTGTGTAGCAAACAAAGACTGCTTGAACATTAATGTTGCTTGTCAAAAAGCCCATAAAGAGCAAGAAAGAACTGAAAGCATTAGAAGTGAGAATTCATTGTCAATTTTTTGCCTTGACGTTCTTTGAAGTCTATCCTCTGGTGCTAAGCAGGCTAAGCCTGAATCAGTTTTAGTTTGAGTCTTAGGTAGGAATTTCATGTTTCATGCACTAGTGCAAATATGTGTGGAGCCCTCTTGGTTGCAGGATGGTTTCCCCCCCCCCCCCATGTCCCTGAAGAAGCTTCTTGGATGAGAAGCAAAACATCTTCAAAGAAAAAACAAGAAAGTCCAGTTGCCTCCTGAAAAAAACAGATCTTTTTGTAATCTTCTGACAAACCATGCTCAACAAGTCTTTCTTAATGGTACTACATCCACATGGAGAGAAGCAAGCAGTGGGTACCACAAGTCTCCATCTTAGACCCAAGACTCTTCAATATCTTCCTAAAAAACTTAGATGAGGGAATAGAAGGGTATATCATCAAATTTGCAGATGACATGAAACTGGCAACACCCTAGAAGTGTGAGTGGATCCAAAAAGATCTTGACAAACTTGAACAATGGGCCCTATCCAACAAAATGAATTTTAATGTGGAGAAAAGCAAAGTTTTACATTTAGGCAGGAAAAATCTAGGGTATAAGTACAGATTGGGCGAGACCTGGCTCAAAAACGGTAATTGTGAGAGGGACCTTGGAGTCCTAGTGGACGATGATTAACCACGAGCCAGCAATGTGCAGCTGCAGTCAAAAAAAACTAATATAATCCTGGGTTGTATAAACAGAAGCATAGAATCAAGATCACATGAAATATTAGTACCACTTTATAAAACCCTAGTAAGATCACACCTGGAATACTGCAACCAATTTTGGTCACCATATTACAAAAATATGTTGAGACTTTGGAAAAGAATCAGAGAAGAGCAACTAAGATGACCAAAGGCCTGAAGACTAAAACATACAAAGAATGGCTGCAGGATGAGTTTGGCTAGTCTAAACAAAAGAAGAAATAAGGGTGACATGATAGCAGTATTCCAGTATTTGACAGACAAAGAAGAGGGGGTCATGTTATTCACCAAAGCACCAGAGGGCAGGACAAGAAACAATGGTTGGAAACTTATCAAGGAGAGAAGGAACTTGGAATTAAGAAGAAACTTCCTAACAGTGAGGACAATTAACCAGTGGAACAGCTTGCCTTCAGAAATCGTGGGTGCTCCATCACTGAATTATAAAAAGAGGTTAGTTAGACAGTCACTATTCTGTTTGCATTCAGAGGTTGTGGCTGCTTCATCAATAGAGGATTTTAAGAAGAGACTGGACAGCGACTTGTCTCAAATTGTATAGGTTCTCCTGCTTGAGCAGGGGGCTGGACTAGAAGACCTCCAAGGTCCCTTCCGGCTCTCTATTCTGTTCTAAGATTATGGAACCCTCTTACTGCTCTGGGCCATTAGCCACCTTGGAAAATTGGAATTCCTGGAAAGTGGAAATCTTGTTTCAGCAAGGACCAAGTGTTGGAGCAAAGATGCTCTGGGCACCTTCACCAGAAAGATCTCCTGCAGGAGAACCATGGGAAAGTACAGAGATCCTCTCCAGCAGAGCCAAGGGGGCAAGCGGGCAGGACCAAGGCAGAACAAAAACACCCAAGATTGTAACCCACAAAGAGCCTGCAGGGAGAGCCATATAAAGGGAGGACATTCCTAATGCTCTAAAATGCCTGATTCTGGCTTGGGAGTCCCTGGGAAAGAGTGAGAGTAAATCTTAGTTCTTAAAGTAGGACAGTCAATTGCCAGGTGGTCTACAATCCCCAAAATGGGTAGGGGACATTTTGGGGGAAGGTGAGGAGGAGCCGCTTCTCTTTCTGCTGGGAGCGCTCACATTCTGCTGGAGGCTTTCAATCACTCCATAATTTGGTCTTTTCCTTATCATGTTGTTCCGAAGCTGATCAAGCTGACCTTGATTGCATCGATAAGATAGGGACCACTGAGGTATGAAGCATGTTTTCTCCGCTTGGCAGGACCTATTTCGGTGCAACATGTACCCAGAATATAGTTAATAAGTGCACAGGAGACTGTCTCATTTTTTTAAAAAAACTGCTGTCTTCTATATAAATCTGAGGAGCAGATTCTCTGCGGACCTCTGAGAAACCTACTACGGCTTGTCATTCCTCCTAGTAAAAGTTTCTGGGTGTTCCCCAAATCCAAGATGGTAAGTAAAATTGTTTGCTCTCCTTTGCAGCAAGAGCTTCACCTGACTTGGATCTAAGAAGAGAATGACCGGAAGAATGAGATGAATAATATGAGTGAGCATTCTGGACATTGTTTGGATGAAACAAAGCTGGAAATAAAAATACATGAATAAATGTTAACAGAGGATCAAATGCCATCAGGTGCTCCTTTAGAAATCCAGAAGAGAAATAGTAGAAAAGGAATGATTTGCAAAACTAATGAATTGCATTATGGGGTGTGTGGGGTGAGTGCAAAATCCAGAAGTTGCTAGTATAATTTCTGGGCAAGGACTCAAGGAGACTTTATTTTCAGGCCACACATGAATATTTCAGGCCAACAAGATATTCCATCTTTAAAAGTCTGGCTGGTTTTGCTTTTCTCTAGGTGCCCATATTTTTTAATTTGTTGAGCAAATTGGCTGATGCGATTTCTTTCTAAATCTGAAAGAAATGTTTCAGGCCAAACATTTTTGAAGTCTGTGAAACATTTTTGCACACATTTTTGCAATACAGTATGTTAATGCACAGGTCCATGGACTGGCTGAACTTGGAGGTACATGGGTAAACAGAAATAAAATGTCTTTCCTGTAGTGGATCCCTTTCCTCTCCCATCCTCTCCCCTTTTCCTTCCTATAAAGCAGGGGTGTTAAACTCGCAACGGTCATGTGACGTGTCGAGATGTATCGTGACTTTTTCCCCATTGCTGGCAATGGGGTGGGCGCGCTTTTGGCTTGATGCACCTCTGCTATAAAGGTTTTCTTTTTATAGCTAAGGCACTTTCTCATGCTAACAGGCTAAAAGATTTCTTTTTCATCTGAGTACGTGTTTTCTTTATCAGGTTATGCCAGTTATAGCTTGTTACAGAGCTTGTTACAAAGCTGTGCTTCGAATACACAATTGCTGGCACACAGCCCAGAGCAGGGGTCTTCAAACTTGGCCCTTTTATGACTTGTGGACTTCCTGGGAGTTGAAGTCCACAAGTCATAAAAGGGCCAAGTTTGAAGACCCCTGGCCCAGAGCTTTCTCCGTGAGTAGATACATTTGCAAGTTACAGTGGAAGAACAATACATTGCAAGCTATAGCTAACACATTTAAAGTTACACCTAAGCTTCTTCTTTTTCCTTGGTCAGCACAATTTTTGCTAAGTTATCTCTGAGCAAAGCGCAGAGTGCAAAGAAGAAAGAATGAACAACGGCTGCATTAAACATAAATGATTATATTTTGATCCCTTCATTCTTAAACAACTTCTGGGTTCTCTGGTCACTTGTTGTATTTTTTCTTCTTCTGTTACTTCCTAAGAGAATTTTCGTCAGCTTGATTATCTTCTCTTTCCTGATGGCAGCATGTCAAGTAGCCTCCCTGCCAAAATCCCATATGGACTGGAAGAGAAGAGGTAATCAACTTTCTTCTTCATCTGAGTAAATATTATAGTCTGACCTTTGCCTAAGGCAGGAATCCTTATACCATCTCAGAAAAGTAGCTGTCCAACCTATTCTTAAAAACCTGCAGTGCTGGAACAATGCCAGGAGGGAAGCTGTTCCACTGCTTCATAGTCCTTGCTGTCAGGAAATTCCTTCTTATTTCCATGTTGGATCTCTCTCGGACGAGCTTCTACCCATTGCTTCTCATCCTGCCCTCAGGTGCTATGGAGAGTAAACTGATGCCCTCTTCCCTCTAGCCGCTGTGCAAGTCTTCAGGCTTCATAAGTAGCTCCCGCCAATCTAATAAATAACTAAAATAAAATGTTATGCAGCAAGTGTAGATGATGCATTTGCTTGTCCCATTTGTCCAACAGTAGCTTTCTCACAACTGTAGGGCTGGTTTTTCTGTACAGCTTGGGAATTTTAACTGTGCTACATGTTTAACTGGAGTCTTTTCCCTTACATGAACCAGGGGTGCGAACCTCGTGTATTGACCCATTTGATGGCGAAAGTCATAGAATTGGTTCGACCTGGCGTACCATGCATTGCTTCACGTGCACCTGCCATAGAAGTGGATTGCAGTGCTCCCAGAGGTAGGAAAAGGTTCCAGGACAAGCGTCCCTTGGCGAATTGCCGAGGACGAGGACCGGGGGAAGAGCGCCAGTGGAAAGGCAGCCAGGGATGAACACCCATGGGGGGGTCAACTGTGTGTATGTATGGGGGGAGGGTGAAGTGGGGGAGGTCAATCAGCTGCAGCCAATTGTCCTAGATCCCCCCCCCATTGTTGAGCAACTCTTGGCAGCTCAAGATAGCTGTTGTTCATGCACACATCGATATAAAAAGAAACCTTCTGGATAAGTATTTCTGGGAATGGGAACTGTAGTTCATGATAATCCCCCATAGCTAATCTAGGTGAATAGATGATCTGTCCCTCGTTGGCTAATGATATTAAATTACGAGGTCATTGAGTGGTTCGGCCCCTTGTTTACCTTTCCAATGTTGAGAAAGCACTATTATGTGGGGACCCAGGATTGTTGGGTGCAGTAGGGAGTAGAGAAACTGAGAGCGGCAAAGAGCAGGACTTCTCCCAGCTTCCCTTTCTTTCTCCTGGCATCTCAGGCCTGGGGGACAGCTGGGCTTTCATGTTGTCCCTCCTGCTGGCTGTGCTTGCAGGTCTCCAAGAAGCTCATAATCCTTGTTGCAATCAATCACAGAGACATCCAAAATGAATTTCCTGGGTGTCTCAACCTTGAGATTTCTCCAGTCCAAGGACCGACCCTAGCTTTTTCTTCTTATTATTCTTCTTCTTTGTCTATTTGTTTGTTTTAAGAAGATGTAATGAACACAAAGGTCTGGGATGAAAAGCTGTGGCAAATCCAGGCACATCAACTGTCCGTTCCTAAGTTTGGATTCTGATCTGCTCTCGCAGAAGAACCTGAATAAATCTCTTACATGTGAATGAACTAAATTTCACAAAAGTATCTTGTCTTTTTTCTTGTCTTTTCTTGGTATTAAATAACAACTTGATATTCATTTTTAATGTCATGGAAATGCTGGAACTGGAGGTGACACAAAAGTGTTCTTCAACCCATATTTATTCACGTTGAACAACAGAAGAATTCATAAGAAACATAAGGAACTGTCTGTGGGTGCTTCATCAGTGGAGGTTTTAAAGAAGAGACTGGACAACAACTTCTCTCAAATTGTATAGGGTCTCCTGCTTGAGTAGGGGGGTGGACTAGAAGACCTCCAAGGTCCCTTCCGGCTCTATTCTGATTGATTGAAGAAAACACCCCAAAGTGTAATTCCAGCAATTAATGCATGGGGTAAAGAGGAACGGAAGACAACCAATGAATGTTTTCTGATACTGTTAGGGAGATAAGCAATATGAAATATAAATAAAATAAAGCATTAGTCTTTGGATACCCTTGACTAGCCCTTTGCAAACAGGATAATATTTACTCAGATGAAGAAGAAAGTTGATTACCTCTTTTAAGCCTGGCCTTAGCGGGTTCTGGCAGGGAGGCTCCTTGACATGCAGCCATCAGGAAAGAGAAGATAGTCTAAGAAAGTAGCAGAAGAAGAAAATATCACAATGCACAGATTCTAGGAACAGAAGCAGGGAGCACATTACAATCTCCTGCTCTGGCCAGAGTTTACCCTAAAAGGAACATTTGGTCAATGGAACACGATTCTTACAAAACCTTCATGCAAAAAAGGTAGTGATACAAAAGGATTTTTCAATATATTTGCACCAGCAGCAATGAAGTCAGAGTATAGACGTGTGCTAAAACATATACTACTTGGTATATGCATGCATATATATATATATATATAAAAAATTACATTAAAAATTGAAGAATAGCGATTCCTGGGTACATACATTTCAGTAAAAAAGGAAGCGATCACCAGGAAATAAAACACCAAGGTTTTAATAAATAAAATCTGGTTACTTATTGTATTTTTTTCTTCTTCTGTTACTTTCTTAGAGAGTTTTCTTCAGCTTGACTATCTTCTCTTTCATGCTGGCTGCATGTCAAGAACCTCATAAAGCCAAGCTTCAAAAAGGTAATCAACTTCCTTCCTCATCTGAGTAAACAATGTCAAAGAAAAAGTGGGATCCTGCACTATTTTTTCTGTGGTCTCTTCTCCAAGTCTTTGAAGCCACCCAACTCACAAAATGCTCCCTGGCCTTGCTAAATTTGAAGCTTGGTTTGCAAAGACTTCACAAAGCCCAGAACAGTTTTCAATCCAACCAAAAGGACTGAGTACCTCATATTCTAAATATCCCAAGCCTGGATTGGTCTGAGTCTCTTGTTTCCATTGGCCCCTGAGGACCCCTGGCTCCCATTGACAAGGCCTTGAGTTTTAAGGAACTTTGGAGGTCTTCTAGTCAAACCCTCTGCTCCAGGCAGAACTCCTTATACAATCCCAGACGGATGGCTGTTTCAATGTCTTCTTGGAATCTCCAGTGATGGAGCACCCACAACTCCAGGAGGAAAGTCATTCCACTGCTTAATAGTCCTTCCTGTCAGGAAATTGCTTCATGTTTCCAAGTTGCATCTCTCTCTAACTAGCTTCCCCCCCCCCCCGCTGCTTCTCACCCTGTCCTCAGGTGCTATGGAGAATAACCAATGCCCTCTTCCCAGTAGCAGCCGTGCAGGTCTTCAGACCTGTTAAGGAGGCCTTAAACTAAATTAAAATAGTTTGCAGCAACAGCAGATAATTTATGTCCTTGTCACATTTGTCCAACAGTAGACTTTTCACAGCAAACTCCAACTGTAGCGTCTGGTTTCCTGGTACAGTTTGGGGCTTTGGCTGTGGTGCAGTTTTAACTGGAGTCTTTTTCCTTACATGAACCAGGGAGGTCAACCACGTGCATTGATACGTGGGATGGGTCAGAACATCCCTTTGGTTCTCGGTGGAAGACACGTGACTGCCACAAATGCGTGTGCCTTTTTGGTGGAATGCAGTGCTACCCAAGGTAGGAAAATGTTCCAGGCAGCCATTGGATATATGGCTTTGCACATCAATTCTCTTAAGTTAAGCTGGAAATGTTTAGTGAGATGTTTAGTATTTATTTTTTTTATTAAACTTATATTTCGCCCATCTCACTGGTGAGGGACATTGGGTGGCTTGAGAGAGCAGATGTTCATGCACACAATATACATATACTGAAACCTTCCAGATAAGTGATTCGGTGAATTATTATTTCATGATAATCCCCCATAGCTAATCTAGGTCAATATGTGATCTGTTCCTCTCTGGCTAATGATATTAAATTTCCAGTACAGCCATTTGTTTACTTTTCCAATGTTGAGCAAGCAGTATTATGTGGAGATTCAGAATTGTTGGGTGCAGAAGGGAGTAGAGAAACTGAGGCTGGCAAGGAGCAGGATTTCTCCCAGCTTCCCTTCCTTTCTCCTGGCCTCCCAGGACTGGCGGACAGCTGGGCTGTCATTTTGTCCCTCCAGCTGGGTGTGGTTGCAGGTCTCCAAGAAACCCATTATGCTTTTTGCAATAAAGCACGGGGGAATTGAAAATCAATTTTCTGGGTTTCTAAATCTTGAGGTTTCTCCAGGCCAAGGACTGACCCTAACCTTCTTTTTCTGTTTGTTTGCTTTAATAACCAATAGTGATTCAGATTCTGAAAAATGCAAGGTTAGTCCACCTGTAATCTAAGCTTGGATCCTGGTTGGCTCACACAGAGGAACCTGAATAAATCAATTACCTGTAAATGCACCTGAATAAATCTTAGTCTTTTTCTTGTCTTTGTCTTTTGTTAACATTGAATAATATATATTTTTTAATGTCATGGAAATTCTGGAACAGGAGATGACACGACACTATTCTTCAACTCATCTTTATTCATATGGAACAACATAAAAATTCACCTGGAGATTGGAACAGATAAACTTGAGGACTAGATTTTGGTTCATTAATTTGTTCCAATTATGGAACAAATCTTTGCATGAAAAACAAAAGGGGTGTGTGTGTTATAAGAAATCTTCATTTCCTGTACATAAAGAGAATACACAATTCAATTGTGCTGTTAACAATTCTACGGTCATCAACTGTGACCAACCAAATAAAGATGATGAACAGCACAGCACAACTGTACAACCTAGATCTGAAGATTCTGATGAGACAGCCAGCACTTTTCGGCAGCCCTTCTTGCTGCTGCCGCTCGCCTTCCTCTGCACTAGCGCCTCCATGCCTTGCTCGCCAGTCTGATCTCACTGCCTGCAAGTGAGATCCCTGAGGGGGAAAGCCACGGCCAACCGCCATTTCCAGTGGGGAAAACAGTACAAAGCAGAGTGAGGGGAAAATATCTTCCTTTGGTATATTTCCAGTCTGAATTAGACCAAGGCAGGGTCCCTAGAGGAGAGCCCTTTCAAGGATTCTGAATTAATAGAAAAACAACTAACCTACCTCTGCTCATAAAAGCTCACAGCAATTATTTTCTCTTTACTCCCTGAGAGAAAAATATATATGCTACCTAGGATCAAACTCACAGCCTCCAGATTGTGAGGTGAGAGCTTCACCTCTAGGCCACCATGCCACTCCTGCAAGGAAAGTCATATAAATGCTCTAAAATGCCTGATTCTGGCCTGGGAGTTGCTGGGAAGAGTGAGAGTAAGTCCCACTTCTGACAGTAGGACAGTCAATCACCTGGTGGTCTACACTCCCGGGTACTCAACATGGGCAGGGGGTATTTTGTGGGAAACTGAGAGGAGGCTGCACATCACCGCGATGTAAAAAAGATGCTGAGACTCTAGAAAGAGTACAGAGAAGAGCATATAAGGAACGGCTGCTGGAATTGGGTATGTCTAGTTTAATGAAGAGAAGGACGAGGGAGGACATGATAGCAGCCTTCCAGTATCTCAGGGGCTGCCCCAAAGAAGAGGGAGTCAAGCTATTTTCCAAGGGGCCTGAAGGCAGGATGAGAAGCAACGGATGGAAACTAATTAAGGAGAGAAGCAACCTAGAAGTAAGGAGAAACTTCCTGACAGTGAGAACAATTAAGCAGTGGAACAACCTGCCTCCAGAAGCAGTGAATGCTCCAATACTGGAAGTTTTTAACAAGAGACTGGACGGCCATTTATCCAGAATGGTATAGGGTTTCCTGCCTGAGCAGGGAATTGGACTAGATGACCTCTAAGGTCCCTTCCAACTTTATTATTATTATATTATCTGGCTGTTTCAACTTACCACATTCTGCTGGAGATATTCAGTCTCTCCATACTTTGATCTTTTTCTGCCCCTGTTAATCTGAAGCTGATGAAATACTTTCCTATTACCACATCTGCAAAACAAACACCAACTACTCACGAAGCAAATATGAAATAAAATAAAACATAAAAATAAATAAATAAAAAATGAAATGAAATAAAATAAAACGGTATGTAGCAAACGCAGAGAATTTATATACAGGAAGTCCTCCACGTACAACCACAATCTAATCCCAACATTTCTGTCGCTAAGTGAGACAGTTGTTCAGTGAATTTCATCCCATCTTAGGATCGTTCTTGCCACAGTTGTTAAGGGAATCCCTGCAGCTGTAAAGGTAATGACGTGGTCGTTAAACGAATCTGTCTTCCCCATCGACTTTGTTTGTCAGAAGGTCACAAAAGGGAATCACCAGGACACTGCGAGTCCGTTGCCAATTTTGATGATGGGACTTTGGGGATGCCGCAACAGTCATGTGTGAAAAACGGTCACAAATCACTTCATTCAGTGCCGTTGTAACTTTGAATTGTCATTAAACAAACTGTTGTAAGCCGAGGACTGCCAGTTTTTGTCCACTAATAGATTTGTGAAAGTGGCCTCCAACTCTACGCGAAGGTTTCTCAGTATGGCTTGACAATTTGAGTGCAGTTGCAAGTTCAACTTGACTTTTTTTTCTAAGGTAAACAGGTGCCGCTAAGGACATGTGTTGATACATATGATGGGAAAACGCATCTCATTGGGTCCACCTGGAAAACTGCTGAGTGCTTCAGTTGTGAGTGCCGTCAAAATGAAATGTGGTGTTGCAAAAAGTAAGAAAAGGAACCATCAGATATTTTAATTTTCTCACGTGTTCCCCTAAGATAAGCCAGAAGCACATATTCCTGGATATGTACCCATGAATAAAGGTTCTACAGGGGTCTTCTGCATTAGAGATGCCCAGAGCACTGCTGGAAGAAGACACTGAGTGAGGCCAACCAAGCAGAATTAAGAGGGTGTATCAGGACAGGCCTTATGGTGATAGAAAAGTGTGATGGCCCCTCTGCCCTCTTTGCATTCGTAGAGAGCCAACCAGCAGCCCTATAGATCCCTCCTGGGTAAGGGAGGTGGGGGACGATGTTGAGGTTTGCTGGGAAGACGAAGTTGCTCAGCTTGCCTTGGAGGGAGACACTAGCTGGGCAGATCATTGGGAGACGATGGAGACACAACTGAGCCTTATTGTCTGGGAAGCTGAGGGAGATGTTTGTCTTTCTTAAATATTTATTTGATTGCTTGATTGATGGACTCACTCACAAAACTTATAGGCTTTGGATCTTACCTCAAGGTAACTCCGGGCAGCGTACAGTCGTTATCTTTCCAAGGCTGAGCAAGCAATATTGTGTGGAGACCCAGGATTGTTGGGTGCAGAAGGGAGTAGAGAAACTGAGGCTGGCAAGGAGCAGAATCTGTCCCTGCTTTTCTCCCTTTCTCCTGCCCAATCAGGACTGGGGAACACCTAGGCCAGTGGTGGGATTCAGCCAGTTCGCACCCGGTAGCTACTTTTTTGTTGCCCAGGTCCAGAATGGACTTCCGGAAGTGGCATCCACACAGAGAACCGGTTGTTCACCTATTTGAATCCCACCACTGACCTAGGCTGACACTTTGTCCATCCTGCTGGCCGTGGCTGCATGTCTCCAAGAAGCTCGTAATGTTTTGAGAACAAAACACAGGGACATTGAAAATCAATTCCTACTTGTCCCAACCTTGAGATTTCTCCATGCAAAGGAGGTGTCCAAGACCCGGGTGTTTAGAATCAAATCAGACCTTGGCTGAATCAACCTTTCTCCCAGGAAGACTGAATAATTCTCTGCAAGTTCTAAGGTGGCAGAGGATCTTAGAGGTACTTGCCAGTGAAGGCCACCTTTGACTGACCCGAACCTCTTCTTCTTCTTCTTCCTCCTCCCCCCAAGTCTTTTCTGTTTAAATAAACCTGAATAAATCCCTCATCTCAATATTTTCCTTCTCTTTTCGTTTTATTAAACAATTACTGTGTTAAAGACAGAAAATGTGAATATGAATTTTGTAGGATTGACGACCACTGTTGGTATCATGGCTGGCTCAGGAATTCTGGGAGTCAAAGTCCACAAGTCATAAAGGGGCTAGTTAGAGGGAGCATAATAGATAGCTCACACGTAAATGAAACTGACTATATCACTCGGGATAAGATATCATCTTTGATGCTCTTTGAAGTCCATAGTCTGGAGCTAAGCAGGATAAACCTGAAGAAGGAACTTCAGTCTCAGTCAAGAATTTAATGTCCCCCTGGGATATTCTGGTCTTCCCTCCCATCCTTCCAGCCTCCATGAATCCGCTTGCACTGAAGATGCAATGGGAAACGTAGAAGTTTAGGAACTGGGATTAAACAGCTGCAGTAGTGCAAAACTAAGAGAAAGTCCCAGATGTACACCCTATAATAGTTGTGCTAGGAACTTGCACTCAAATAGCTTATTGGCTGCAGGTGGGGCCACATGGACCCCCCCCCACTTCTCAGAGAATGACAAAAAACTTTCATGCACATTCCTGATGGCACACAAGGAGTCTCCAACCTAGAATGTTTTGTTTAATGACCGAAGCTACAACAGGACTGAAAAAGTGACATGACTCTTTTTCACACTTATGACCATTGCAGCATCTCCATGATCACGTAATCAAAATCCTGATGCTTGGCAACCGGCCCCTATTTATGACGGTCGCAGTGTTCTGGGTCATGTGGTTCCCCGTTGTGACCATCTGACAAGTAGACCCAATGGGGAAGCCAGATCCATTTAACAACTGTGTTACTAACTTCACAACTGAGTGGTTCGCTTAACAATGGTGGCAAGAAAGGTTGCAAAATAGGGCAAAACTCACTTAACTGTCCCACTTAGCAACATAAATCTTCAGCTCAATTGTGGCCGCAACTCGAAGACCGCCTGTAGGTACCATGGGCCCTTCAGCATCTCGGGGAGATACAGCAGGTACTTTGGAGGCTGAATGCCATCAGATGCTTCTTTAGGACTCCAGAACAGACAAAGGAGAAAAAAATATTCACATAACCAATTAATTACGTTTTGTAGTATGTGGGATGAATGTAACATCCAAACTTTCCTGGTGTACTATGTGGGCAAGAATTCTTGCATTTCGTTTCCTTTCTAGCTGTTTAGAAGGATTAACCGTAGATGCACAAATCCCGAAACACATTTTTTGATGTGGGAGACAGATCACCTCAGGAATACAGAGTCAGGATACTCCCTTTTCCTTCCACAAAGCACCATGAGGGGGAGAAGGCATGAAAAAGTGGCAAATACCGCCAATGTGGGGGTAAGGCAAATCTCTGTCCATCTGTAGTGGGTCAATCCCAATGACATCAAAAGAGAGTTCCCCCCCAGTTGAGATATTCAAGTATTCTGGAGGGAGATGTTCTAGGTCAGTGGTTCTCAACCTGTGGGTCAGGACCCCATTTGGGGTCGAACGACCATTTCACGGGGGTCGCCAAACAAGGCTGTCCACCATTTTTCCTCCTTTTCTTTGGCCATGCCCCTGGCACCCAATGATGTATAAGTGGTTGGGGGGTCACCACAACATGGGGAACTGTATTATGGGGTCGCGGCATTAGAAAGGTTGAGAACCACTGTTCTAGGTTGACCCCGTTGTGTAATAGAGTTCAAATGCACTCTTGCACCAGATTGCAAACATAACCTAAAGGGCTTTTCCCAAAGTTCATGAACAACCTCATATTATGAAAGAGGACATTAGGAAGACTTTGAACAGCCAGTTTCTCAAACAACCGCTAAGTTCTCTGATGGCTCTTTTTTTTTCCTTTCACAGAGAGTCTTCTTCAGTCAGATCATCTCTCTTTCATGCTGGCTACATGTCAGCTTTTCTGATCCCTTTACACCTGAGCTTAAAGATGGTAAGCAAGCTCCTTATTCATCCAATTGACTGATGCTGAATTTGTCAATGCCGACAGTGTTCAAGAGGAGCTTCAGTTGCTTTGAAATTGCACCCAGGGTGCCTATTACTGTTAGTAGTACCCTTGCTTGTTTTTGCCACAGTCGATCTATTTGCATTTCAGTCTGGCTTCAGGGACCACCCTGAAGCCAGACTCAAAAGGGTCTGGATAATTTGCTTCAGTTTGGTCCCTCTGTTGCTGGATACCATCCTCTCTTTCAATAATCTTCCTCCAAAGGAAGTGATATATTTGAGTCCTTTCTTTGTACGGTGTTTCCTGCAGGGTCTTTTACAATCTTGGGAGTTTTTGTCCTGCTCTGCTCCTGCCCATTTGCTCTCTGGCTCTGCTAGAGGAGAGCTTCATACTTTCCCATGGACCTTTTGTAGGAGATGTTTCTGGTGAAGGTGCAAAGAGTGCTTTGCTCCAACTCTTGATCCTTGCTGAAACAAAATTTTCACTTTCCAGGAATTTCAGTATTGCAAGATGTTAAATGGCCCAGAGCAGTAAGAGGCTTCCGTAATAGTCAATTTCCTTCTAGTGCAGTTATTGGCATTGGCCACAAATGTTGCTGTAAACCACTTCTAAAGCATAAGATGGGTTTTTTTTCTTCTCAAGAAATATGCATCTGATCACTTTTGCTATTAAACAGCAGGAATTGAACCATGCATGGCTTTATTTCTGGACACTTTAGCCAAAGTTTCCACTTCAATTTAGAAGCTTCAAATTCTCACATTCTGCTGGAGGCTTTCAATCTCACCATTATTTGGTCTTTTTCAAGCCATATTGTTTTAAAGCTGAAAAAATACTTTCTCTTTATCACATCTACCAAACAAGCACCAGTCACATGTTCTTTAGTGTCATAGGCTTAGGTAAACTGTTTGGGTGACTTGTGTTGCTATTTTATGCTGTTTCCTACACCATGTGATTTTCATAATCCATATCACAGTCAATATCCTTCCATTTTGCAGGGTTGACATTATCTTCATGTTTTACGTAATTCTTACTTAATAAAAAAAAGACAAAAAAAGATTAAGATGCTGACAAGAGAGATTTATTCAGGTACATTTACACATGAGAGATTACAGGTTCATCTATGTGAAGGGATGAGAATCCAAGTTTAACAGCGCTGTGATGGATCATCAAGCCTATAGGATTCATGTTGGCATGTTACTGGATTTACCACTGTTTTACATCCTTCAACATTTCCAATACCACCATATCTTTGAAGGAAAAAAAGGAGGTAGAGAAGGAAGAAGAAGGAGAGATTATGATCAGTCAAAGTTTATTTTAATTGACAAATGCCTCACCTATCCCAGTGCTCGTTTCATGTCTTAAATGTTTGTTGGAAGACTAAGGTCTGGGACCCAGTGCAGCTCATGCAACAGCAGTGTGATGTGGGTAAATCTAGGTGTACTCATGACTGCACTCATGGACCAATCCAGTTTCTTCAAGGACAGGCTCATGTAGAACAGATTGTAGTTATCCAAACAGGAAGTGACCAAAGCATGAGTGGTCTCTGGGTGAGAAGGGACGCAATTGACACACTAGTCAAAATTGAACAAAAGCCCATGTAGCCATGGCTGCCACCAGCTCCTTGAGTAGGAGCTGTGAGTCTAGGAAGACCACAAAATTGTCTACCAGCTCAGTCTGGGGGAGTGCCATCCTGTGCAGAGTCAAAGACGATATATCAGGTTGTCAGGGTTGAGTCAAAGTCATTTCCTCCCCATTCTTTAAGGACCTCCATGTACTTGGCCAGAACTGCCACAGCATCATCTCGCTGACTAAGAATGGAGATCTATAACTGGGTATCATCAGCATGATGATACTGTGCCCCACTGATGGATGACTTCCCTCAAAACTTCATGTAGATATTGAAAAGGTGAAAGTCTTGATCCCTGAGGTGCCCATATTGCAGAGGACCTGACCTCTCCTGCTCCACCAAAACCAACTGGAACTGGCAATGGTGGAAGGAAGAGAACTACTGAAAAACAATGTCTCCCACTCACAATCCTAAAAGTTTGTCCAGAAGAGAATCATAGTTGATGATATTGAGAAGTCCAGAGAGGCCAATATGGTTACATTACTCCATCCCAAGCTCTCCAAGTGTAACCAATGCCATTTCAATGCTATGTCCCACTCTGAAACCAGACTGAAAAGGGTCTGGATAATTTGCTTCCACGTGGTCCCTCTGTGCACCAACCACTCTCTCAACAATCTTCTCCAAAAAGGGAAGCTTGGAGACTTGATTAATGTTGTCTGTTGGGTCTAAGGATGGCTTCTTGAGACAACAGGTGGTTTCACCCTCTTATACAGAGAGGCATTAAATAGCCTCAGATCAACCAGTTACCCACTCCCAGGAAAACGGTCTTAACCAACCAGGAAGGGCAAGGATCCAGAACATTGGTCACCAATCTACTAAGATCATATCCAGTTCCTCAAGAGCAACTGACTCAAACTTATACCAGATAACTAGTCAGGATCTGCCCAGCTAAGGTCCAGCTCCGAGGAAAGATACTCTATCTGAAAGATGGAATATTCCTCACAGCCATCCAGGGAAGCCTCTCCCACCTGCCCCTTACCCAAGAGATACCTAATCACCCAACATAGAGCTGCTGGTCAACTACCTGCAGGTGCAAAAAGGGAGGAGACATAATTACACTTTTCTGTTCCTGTTGCCAGAAGATAATTTCTAAGGAAAGGCTCTTACTTGCCACCTTTGGCTTTGCTCTTTGTCTGCTTCCAGCAGCACTCTAAGTATCTCTAATGCAGAAGAGTTATGTAGAAGGTTTATCTAGGTATATGGATACCCGAATATCTGCTATCTCAATAAATGCTAAAGAGAAAATGTGCAAACTAATGTATCTGATGCTTGCCTGGAGCCTCTTCCTACCTGTGGCAACATGAGAATCCAGTTTTGAGGCACTCGCATCTGTAACAATGATCTGTGTTCCAAGTGGACCCAAGGAGATGCTTCTTGTTATCATATATGTCAACACATGCGTTAGGCATGACTGGTTTACCTAAGAAAAAAGAATTAAGGAATTGAAAGTTGAACTTGCAGCAGAATCCAAACCACCATTGAGAAGCCTGCTGCTAGAGTTGGAGATCACTACTACCAGAAATCTACTATTGAATAAACGTGACAAGTATATAAATTTGCCGCATTTGCCAAATACCATTATGTTTTACTGATTGGTTAGATTTGTAAGGGCCCCTGATGATCAACTGACTTCTGCAGTAATACAGGTGTTTCCTGGCCCCCTTTAATGAAAACCTGGGTTGTAAAAATGGAGCCCACAACATTTCTCCTGGCATCACTAAAACCTGGCAAGCAGTACAGTGAAGATTTGTTCAGAGGTATAAAGAGTTTGGTTACCATCTATAAGCTTAGCTTCAAAGAGACCCTGAAGACATGCTCCTTGACATGTAGCCAGCACCAAAGAGAAGACAATCAGACTGAAGAAGACTTTCTGAGAAAGGGGAAAAAAGAGAAAAAAAATAAGCCATGGGAGACCTTACTGATGGTTTCAAAAACCGGAGGTTCAAAGTCTAGCTAATGTCCTCCCCGATAATATGTTGATCTTCATGAACTTTCGGGAAAGCCCTCTAGGTTAAGTTTGCAATCTTGTGCAAGGGAGCATTCGGATCACTGTTGCACAAGAGGGTCAAAGTGGAAGGTCTCCCTCCCCTCTTTGTGCCAGCTGCACACAATCCAGGATACCCAAATATCTCGGCCATTTGTTCACTAGATGTCCTTTCCCCTCCAGAGGCAACATTGCTGGGATTGACCCCACACAGATGGAGGAAAAGGTGGCTTAGCCCCACCTCAGCTTCTGTCCCTGTCTCATGCCTTTTCCCACCAGTGATGGTTTGTGGAGGAAAAATGACAACCCCTGCCTTCCTCAGTTGCCGTGTCCCTCATACCAAACAGTGCATTTCTGTATTTATCTATCCGTCATTAATCTTTCTAAATAGATAGAAAATAAACTGAACAGAGTCTTTCCCCAAAATTAGACGATCAACATCTAATTTAAACGTATCCCACTCACCCCAAAATGCAATTAATTGGTTTTGTGATGAATTCTTGTTGTCCTAACTTTCTTTTGGAGTTCCAAAGAAACATCTGATGGCATTTAATTTCTTCCTGTGTTTCTATTTTTATTTTATCTAAATAATGTACAGAATGAAGCTCTTAATATTTTCCCCGCAGTTACAAACTTGCAGGATGGTTCGGCTGCAGGAGAGTGACTGTCCCAAAGGGGCCATTTCAGTCCTCCAGCCATTCTCTTCTTACGTCTAAGTCAAATCAATCTCTGGTTGCAAATGAAGAACAAATAATTTTACTTACCATTTTGGCTTTGGGGGAAACCCAAGAGACTCTTGGTAGGGAGGAATTACCAGGAGTAGCAGTTCTGTCTGAGGTCAGCAAGGAATCTGCTCCTCCAATTTATATGAAAAGGAAGACAACCTCTTGTGCACTTTTTAAAAAAAACGAGTGGAAGTTTTGTCAGAATATGCACTTCTAGAGGGAAAACATTTGCTTTACAAATAGTTTCATGTTTGTTTTGTAGATGCGATAAGGGGAAAGTATTTCATCAGCTTCAGAACAACATGACTAGAGAAAGACCAAGTTATAGAGAGATTGAAAATCTCCAGCAGAATGTGAGAAGTTGAAACAGCTGGAGGTACACCCCCCCCCCATCTTCCCCATTTTAAGGATTGTAGACCACAGGGAAATTGACTGTCCTACTCTAAGAAGTGGGGCTTACACTCACTCTTTCCCAGGGACTTGCAAACTAAAAGCAGGTGTTTTTAGAACTTTAGGAATGTCCTCTGAGTCTTCTCTTTATATGGCGCTCCCTGCATGCTCTTTGTCTGTCCATTCAAATCTTCAATAAGGCATTTGACAGAGTAAGACTTGATTTTGCCCTGCATTAGTCCTGCCCACTTGCTTTCTGGCTCTGCTCCAGGGGAGGTTCATACTCTCCCATGGACCTCTTGCAGGAGATGTTTCTGGTGAAGATGCACAGAGCTGCTTTTCTCCCGATCTTGGTCTTTGCTGTGACATGATGTGCACTTTCCACTTTCCAGGAATTCCAATACTTCAAAGTGGTTGGTGGTCCAGAGCAGTAAGAGGCTTCCATAATGCTCTATTTCCTTCTTGTGCAGATCTTTACATAGGCCATAAATGATGCTGTAAACCACTTCTAGGGGATAAGATGCCTTTTCTTCTCAAGAAATGTGCATCCAATTTTTATTTTTATTTTGTTTTAAAGAGCAGGGATACTTGATTGAACCATGCATGGCTTTATTCCTTTGGCTAAAGTCTCCAGCCCTATGCCATGTTCTTTTGTTTCAAAAGCTTAAATAGCCTGTTTATTTGTCTTGTCTGGCTATTTTGCCTGGTTCTCTGCACAATGCGATTTACCCAGTCCACTTTTCTGGAGTATGTCTGTCAGAAGTACTTCTGCATATTGAGTCACATATCACTGATGCTTTTCAAACTTTACTTCACATACTTTCTGCATCCTATAGTTCGCCTAAAGCACAGGTCGGCAACCTGCGGCTCCGGAGCCGCATGTGGCTCTTTGAGCCTTCCCCAGTGGCTCCCAGCCTCCTCTGCCTTTGCAGAGAGAGACAGAGACAGAGAGAGGCAATTGCACTTCCCTGCCTCTCTCTCTCTCGCTCCTTTCTCTCTGTGTGTGTGTGTGTGTGTGTGTGTGTGTGTGTGTGTGTGTGTGTGTTTGTGTGTGTGTAAAAGAGAGTGCACTCACATTGTTCTCCGAGGAGCTGAAAAGCTTTCTGGGCGGAGCTCCTCCCTTTGCTGCGTCTCTGAAGGAAGCAGGAAGGGCAGGAGAGAGCTAGCTAGCCCAGCTAGGCTGACTCAGGAATTCTGGGAGTTGAAGTCCATGAGTCATAAAAGAGACGAGGTTGCCTACCCGGAGGTTGTTGGACAACAGCTTGAAGCTTGCCAGGTGAGCAGCAGATAGGAGAGAGAGAGAGAAAGAGAGAGAGAGAGAGAGAGGGAGAGAGAGAGAGAGAGAGAGGAAAGAGAGAGAGAGAAAGAAAGAGAGTGGGGGAAGAGGAGTGGCAGGCAGACCAAGGGCAGATAGAGAGGGAGGGAGAGAGAGAGACAGAGAGAGAGAGAGAGAGAGAGAGAGAGAGAGAGACCCTTTTGACATCTAAAATGAAGATAACACTGCATATATCCTTTTTTTACTTGTATGTGTATGTATGTGTATATATATATGTGTGTGTGTGTGTACATACATATACACACATATATACACACACACAAACACACACACACAAACACACACCCCTATAATAAAGGTAAAAAAGGATATATGCAGTGTTATCTTCATTTTAGATATCAAAAGGATTTTGCGGCTCCCGGTGTTTTGTTTTTGGTGGGAAACGGGTCCAAGTGGCTCTTTGAGTGTTTTGGGTTGCCTACCCCTGGCCTAAAGCAACCTGCATTGCAAATTTGAAAGATTTGATGCATTATGGAGTGAAGAGTGCCTTACTCCCACATCAGTTACTGCCCCCCTTTTTAATGCCTTCTCTCACCCCAGATGCTTTTGGGAGGGGTAGTGGTGGTAAGGGGCAATCGTGCCTCAATATTACTGAGTTTGATATGTACTCTATAAAAAGTGTGTTTGTGCATTTGTATAACTAACATTAATCCTATTAAATACTGTGGCTGTTTTAACCATTCAGTCATGTCCGACTCTTGGAGACTTTACAGGCAAGTGCTCTCCATGCTACCCTTTTAAGCACAGCTTCTTTCAGCTGTTGGATGTTCAACTGTGTATCAGATTGGATGTTACATTAAATTAGATGTTACTAAATACTGTAGCTAGCAAATAAACTCTACATATTGAGTCACATCATTGCTCAAAAGTTATACCAACAAAAACTGGATTTCACATTCAGTCCACATTAAATATCATTTTGTTGGATAGGCTCATTGTTCAAGTCTGTCAAGATCTTTTTGGATCTTGAGCTTGTCTTCTGGGGTGTTGGTTACTCCTGCCAGTTTGGTGTCATCTTCGAATTTGATGAGTTCCCCTTCTATTCTCTCATCTAAGTCATTGATAAAGATGTTGAAGAGTCCTGGGCCTAAGACGGAATCTTGTGGTACTCCACTGCTTACTTCTCTCCATGTGGGCGTCGTGCCATTGAGGACTACTCGTTGAGTACTGTTTGCCAGCCATCTGGTGGTGATGCTGTCTATCCCACATTTTTCTAGCTTACCAACAAATAGGTTGTGGTCTCCTTTGTCAAATGCCTTACTGAAGTGTAAGTATACTATGTCCACAGCATTTCGCAGGTCTACTAATTTAGTCACTTTATCAAAGAATGAAATAAGATTGGTTTGGCATGAGCTGTTTTTAACAAACCTGTGCTGGCTACCCAAAATAGCTTTGTTCCCTGTGCCATCCATCTGGTAAACTCACAGGATTCATTTTTCTCGCCATGCACATATATACATAACCCGAACTAGACCGTTGTTTCTCTGGGTCATATAATATATGTGGGTGTATGCATCTTTTATAGTTGATCCTTTTGTCCCTTAATTTACCAGAGACTTCTTTATGCAACCACGTTGGTCTCATGTGGTGTCTTTGAGAAACTGGCTGTTCAAAGTCTTCCTAATGTCCTCTTTCATAATATGAGGTTGTTCATGAACTTTGGAAAAAGCCCTCTAGGTTAAGTTTGCAGTCTTGTACAAGTGTGCATTTGAACTCTATTACACAACAGGGTCAACCTAGAACAGTGGTGGCAAACCTATAGCACAGGGCCAGCATGCTCCCCTCCACCTCTCCACGTGCACCTGTGCTCTCGCTCTCTTTCTCTCTGCATTGGGAGTCAGCTGCAAGATCTGGGCGGATCGGGGCTGGACGGTGGAGGCAGCTGCCAGCACAAGTCCAGTATGCCTGCAGAGCAATTTTGCAGCACCCCAGCGATCCGATCTGGACTCTGGAGGCCTGGAAAAGGCCTCTATCGCACAGATTGGCCGTCGGGGGGGGGGGTGAAATCGCTCTGCAGCCATAGATCAGGGCACAGAAGCCTTTTCCAAGCTTCCAGAGATTGGACCAAACTTGCGGGACGATTTTGTGGCCCTTCTCTTAGTTTTGCACCACTGCAGCTGTTTAATCCCAGTTCCTAAACTTCTACGTTTCCCATTGCATCTTCAGTGCAAGCGGATTCATGGAGGCTGGAAGGATGGGAGGGAAGACCAGAATATGCCAGGGGGACATTAAATTCTTGACTGAGACTGAAGTTCCTTCTTCAGGTTTATCCTGCTTAGCTCCAGACTATGGACTTCAAAGAGCATCAAAGATGATATCTTATCCCGAGTGATATAGTCAGTTTCATTTACGTGTGAGCTATCTATTATGCTCCCTCTAACTAGCCCCTTTATGACTTGTGGACTTCAACTCCCAGAATTCCTGAGCCAGCCATGATACCAACAGTGGTCGTCAATCCTACAAAATTCATATTCACATTTTCTGTCTTTAACACAGTAATTGTTTAATAAAACGAAAAGAGAAGGAAAATATTGAGATGAGGGATTTATTCAGGTTCATTTAAACAGAAAAGACTTGTTCAAGTTCATCCATCTGAAGAGATGAGAATCCAAGCTTACGACTAGGGTATTATGCCAAGTATCTTCTATTCTGTTCTATGGCACTGGGGGTCCAATACAACGGAGATCATATTCACATGTTTCTGGATTTGCCACTGCTGTGCATCCCTCACGTTCAGCAACACCACCATATCTTTGATGGAAAAAAAGGGATGGGGGGAGGAGGAAGAAGAAGAAGAAGAGGTTCGGGTCAGTCAAAGGTGGCCTTCACTGGCAAGTACCTCTAAGATCCTCTGCCACCTTAGAACTTGCAGAGAATTATTCAGTCTTCCTGGGAGAAAGGTTGATTCAGCCAAGGTCTGATTTGATTCTAAACACCCGGGTCTTGGACACCTCCTTTGCATGGAGAAATCTCAAGGTTGGGACAAGTAGGAATTGATTTTCAATGTCCTTGTGTTTTGTTCTCAAAACATCACGAGCTTCTTGGAGACATGCAGCCACGGCCAGCAGGATGGACAAAGTGTCAGCCTAGGTCAGTGGTGGGATTCAAATAGGTGAACAACCGGTTCTCTGTGTGGATGCCACTTCCGGAAGTCCATTCTGGACCTGGGCAACAAAAAACTAGCTACTGGTTCTACTGAACGGGTGCGAACTGGCTGAATCCCACCACTGGCCTAGATGTTCCCCAGTCCTGATTGGGCAGGAGAAAGGGAGGAAAGCAGGGACAGATTCTGCTCCTTGCCAGCCTCAGTTTCTCTACTCCCTTCTGCACCCAACAATCCTGGGTCTCCACATAATATTGCTTGCTCAGCCTTGGAAAGATAATGACTGTACGCTGCCCGGAGTTACCTTGAGGTAAGATCCAAAGCCTAGAAGTTTTGTGAGTGAGTCCATCAATCAAGCAATCAAATAAATATTTAAGAAAGACAAACATCTCCCTCAGCTTCCCAGACAATAAGGCTCAGTTGTGTCTCCATCATCTCCCAATGATCTGCCCAGCTAGTGTCTCCCTCCAAGGCAAGCTGAGCAACTTCGTCTTCCCAGCAAACCTCAACATCGTCCCCCACCTCCCTTACCCAGGAGGGATCTATAGGGCTGCTGGTTGGCTCTCTACGAATGCAAAGAGGGCAGAGGGGCCATCACACTTTTCTATCACCATAAGGCCTGTCCTGATACACCCTCTTAATTCTGCTTGGTTGGCCTCACTCAGTGTCTTCTTCCAGCAGTGCTCTGGGCATCTCTAATGCAGAAGACCCCTGTAGAACCTTTATTCATGGGTACATATCCAGGAATATGTGCTTCTGGCTTATCTTAGGGGAACACGTGAGAAAATTAAAATATCTGATGCTTGCTTGGAACCTTTTCTTACTTTTTGCAACACCACATTCCATCTTCACGGCACTCACAACTGAAGCACTCAGCAGTTTTCCAGGTGGACCCAATGAGATGCGTTTTCCCATCATATGTATCAACACATGTCCTTAGTGGCACCTGTTTACCTAAGAAAAAAAAGTCAAGTTGAACTTGCAACTGCACTCAAGTTGTCAAGCCATACTGAGAAACCTTCGCGTAGAGTTGGAGGCCACTTTCACAAATCTACTAGTGGACAAAAACTGGCAGTCCTCGGCTTACAACAGTTTGTTTAATGACAATTCAAAGTTACAACGGCACTGAATGAAGTGACTTGTGACCGTTTTTCACACATGACTGTTGCGGCATCCCCAAAGTCCCATCATCAAAATTGGCAACGGACTCGCAGTGTCCTGGTGATTCCCTTTTGTGACCTTCTGACAAACAAAGTCGATGGGGAAGACAGATTCGTTTAACGACCACGTCATTACCTTTACAGCTGCAGGGATTCCCTTAACAACTGTGGCAAGAACGATCCTAAGATGGGATGAAATTCACTGAACAACTGTCTCACTTAGCGACAGAAATGTTGGGATTAGATTGTGGTTGTACGTGGAGGACTTCCTGTATATAAATTCTCTGCGTTTGCTACATACCGTTTTATTTTATTTTATTTCATTTTTTATTTATTTATTTTTATGTTTTATTTTATTTCATATTTTGTTTCATCTTATTTCATATTTTATTTTATTTCATCTTATTTTTTATTTTGTTTTATTATTTTATTATTTTATTTTATTTATTTTATTTGCTTTGAAATGATGATCAAATGACTTATGCATTAATACACGGTGTTCCCTGGCCCAGTCAAGAGACTTTTGACTGAAATTTCGGTCAACATTTAATCAAAATTTCTCCTGGCATTATTAGACCTTTACAAGGAGTGCAGTGATGATTTGTTCAGAGGAATAAGGAGTTAATTTACCATCTTTCATTTCAGGTAAAGGAATACTCCCAATGCAGTGTCCTTGGCATGTAGCCAGCGTGAAAGAGAAGATGATCAGACTGAAGAAAACTTTCTGGAAAATAAAGAAAATAAGAAAAGGTAAACTACCAGAGAACTTAGTAATTCTTTGAGCAGCGGACTGTTTAAAGTTTTACAAACGTCCCGTTTCATCAGAAAATGTTGTCCATGAACTTTAGGAAAAGGCCTTGGGTTAAGTTTACAGTCTTGTGCAAGGGTGCATTCGGATCTCTGTTGCACAAGAGGGTCAGCCTGGAAGATCTGCCTCCCCTCTTTGTGCCAGCTGCACCCACTCCAGGATACCCGAATATCTCGGCCATTTGTTCATCTCCCTAGAAGTCCTCACCGTGGAACGTCTTCCAGTCCTTTCCCCCTCCAGAGGCAAAACTCCCTATTGATATTATTGGGATAGACAACCCCAACACACACACACACACACACACACACACACAGAGAGAGAGAGAGAGAGAGAGAGAGAGAGAGAGAGAGAGAGAGAGAGAGAGAGAGATGGAGTTGTGCCTTACCCTCAGCTCAGTTTATGCTCCTTTTCGTCCCTTCTCCCACCCAGGATGCTTTGTGGTGGAAAAGTGACAATCCTGACTCTGCATTCCTGAGCTGATATGTGGCCCATACAGTAATCATCTTTGGGCATTTGTTTATCTCAGTTAATCCCACTAAATAGGAAACAAACAAATGCAAGAATCCTTGCCCGTAGAGTAGACCAGGAAATTTTGGACATTACATCCATCCCACACACTCCAACATGCAATTGATTTGCTTTGTGAATAGTTTCTTGTGTCCTTTTGCACTTTAGGAGTCCTAAAGAAACATCTGATGGCATTTGATCTTCGTATATTTCTGTCTTTATTTAATCTTTATAATGTACAGAACCATCCCCTTATGATTTTGACCTTAGCTACGACTCTGGGTTCGGCTGCGGGAGAGTGACTGTCCCAAAGGGGCCACCTCGTTCCTCCAGCCCTCTCTCCTCACGTCCCGTTAAATAAGATTCTGCTTGCGAAGAAAGAAAAAGGCATTTCACTTACCATCTTGGCTTTGGGGAAGACCCAGGGAACTCTTGGAAGGGAGGAAGGAGAAGGAGGGACACCTCTCCCTCAGGCCGGCTCCTTAAATTTATACAAAAACCAAGACCAACCCTTGTGCACATTAAAAAAAATCCTGGGTGCAAGTTGTGCCCAAAAATTCACTGCCAGAAGGAAAATATTTGCTTCGTGAGTAGTTGGTGTTTGTTTTGCAGATGTGGTAATAGGAAAGTATTTCATCAGCTTCAGATTAACAGGGGCAGAAAAAGATCAAAGTATGGAGAGACTGAATATGTCCAGCAGAATGTGGTCAGTTGAAACAGCCAGATGTGCAGGCTCCTCTCAGATTCTCACAAAATATCCCCTGCCCATGTTGAGGACCCAGGAGTGTAGCCCACCAGGTGATTGACAGTCCTATTTTAAGAAGTGGGATTTTGCTTGAGGGAAGTTGCGTATTCTCCCATGGATCTTTCTGTTGAAGGTGCACAGCGCTGCTTTGCTCCAAGGAATAGATAGTATTCCCAGTAATGCTTCAGAAAGTACCAAACTGTCTTCTTGGCCACATGCAAATAAAGCAAGGCAGTTCGGAAATAGAATTAAATGTCTGTTTCTATCAATAAATACAGTGAAAAGTATTTATTGGACGTGGATATGAAACTCCACTGAATTTAGGGTGAAATATATGAGTACTTCAAAATAAACGAAATCAAGAATTTCTCAAAATTGGATTGAAAGATGTCTCACCCTCTTGGTTTTCTTCTGATTTTCTTTCTATCATTTCCTTCTCTTGTATAGCTCACCCCCAAACCTTCTCCTTTCCCCAGCTGTGAGGAAAGGGGTTGAAGAGATTCTCCATCCAGTTCATTTTTGGAACAAAGAAACAAAAAGAAAGACGTGGGTGTAATATTTACTTACTTTTTAGGATGATTAGGGTTTTTTCTCTTACAAGAATATGGAACTGCTTTTTATATTTTTAAAGCATTTTATTTTAAGACAGAATATAAAACACAATATATTGAGAACTTTAACAACTTTGAATATTACAGTCAAATCAGTAATTAGCAAGATACTCAAGGTAATAGGGTTATTAATTGAATTCATAATAATGTAATAATAGTGAACAAAAATGTTTAACTAATCTAAAACAGTACACATATGGTAAAAAAATAATCTCCTGTTTCTAAATGTTATATTAAAAAGGAAGTCTAAATTTCAAATATTTGATATATTAAGTTATACTCTATAAACAAAAAATCCAAATAAATACATTTCTTTTTTCAATTCCTTAGCAGCAACCAGTGGATGCATGTGTGAAGCCCATTTGAAGTCTGTTAATTAAAATCAGGGATGTCCCCGGTGGGAGGGTGGACTGGGGACTCTAAAATTCAAGAGGATGGCCATGGTCAAATGAATGAGGACCCTCGGTTTTGAGTGGGGGCTGCGGTCAGGAACAGGCTGCATAGCTGTGGCTTCCTGGGGTTTGGCCAACAGGGTTTAGGGCAGCCATAGGGCAGATTGGGGGTAACAGGGAAGTGGGGGGGAGTTGAGCTTTTACTGTTTGTACTGGGGTGGGTGTTTGCATAACGACCCTCTATTCTCAGTGAACAACCACAAGCGTGATCGCTGGGATGGTGAGTGCTAAGCAATGCGGTCATGGGACATATTGGTTGATGACCCCCTCATTGTTGACTGAAAGTCCGATCCCAACTGTTGTACGTTCCCAGCCTGTAGTCTTCCAGATGGACAAGCCCAAGTGGACGTTCTCCAAGGACAGCCAAAGCTGGGATAGCCATAATGTAGGGATACGTCCATTTCTTTCTCCCGCTCCTTGAAAACCTTGATTCTCCCCAACGAAGTCCAGCAGGCTGCCTCCTCCCTCTCCTTCTGAGCTTCTCGTTTCATCTTCTCCCGAATGGGCCATTGTTCATCCGTGATGGGTTGCGAGGCCTCCAGGTCGGGGGGGGGCATTCTCCAGGGTCTGTATGTGTCCCCCTTATATGGTGGCGATGAAGGTGGACCTTTGGGCACTGGGTCTTTGGCTGGTGCTGCAATATTGCTTGACTGTCCAACATTTGGTGCTACATCAGCTGGCTTCGACCCCAGACTGATGTTTTTTCCAGGAGCTGCAGGCTGGGTTGCAGAATCCAAGGTCTTTGTTGCAGGTGGGATTGTGGCAAGGGGCCCCTGCTTCCCCCGGGTCTTTGGTGGCTGAGTAGGCACAGGCACAGGAATTAACGAGCGTTTCTGCCAAGGCTGTGATTGTGGCTTGGTCAGACAATGGGGTGAAGGTTTGGATAGGGGGTATGAAGGTGATTCTGACACGGAGGATGCTGGTGGCTTGTATTGGGGATGCAGCTGAGAGGCAGGTAGAAAGTGCAATGGTGGCTTCAGTGCAGTGATCAGAGGTTGGGAAGATGGATTAGCTGATGATTTGGGCGAAAGCTTTGCCTTTGGGATGAGATTGTCTGGAACGGGGTTGTGAGGTAGAACGGAATGGACTTTCTTGCTTGGTAGAGACGAAACGTTCGGCTTCCCCAGTGGGTGGAACACTTGCACAGACTGCATCAGTTTACAAGCCAGGTTGGTCTTTAGGACGGGCTTTGGGGCTCCTTCCGCTTCTCTTCTGGGGTAGCACTTTCTGCTTTTTGTCCCACACAGGCTCACATTTTTCCTTGCTTCCTGTTTACTTTGGCTTTTAGGCGGACTCTTCTCCAAGCCTGAAGGGGTGTGGACAGTCTGAGAACCTTTGGAAGCAGAAGAGTCACTTTGTTCACCAGGCTGTTGTGCAAGAAGTTCAAGAAGCGCAACCTTTGGGTCTTCATGTATGGTCAGAAGTTCAGTAGGCATCTTATCCTGGAGCTGATTTTGCATGGCTTCCAGAACACAGGGGAATATTTTTGTCTTAGGAGCATCTTCTGCCACCTTTACAGAGATATTTTTGCAAGGTTTGTTTCTCTGCTGCCTTTTTGCCCTCGTCTTAGATGGCATCTGATGCTGAGTTTTCTCCTCCTCCTTGCATTTTTTCGCTGAAGGCTCTTCTTCAGTCCAAGGGATTTTTCTTTTCCCTTTGCCCTTTGATGGCAGATGGAACTGACTATCTGGAAGGGATAGAAGGAAAAAACTGTTCATTGTCAGGAAATTCAGTCTGGAGCCCCTGCTGCACATTCAACTCATCCTTTATGCCTGACAAATGAGGTCCTCCATGTTCTTCCCAGGAAGGTGATGATGCATTGCCCTACTCCTGCCCAGTATGAACCTAGCTCTCTGAAAGTGGAAGGAAGGAAGAAAGGAGAAAAAGAAAAAAGAGAAAAAGAAAAAGAAAGAAAGAGAAAGAAAGAAAGAAGGAAGGAAGGAAGGATGGAAGGAAGGAAGGAAGGAAGGAAGGAAGGAAGGAAGGAAGGAAGGAAGGAAGGAAGGAAGGAAGGAAGGAAGGAAGGAAGGAATATGTCTTTGGAGGATACCAACCAGATTGCTCAAACAAATGTTGTGCTACTTTTAGGTTCCCGTCCTTTTTCAATATCCCCATTTGCCCCAGCTCTACTATGAGGAAAAGAAAAAGGACTGTCTTCAACCTGTGCACGTCATTCCCAAAGGAACAACTTCATTCCTGGTTCACAGTATTAGAATAGGCAGTCTACAATCTACAAGCCTGGGAATTTTCAGCAAAATTGGTTCAGCTGATGAACACCAGGCCAGTAAATCTCTGGATTGACGTCTATTATTGATTGGGGATAATTCTGAATGGGTTGTCTTCTCTAAAACCCAGAGCAACATTTCACACATCTTGGAAGAGCAGCTTCAGGCATCTTACAAAGTATCTACCCTCGGTTGGTGGACAGTCTTCTCATCTGCAATGCTTTGGCACTCACCACTCAGCCCAAAACTTTCGCCATGGTCTGGCTCTGATGCTTCTTGGTCTGGAGAGGCCTGTGGGACCTCAATCTCCATACTGGCATCTGACAGGTGTCCTCCTGGAGCTTGGCCCACTGAAAGAAAAAAGTCAAGAGGTGATTCTTCAAGGAAACATGCTCTATCATCTTTGTCCAAGCTGAGGTTCCTTTCTTAAATCTTCACCAGCCTTGAAGTCCAGGATATCATCCAAAGGATAACAAAAGTCAGTATCTGCAGGTAATACCTGGTACCAAGTATGATTAGCACTCACCTTCCAACCCAGGAAGGAGATGAGGAATGTCCTCCAAATCATAGTGTAAAGATGAAGAAGGAACCAAAGGTGATCCCACAAACTGATGATGGCTACTTCTTTGCTGATCCAGAGATCCTGGAAGATGGAAAGTATCTTCAGGGGCTCTGACCTCTGAAAGAGTCAACAAGAGAAACTGAGCAGACTTTGTACCAATCAAAGCTGATTCTGTCTTGGTGGCTCAATCTGTGACTCCTATCAAGTTGTCCTTCAGAATTCTACGGAAGTGGATGAAGATGCAGAAGAAGATGGAGATAGCTCTTCACTGAGTCCTGTGCATACCAAGTAGCTGGTCCTGTTTCATAAATTAAGAAACCTATGTTAAAGCATCTCAGTCTTCAAGAAACATCTCTGACCCTAGCTCGAACCTTTCTTAAAGACCTGCAGGAGTGTTGGCACAGGTGTCGTACATCTCTGGCTAGGTCTAATCTATGGCATTCTGGGGATGAGAGACCAAGTTCCAGGATTGCACAAGTAGCCCTCACCTTGCAAAGAAGGACCGGAAAGCCGATGGTGGGGGTAGGGTGGCCTGGGGATCTGCTGATGGTTGTCAGTGTCAGCAAGAGTTTCATACTGAGGTGGCCGAGGTGCGTAGAAAGGCTGAGGAAAGGCAGACACGGGAGGGTTACAGGCGGCCAGGTTGGCTAACTGCAGCTGTTCCCCATGGACGGTTTGGAGGTGCGAGACTCCTGGAGGTAGAAATGTTTGGAGGCTGGTGTTGCCTGGGATCAACCGAACAGGCAGATGGGGAAAAGGAGGCTGGATCCAAAGGTTGCTCAGAACTGGTGTTGCCATTCCAGAGAAGTTGGGAAGATTGCTTCCTAGAGCGGATACAGCTATTAGTATTGGGCAACTGCGAGGCGGAAGGTTCTGATTTTCCGGGGTGTCTGTGTTATGCACCTGATCTGTAAAACACATATAAAAAGAACAGAAGTCAGAAACCATATTTTCTGTTTCAATCAGAGAACATCTGTGATTCTTTTTTGGATCTAGGTCCTGATCCTGAAATGTCAGGGAAGGTAGGGTTCGGGTTAGGCTTCAAAGAGTACCAAACTGTCTCCTTGGCCACATATAAATAAAGCAAGGCAGTTCGGCTTGTGATGCTCATTTCTTTTCCTCCCTCAGTTCCATCAGTCCCCCTGCTAAACTTTTGATGTGATGAGGAAATAGAATTAAATAGATGTTTCTATCAAAAACTAGATTAAGAAATATTTATTGGAAGTGGATATGAAACTCCACTGAATATAGTGCCAAATATATGAGCACATCCAAGAAAAAAAGTCAAGAATTTCCCAAAATTGGATTGAAAGATGGCTCACCCTCTTGGTTTTCTTCTGACTTTCTTTCTATCATTTCCTTCTCTTGTATAGCCCACCCCCAAACCTTCTCCTTTCCCCAGCTCTGCCTCTGTTATGCAACTATTTCCCCCTAACTGGGTCTTCTGGAGAAAGAAGAGATTTCTTCAAACAGCAAGATGGCCCAATTCCTACCAGCCATGATGGGGGAAATATTATATCTCGAACAATGATAGACATGGACGCTGCCTGCTAACCACTCAGCATCCAGTAAAAAATGGTCAGTAAGGCTGGAATCATTTAAAAGTGTTTACTCCTGTCCCTATGGTAACCCTGGACATTCTGAGATGCCAAGAGAATTTCCAGAGTAGAAGCTGATGATGAAACTGATGTCACTGCAGAAGGCAAGGAGCGCATCAGTGATGGCTCTCAAGAGCTGAGCTTGGGGGAAAGAAATATTTGAGCCTTCTCCTGACCACTCACCTTCCCTGGTGGCCAATCTTCACTTTCCGAGAGGTGGGAAACAGCTTTCATTTGGGCAATAAATGACTTCTTTATGCCTTCAGCTAACCTGAATGGTCAAAGATTAGCATCCTTAGTCTGTTTCAGCTTTGCAGGAATAAGAGGATTTTGAGTTTTTTAACCACATAGATATCAATGTTTTTAATCCATTTCAATTTACTACTATTTTAAACAATTGCTGAAGTTTTCTAAAGTAAACAATTTTAACCGGGGGGGGGGGGGATATATTCAAAAGTTCCAACATCAGGTATTGGTTTCAATATTGATAATAATAATAATAATAACAACAACAACAACTTTATTGTCACTTTGAAAGTACACCAATTGGCATACATCAAAATGAAATTTCGTTGCATACAGCTCTCAAAGGGTCTTCTGATGCAGAAGAAGTTTAAGAGGTTGTGTCCTCAGCCCAACAGCCTCTGATGGTTTGGTGATTGTAACACTTCTCTACATTTCAGGACTATCGTATGAAAATATGGGTCGCTAAAGATTTAATATCAAAGGGCCATCCCTCTGAACTGTAGATCTTTGGATGTTGGCGATATCCAAAGCCTTGCTGGATGGCCCTCTGTCCAGCTGTGCCCAAGAGACAGATGTTGTGTGACTTTTGGACTTATGATACAGTGCTGCAAAGGTGGACTGACCACAGCCTTTGACCATTTTGTTTCTGTCTCCTTCATCTTGTTTTTATAAGACATTTGGGTCAAAGGAAGATGCAGTGTGTGTTTGTGCTTGTGTCTGTGTATCCATTTGTATTCCCACCATAAAAAAGCTCCATTGATTAGCCAGTAGGAAGCACTTGAGCTATCTCTTCACTTCATAAACGTGTCATAACTTCCCATTTCTTTATGGCATCGCCCCTTTCTTTATGCTCTGTGACATCAGATTTCCTTAGTTCCACTTCCAGAATCGTTTGCACTGGACCTTCTGAAGAAGATTTCAAGTGGATCCTAGAAGGAAGATGTAGAGATGATGCGAGGTCTTCAATAGCCAAAAGACCACTGGGCTCCAGAGGGAGAGAGAGTCGTGAAAAGGATCCCAACTCCTTTACGCAGCAATATATTTTGGAGAGAAAAAGAGCCGAGTAGAACTAAGGATGCTGCATATTATTATTCTGTCGGCTCATGTGTCTCCTGAACATGCGATTCAGCCCAACACATTTGTGGTTGGCACCTTCAGAGGTAAAGCCATATCTGAATCCCACCCGCTTTTACATATTAAAATAGATTCCTCTTATGTCCACACCCTACTTTGAGGGAATCTAGAAAGCCAATCTGCTTCCATTTTCAGTAAAAATTCTAACTGGTTGCGAATGTAAATTGGGGAAATGCCAACGAGGATAAAAATGTCAGAAAATAGGAAGTTCCTGCTTCTATGGATAGCAGGGGAAGTATGCAAATAGATCCTATTTGCATTTTGCCAAATTTGCATTAATTGTATCATACATCCCAGTGATCATACATCCCTTTCTCCAAAGGGCCACCCTTTATTTCAGAAAGCTGCCTTTTATATTTATTTTCTAGATAATTAAGTATTTATTTTCTTGGTTTTGCTCTTGATTTTCCCTTTGTAAAGCAAAATTACAAACATTTTTTTAATCCTTATGATCAACTTTCAGATTTGTCCCTTCCCCCCCCCAAGAAAATATGTTCACTCTGTAAAGTTCTTTTTGTGGTCTCAGCTTGAGTGCTAATAGTCCATCATTCAGAGATAATTCTGCACATTGTTTGTAGAATATCCCACATTTAACACTCTATCAAGTAGTGAGAACACCTACTATCAGAATGAGTAAAGATAATTAGGCCAAATTAAGGAATACAGTATTTCCCAGACTGCTGTTTTTTGGATTATCAGACTACAACGCCCATAGTCCCCAACTAAGTCATTTCAGATAGCTCCATTAATGCAATTCATCACTTCTTGAGCTAACTATGCCCTATTCTGCCACAGCAAGGGTCTCCAAACCTGGCAACTGTAAGACTTGTGGACTTCAACTCCCAGAATTCCCCAGCCATCATGTTCCTCCGAGTGAGGAATTCTGGGAGTTGAAGTCCACAAGTCTTAAAGCTGCCTAGTTTGGCGATCCCTGTCCTATAGCAATGTTTTTCAACCTCAGCAACTTTAATATATGTGGACTTCAACATCCAAAATTCCTCCACCAGCAGGGCGGAGGAATTCCGGGAACTGAAATCTAATACATTTAATGTTGTTGAAGTTGAGGAACACTGTGCTACAGTAATCAGGTTGGCAACTGGTGCTGCCTTATTATTTTAATACAGGCCAAATTTTAAAAAGTGACTAGTAGATTTCCTACCAATTTCCACCATGAAGGTTTACCTGCCACTGGGTAAACTATCATCAGAGTAGGGCAGGTAGATGGACGTTTTGGATTCAGAGATCCTCCATGGCCATGACCTATCAGTCAGTTTTATTCTGAAAGTGGGTCTAGTGCTCTTCTGAAATTCAGAACTTTTGAGTACCACAGATTGCCCATCTTTATCAGGTCACTGCAGAATTCAGAGATTTTATTAAGCATGCGTCTGGTCTCCTTTTGATGCGTCTGGTCTCCTTCTGCCCCAAGCATAAACATTTCCAGATTTTGCTTGTAAGCTCATCATCTCTGTTTGGAGGTTGGTGTAACTGGAACCCCATCAGCATTTCTGGTACAGGTGGCCTGACCTGAGGCCACCAAAACTGTGGTAGATGTATCCCAGAGGTCCATCTGCTCCTGGAAAAAAGGAGATGGTTACTTTTGAAAGAACATAGAGATTGATCAATCAGCCATGCTATTCATGTGGTCTGCCAGAGCTATGCTTGCTTATAAGAGGCAAAACATCAGGAAACGGCTGGAATTAATTCAAAGGTATTTTTTTTTTAGGCATTGAAAGGAGCACAAGAGTTGTGCAGAAGGACCAGAATCCCATTTGGAATGAGGTAAACTAGGCAAGGAAGTTAAGAAATGTCCTGGAAATCATTTTCTTTACTGTTGCTTTGAGGGTTCTCTGTATATACCATAAAGTTACCAGAACTGGAGTTAGGATCAATGAAGTCTATGTTTTTCCTAAACTCCTTAATCCTGGTGACAATCTCACTTTTTGAGTTAGTTCCCTCCTAATATCTTCATTTTTGGAAAAAAAATCCCTTAATAAGAGCTTAGGAAGGGGAAGGACAAATATTACAAAACACAGTTTACAATTCTCAGAATCACTTTGATGATGAGACATTTCAAATTAGCTCAGGGCTTACAGTCGCCCAATCAGCACATTTATCTGGTTGAAAACTAGAGAGGATCTCAAGAGTCATTTTATTTATCCCAAATCTAACAGGATACAGAAAGTCACTGGTCTCTTAGTTTCAAATAAGCCAGGAACCAATTGTAGGAGAAATTTCTCCTTTAGGAGTTTGTTTAATAATGGAGACCAGAAACTCATCCATAGAAGGGCAAATTGCAATTTATTATTGTAGAAACTTAAAAAGGGCAGGAATACACCCCTATTATGTAGCTTTATACAAACCAAAGTTTATGTGTAATCCATAAGAACAAAGAATGCAGAAAATATACATTAGATCATGGTTTAGTGATAGAAGAGAACATCAGTAGCTGAGGGTTGAACTGGGAGATCCTTGCGGTTCTCTGCGCTTGTTGGTTTTCTTGCAGACTAGTATCTAGCACGGATGACGTTACCTAGTTTGGTAATAAAATGTCTGCAAGAAAACCCCCAAGCTCTGAGAGCAACAAGGATCTATAATACAAGGACCTCTCTGATGTTTCTGTTCCTTTCTGTTATCTTCCTAGCCCAGGGGTAGGCAACCTTGGCTCTTTTATGGCTCATGGACTTCTTTGTGTTTGCCCTGCAGACTTTGCTGTGGTATCTGGATGAGGAGCTTCTGGATGACAGTTCTTTTGCCACAGTTAAACTCCTTGAATGGGGCACGAAAATTCAAAACAGGTGAATCATGGAAAGAAGGATGATAGGTTCTGTATAAGTAGGTTGTCCGACATGGGGACAAATCTGCTGTTTAGCTCCAGCCAGTTTCTTCCTTGCTTCAGCCCAAAGAGTGCTGTCCAGTTCACTTCCTTTCATTGCATGCAAATGCTTCCAGAATAGCAGAATAACAGAGTTGGGACCTTAGAAGTCTTCTAGTCCAACCCCCTGCACAATCAGGAGACCCTATACCATTTCAGACCAGTGACTGTCTAAAGATTAGACAGTCTTCCTAAAAACCTCCAGTGATGGAGCATCCACAACTTCCAGAGGCAAGCCATCCCTTCTTCCTCCTAATCCAATTAATCCTGTGGTTGCTACTAATAACCTCTCTTTCTCCAAAGCTGCTTCTTGACTTTTCCACTTCTCCCCAATTTTAGTGATTTGGGCAATGCAGATATAGCCTTAGGAGGAGCAGCTGAAAAACCAAATGTTATGATTATGAAGAAGAATCAAAGTCTGCGGAATAACAGTCTGCAGCCAACTGGGGTAAGTCAGGAAGGAAATAAAAATAATGTATTAAACTTGAAGTGCTTTGTTGGGAACTGCGATGAAGACTGGATGTTCACCAACATTGTGGTAATCTGAGAATAAAGATGCTGAAGTATTTCCTGGGGTGCTTCAGGTTGGGTTTTCTGCCTTTTATTAGTGGAATTCAGCCTCTCTTCAGGGCTGCTAAAAATCATTTTCCCTATCAATATCAATACAAACAGGAAACTTTTAATCAACTATGAAACCGTCTATTCACTGCCTCTGTTTTCATTTCCAAAATATTAAAGCAGAAGGTTTGCATGAAAAGGGAGATTGCCCCCCCCAAAAGGTTGGTTTTTCTCATTATGTAGAAATCTATTCTTAAGTGGAGATAGATACCATACTTTAAAAATAAAAACACAGCCAGATTTGCTTTTTACCTATGCATAAATTAAAAAGAGTTCTTGTGATTTTATGTTTTCAGTGCTCCATAACTCTAAAAATCTGCTTCTCACCACCAGAACCTAAAATGGTGGCACACAGAAGAAAACACGATTTAAAGAAATTGAGTAAGTATTGGGTATTTATTTGGGGGGACTAAAGTATGTTTTGCTTGGAATTTGCATGGATTTTAATTTCTGATTCCTTGTCTGGACTGTTTTGAGCTCTTCGTGTTTAGAAAAAAGTAGGTGTTTTGTAACAAAAAAAGATATGGGTAAAAATCTGTGTGCTCCTGTTAATGAATTGGAGTAAAAAAAAAATCAAATCAAAATCAGATCAAAATGTTTTATTATGATCATAGATCAGAAAGATGTTTGGGTTTAAGATTCCTGTGCATTTGGGGATGAATGTAGGGGTCAGCGTGAAGTCCCTGAGCATTCACACTTGACATGGTCTATTGGTGAAGGGTGCTGGATTAAGAGACCCAGGTTTTAGACTGCCTTTAACCATAGAGGTTCCCTGGAGGACTTTGACCATTCTTCTTTCAAGAGTTATAATTTGGAAGAAATTAGGAGGAGGTAGTGCTGCATACGCTTCCCTGATCTTCCAAAGGAAAAGTGAGAAATAATTCTAATAAATAAATATCTGAGAGCTTAAGGAAGAAGGTCCCACATAAATGCCAAGTGTTGATAATGGTGCTTCTTGGCCTCTTCCGCAGTCTGTTGCCCCGTCTTTGCCAAGGCTTCTGGCATAGAAGAATTTACTCTGAAAGAAACTGAGGGGGCCCAAGTGCCAGCTCCAACATCAACCACCGTGAAAGAGCTTTCCAACAAGAAGCAACTGTTCCAGGTAACGCAACAGCTCACTCAGCTCTTGATACCTAAAAGAAAGAAATACATTGAGAGGACTGGTGATTTTTCAGCAGATCTTATTTCTGTTGTAATTCTTGTAAATGGAAATGGATCTATTATTAAATCCAAACACCACCAATCATTTATTTCAAATATGGTCTCACCAGTGCAGTGTAAAGCTGTACTATCACTTAACAGAATAACAAAGTTGGAAAAGACCTTAGAGGTCTTCTAGTCCAACCCCTGCTCAAGTAGGAACCCTAGACCACTTCAGACAAATGGCTGTCCAATGTCTTCTTAAAAACCTCCAGTGCTGGCGCATCCACAACTTCTCAAGGCAAGTTGTTCCATTGGTTAATTGTTCTGTCAGGAAATTTCTTCTTAATTCTAGGTCGCTTCTCTCCTTGATCAGTTTCCATCCATTGCTTCTTGTCCTGCCTTAGGCGCTTTGGAGAATAGGCGGACACCTTCTTCTTTGTGGACACCTTCTTCTTTGTTTCCTCAAATATGGAAACACTGCTATCATTTTACCCCTACTCCTAATTTTAATTAAACTAAACCCTTTTCATTAAAGCATGAAGACTTTTATTAATCTATAAATAACTATTTATTATTCCCAATGTTCCAGAAATGTGTTAACTCTTTAGGACACTCATATTAAACCTACAAGAGCTAATCTTCAAAAACCTGAACAATAAACAGATTGCTGCAAAATGGTTAAGTTTTCTGTCTCTCTTCAGGGACATCTTATGGTCATCCCAATTTTTACAGACCATTTATGGTGGTGCTAAATTGGAATAACACATTCCTGGAAAAAAGAACATTTCTCTTTTCCTCAAGAAAAAAAAAAAAACAGTTCCTGCTATCAGATCATCCCGTTTTTATGCTACTGGCCACTTGCACACAAAGCTGGATAACCAGTGGTGGGATTCAGATATGTGAACAACTGGTTCTCTGTGTGGATGCCACTTCTGGAAGTTCATTCTGGGCCTGGGCAACAAAAAATTAGCTACCAGTTCCACCAAAGTGGTGTGAACTGGCTGAATCCCACCACTGTGGATAACCCACAAAAGTTCGTAAACCATTTGGACAAACTTCATCAGAACATGAAATGGTGCATCTTCTGAGAATGCTTGCAGGATGGGACTGACCAGCCATTTCTCTTGCAGGTGCGAGTTGTAATCATTGAATGTCGACAACTGCAAGAAAACAATGTCAAACCAGTGGTGAAAGTAACCATTGGAGATTATACATTCCGGACAAGAATCAGACGTGGAAACAATCCATATTATAATGAGGTTAGCATTCTGGACATTATTTTCTGGGATTTGAGGATTTTTCACAAACATTTTACTCTGTTAGAAAAAGATTAAGCTAATGAATATTCAGGACCCCAAAGCTGCTTTTTCACGAGGCAACTGGACTTTCTTGTTTTTCTTTGAAGACGTTTTGCTTCTCATCGAAGAAGCTTCTTCAGCTCTTGGATGAGAAGCGAAACGTCTTCAAAATAAAACAAGAAAGTCCAGTTGCCTCGTGAAAAAGCACCTTTGAGGTAACTATGACCTGGATGACTGAGAATCTCCATAGACATGTAGCTCCAGTGAATTGGTGGTCACCAAGAATAGAGCTGGATTTAAAGGTATCTGAACCTCTTTTCTTTTTAAGCAGTACTTAAGGTATGAATTTGCAACATAGGCCAACCATGTAACTCAGTGTGGCAGCCATCACTTGTGGTCAGAAAGCCACAGTCAACAAAATGTTGCGTCCCCAAATGGTCAGGAAATATGGAAAATGCCTTATATCTAATCTATCTCTCGTCTTCTACAATTCAATATCATCTTTAGTAATAACAGAATGATTTTCTATGATACCCAACAGGCATATGTTTAACAATTTTATCCAGAGAGGTTTACGATGAAGCCCAATTTTTTATCAGGTGTGCTAGATGTATTCTAACAATCATCTGCACACATGTAATAAACTTAATGAAAAAAACTTGTTATACACTTAAACTGAAAGAAAAATAATATTTTAAGATAATGATCAGACTGGGAATCAATGCCCACATCCTTGTTTTTCAGTATTGTTCTCTTTCTGCTGTGCAACTTTTGTTGGAGAAAAAAAGTGGCCTTCTAAAAATGACACTTGCTTTTTAATGACCAAAAGCATGTTTCTGCTTTCAAACAGTCATCAAAGGCCCATCTAAAGTCCATTCTTATGTACAACTGCAAGAATATAATATTAAACTTTGGTTTGCTTATCCTGTAGACCTTCGTCCAAAATTTCAATGAGACACCTCTTCGACTTTTTGATCAGTTTATTACCATACAGGTAAGCAAGCAAATTCTGTTCCTCGTGCCCTTTTTTGGACATCTCAATTCCATTATGGATATTCTTGTGTTTCCTTTCTGGAAACGATCATGAAATATTTTCCTGGCCGGGATGAAGCTGCATTGCAACAGCAGAAACAACACTAAAAATGGAATCTAAGAACAGCCACCTTGAGCCCAACAGAACTGCAGATGGGACAAGAGCAACAAATTAAAAATAAGCATCCAGATGTTATTCCAACCATGGAAGCTGTACTAAATTACTGTTGGCGCTACCTTTGCTTCATTTTGCCACAGTTGTTCCACTTTTATTTGCAGGCCTTTGTAGTCTGATATCTTCTCCAGTTCTTTCTCTTCTATTCTATTATTATAATATGTAAGTTTTATAATGGGAATTTCTACATGGTCTTAAACAGGTGCTGAACTCTCGAGCTGTCAGAGCAGATGCTTTCATTGGTGTCTTCAAGGTGAACAACTGCTACTTTACTGCTGACCAGATTTACAAACTTGGTAGACTTCTAGACTTGTTAACAATGCTTAGTCAATGCTTTCTGCTCTGCTATCTTACCTATTATCCTAACATCAGGTCAATTATTTTTCCTGTTTAATCTGTCAATGAAACGTTTAGCCCAGCGGTTCTCAACCTATGGGTCGCGACCCCATTTGGGGTCGATCAACCATTTTTCGGGGGTCGCCAAAGGTGGCGACCCGCCATTTTTCGCAGCACCGTGCACGCGCGCCACGCACAGGGGCACCGCTGCGCATGCGCGCCGCGCACGGGAGTGCCGCCGCACATGCACGTCGCGCAGGGGGGCGCGCTGTGCACGCGTGCCGCACATGGGGGCGGTGCCGTGCATGCACGTCGCGCATGGGGAGCATCGCACATGCGCATCACGCATGGGGCGGTGCCGCGCATGCGCGCCGTGCATGGGGGCCCGTCCCCATGCGCGCAGCGCCACGCATGCGCAGAACGTTTGTGTGACGGGGGTCGCCGTCACACAAACGTTGAGAAGCACTGGTTTAGCCTGTCAACCCAACATGGAAACTAATCAAGCAGAGAAGCAATCTAGCACTAAGGAGAAATTTCCTAACAGTGAGAACAATTAATCAGTGGAACGACTTGCCTCCAGAAGTTGTGGGTCCTCCGTCACTGGAAGTTGACGAGATTAGACCACCATTTGACTGAAATAGTATAGGGCTTCCTGCCTGAGCAAGGGGCTAGACTAGAAGACCTCCAAGGTTCCTTCCAGCTATGTTATTCTGTTATTTTATCTTCTTCCCCCATCGTGCCCCAGAAACACTCAATACCATAAGATATCTAATGTTGATCTTCCCAAGTCTGGGGAAAGTCAGATAGGAGCAAAAGAACACAAAGATTGTGTTTCCAGGCTTCCCAAGAATGCAGTAGCATTCTTTAAAAAAAAATTAGAGCCTCAAGCTTTTATCTTACATCTCAAAATATTTTAAGCCGTTTCTGTAAAAACTTCCATTTCAAATTTCAATAAAATTTCAGTCTTCATTTTTTTTTAAAAAAAATTCAAATAGTACCACTGGAAAATTATTATTATTTTATATAATGTTTTTGTAACTTTTTTTTTTTTTTGCTTCTTGGGCCATTCCAGTAACTTATGCCATTCTTTTTGCAGATTGAAATGGGGCTTGTATATGATTCTCCAGGTACGTGCTCCATTTTTACCTCATGTAAGGTAGGATGGGAATATGAGGTTTTCCCTGTCACATGACATCTATTTGTAGTCTTCTGGAACAGGGGTCTCCAAACATGGCAACTTTAACCCTTGTGGACTTTAATTCCCAGAATTCCCCAGCTAGCATAACTGGCTGGGGAATTCTGGGAGTTGAATTCCAGACGTTGTAAAGTTGCCAAGTTTGGAAATCCCTGCTCTAGATGTTCTTTCAGTTTATAAAGACCAAATCTACTTTGAGTTGGGGTAGTGCCCAAAAACTTGTGGCCATCAACTTTTTTGAAACCAACAGTAGAATGGTTTGCCATTGTCTTCTTCTGAGATTCTTTTTGAACAAGCTGGAGGTCTCCCACACCGGATCAGCTCAATTTAGCTTTCAGGTCCAGAAAAGGTCCAGACACCTCCTATGGTTTCTCTTATGTACTTTGTCTTCTTCTGTTGATGGGGGAAATGAATACATTTCCAGATGAAGCATGGCTGCAGGTATCTTAGTTAAAACGTTGAGACCAAGATAATATGAAAAGCACAGGGCACTTTAATTTCTAGTGTGTTGACTTCCCATTGAATTTATTGTCTTAGTTTAAAGAATACCTTTCAAAAAATGAAATCAACAGGGAGCTAGGTGGGTGCCATTAGATGTGTCCATACATTGGGGCCAATAAATATTTCCATACCTAAATCAGGACTAGAATTCATGGTCCCTGGAATTTTAATCTAGCATTTTAACCACTAGACTAAACACAAGAATAGTTTCTGCCATATAAAGGACCATATAAAGGCAAGTTGTGTCACATGCTGAATAATCAATTAGATTTGGCTGTGTGGATATCAGAAGGGTTAGCTGAGGACAATTTAGAACATGGGTGTCAAACTCGTCGCATCACAGGATGTATCGTGACGTATCGCAATTTTTTTTGCATTGCCAGAGCTGGAGTGGGTGAGGCCTCCGCATGATGCAACTGGCCCATGGGCCGGCAGTTTGACACCCCTGATTTAGAGTGAAGGCAAGTGTGGGTCAGTATATTTGTTATTTCCTTTCTTTAGGTCATGCTTTGATTAACAAATGGTTGAGCCTCTATGATCCCGTGAATCTCAATGCTGGATTTAAGGGCTACGTGAAGGTCACCCTCTGTGTCCTGGGAGCTGGGGATCGTGCACCGGTAAAGATCTTGTTTTAATAAAGTCAGCAGTATAACATCATCATCCAGGATCATTGAATATGATGCTAGTTATTAAACTGATACATAAAAATGGAAAGGTAAATATGTTGGGCACCAGTAAAAATGTTTATGTGAGGCTGGTATCTTTATTAGATTAAAAAATAGCATGCATTCAAGGGAGGGAGAGAGGGAGAGAGGGAGGGAGGGAGGGAGGGAGGGAGGGAGGGAGGGAAGAATATCAATAAAGATAGCTCTGGTGATCCTGTGGAGTTGATTTTTCTGGTCTGGTCTTCCTGGTGGGATTGACAGGTTCTCATTTGCCCATGAAGCTCATTAGAGGACCACTTTGGGCTAATTAAACAGAATGTTTGATGTTTTACTTAATGATCCTGTCACTTAGCAATGGAATTGCCAATCCTTATTGTGGTTGTTAAGCAAGGGCTACCTACTGTATATACCTAGTCCAACGTCTTCATCACCACTCTACCTTTTCCTCATGAGCTCACAGTGATGTTCATAGCTTTTCTTCCTTCTAATTCTCTCCATAACCTCCCTACAAGGCAAGTTGGGCTAGAGATACTGACTCATGGTCCAAAGTCATTAAGGAAATGTCCTTGAAATGAGATAGACTGGAACCTGGATCTTCTTCTCCAACACAACATCACATCAGAATCTAGAACATTCAACTGAGTTTCTGTGGGAGGAGAACTGTGAATGTTGCTTACAGATGGATTGATTCCTTCTCTACTCTCTGTAGGATTTGGACCAGCCAGCAGAGACTGGTGATTTAGAATCCAACCTCCTACAGCTGGCAAGTGTGCCAGCTGCACGCACAGCCTCCCTCCAGCTGTACATCTACCGAGCAGAAGATGTTCCACAAAGTAGGTGCTCAAGTCAACAAATCATCCCTTCGTTCTACTGAGGAAATTAATGGCACTGCCAAAGACAGGAATCTGGCTGCAGGTGCAAGAATGAAGGGGTAGCAATTCTAGTGTTTCTGACCATGTATGGTTGTTGTGGAACATTCATTCAGCCAAAGAGCCAAAAGAGAATAGAGAGAATTTGCTTCCTGTAGAGGTCGTAATATCAGGGGTCTTTGGTGCTCTCCGAGCTTGGTTGTTTTTATGCAGATATTTCATTACCCAAATAGATAACACCATCAGTGTTAGTGCTTGCCCTGTCAGAGTTAATGGAGTGATCTTGCAGGTTCTACTGCCCCAATGGCAGTTGGTTGAACCATTTACTGTTATCTTCTTTGGCAGTTCTTGATTGAGGCATTCTTTGCTTCTTGACTAATCACTGCATAGGTCCTAATATCTTGAAATACAGTTGGTTCCAAAGCATTTGAAGGGAGTGGGAGGTCAACTCTGCCAATTTAACTTTATGAGAAGATTGTATGAAGATGTTCTTCTCTAGTCTGGTATCCATTCCTTAAATGGAGTCGAGAATCTATAGTCAATACGGGCCTTAAAACCACCCAGAAAGTATCTGGCCTTAAAGCCACCCACTTGCCCCGAAGTATCCCGGCAGTTGGAGAAGCCAACAAACAAAGTCTCAACCAACTATGGAATTTACAATTACAATTATAATTAATTGTTAATGGTCTCGTAATCTATTTCAAATGCATCTAGTGTCTGCATAGCCACCTTATCTTCCTTCTTTCCATTTTCTATCCACAACCTAGTTTATCATAATACATTTTTATTAGTTTATCAAAATATAAAATACAAAGAGAAATGTTAAAAAGTAATAGAAAACTAGGAGGGGGGAATGGAAAAAGAAAGAAAATATGGTGTAAAGAGGGGAAAGGAAAGGAAGCACCAATTTCCAACATCCCAGTTTAAATCCTGCTTCAGACAAGCCACTCTCTGCAAGATGTAAGCAGAGAGTTAGCAGGCCCCATAATTCCCCCCAGACCTTAATAAAGTGGGATGCTAAAATAAGCCTGTTCCTTACTTTCTAATTAGCCTTTTGCTTGATCTTCTTTGCAGCACAAGATGGCATGGTGGCACCTTTCACAACATCACCTGTGGATCCCTTCAGCATATCTGTGGACCCTTCTCTGGAAGTTAACTTTGCAGGGAGAGTGGTGGGTGTGGACTAGAAGACCTCCAAGATCCCTTCCAGCTCTATTCTATTCTATTCTATTCTATTCTATTCTATTCTATTCTATTCTATTCTATTCTATTCTATTCCATATTTTCTATTCTATTCTATTCTATTCTATTCTATTCTATTCTATTCTATTCTATTCTATTCTATTCTATTCTATTCTATTCTATTCTATTTTCCTTTCTGCATTTTGCATTTTGCATTTTGCATTCTGCATTCTATTCTATTCTATTCTATTCTATTCTATTCTATTCTATTCCATTCTATCCTATCCTATTCCATATTTTCTATTCTGTTCTATTCCATTCCATATTTTCCATTCCATTCCGTATTCTATTCTATTCTATTCTATTCTATTCTATTCTATTCTATTCTATTCTATTCTATTCTATTCTATTCTATTCTATTCTATTCTATTCCATTCTATTTCTATTCTATTCTATTCTATTCTATTCTATTCTATTCTATTCTATTCTATTCTCTCTGTTTTAGAAGTCGGGGACATTTTGCTGGATTATTACTTTGCCTGTCTGCCCCTGATTGATTTGCTTTCTTTCTCAATTTTGTTCAGCTAAGGACCAAGATCATTTTTGGAGACACCAATCCTGTGTGGAACCAGGTGCTCTGTTTTCCCATGCAGGTAAGCTGGGGCTGAAGAGAAAGGACTGGCTGTCATTGACCGCAGGCTAAATTTATCAATAAGCAGGAGAACGCCCATGTATATACTTCCTTTCTGACTTGGGTCTCCCATTGCTCCATTTATTGGGTCCCATATAAAGGTAACAGAAGATTGAGAACAAAAGCAGTGAACCCATGTTGAGTTAGAAGCATAATGGAGCCTGCCTGCATTCATTGTGCCACATAACGGTCATGAATGAGGTCACCCATGTGACCAACCAACCCAATTTTGCAACATTTCCATCTTCCATTCTGTTCTGGAGTTTGGACATGAGAAAGTATGGGAATTCTCTCACATCCATGAAGATTTCCCTGGTGAGGGAGACTGAAAATGTTATTAACCATTGTATACCTAACTTCATGGAGAACTTCGCCACAGCCACCTTCTGCAAGGGTTAATAACATATTCTGTCAAGAAAACCGCTGCGATGCAGTCACCAAGAACCAAAGAAGCTTCAAGGGAGCCTTGTTTTTATTTTTCTTTTGTATTTTCACTGTAGTTGCCTTCTATCTGTGATCTCATTAAGTTCACTATTATGGATGGGTGAGTACCAGCAATTTCTGTTATTTCTCCACTTCCATACTGTATAAAATCTTGAATGTTTGCCCCAAAGCATTTGAATAAAGCATTTCCTGGTATTTTTCAAACATGATGTGTCATGCTACCATTGGAAGCAGCAGGAATAGAAAAGAAGACTTATTATAGTTTTTCTGTTTTAAATTGCAAATCATCCAGATTCGTTCTGGAATCAGCCAATCTGCAAAGCAAAGCAAAACAACCATTACACACAAACACACACACACACACACACACTTTTTAGTCCTCTGCCTGCTATTCCCCATGACAAATCAATTTCTTCATGATGAAGCTTTATTTAATTTATTTTTTATTGAAAAAAACTTATACATTTTCACCAAAGGAGAAGGTGGGATAAGGTGGAATATATAAGAAATATCATCTCATAAACATTTTAACAATGATCTAACAACAATTCTGTCTGTCTCTAGTTGTCCCTATTCCTAAGCCTTGGCTAATGAATACTTCAGGAGTTATCTAATACACACTCTGTTTGCTCCAGGTCAGCTCTATTCCTGAGCTATACAAGATGGCTAACTCTTGGTTACTATTACCAGTTTTCCTAACCACCCAGAATTGTTACAAGCTTTACACATGCATATTCCCTGTGAGTAAGCATTCCTATTCAAGGTTTGGACAAAACTCAGCAGCCCTTTTTCGTGCGGCTGCTGATAAAAACGGGATCGCCAACATGATCGCCAACGTCTGATAACGGATATGGCACAAGAAGAAGAAGAAGAAGCATTCTTTGTTCTTGCCAAACAGGCTCCACTTTTCCAGGATTCCCAATCTCTTTTTTAAGTGTGTGCCATAGCCTGGCTTTGCTTTAGCAGACAGCCCATCACAAGTGCTGAAGGGTTTTATCTAATTCCCGTCCCGTTAAAAGGGGGTATTTCTACAAGGGATTTTAAAAATGAAATGCTGGCAGACTCCCAGTATTTCTTGTTTCCCCTAGGGCAGAAGATGGAGATGGCATTATTTTGGGCACAGCCTTCATCAGCCTTTCCCAGATCTCTTGCGCAGGAGCTGAAACAAAAAGTAAGAACTTTCCCACCCTCTTTAAGACTTGTGGACTTCAACTCCCAGAATTCCCCACCCAATATGGTTGGCTAGGGAATTTGGAGAGTTGGTCCACAAGCCTTAAAGTTGCCACCTTTGGAGACCCCTGTCCTTGAGGATGCTTCAGAAGCTGCAACAAAGGCAGAACCTCAAGATCATAGGTCTTCAACAGAAGCCCGGATGCCGTCAGTTGCATTACGACATCGTTGCACAATTACATCATTTGCTTGGATGGGATTGTGATCTCCATGATGTCATTTGCCTCCCATGAACATGACAATATTATTTGTAGAGCCAGACAATGTTGAAAGCTCCATCTTGTCTCCACTAATCATCCACTGGGCCACTTTCAACATGTTCCCGTTTGGTTTTAAAGTCCCTAATCCGGTGCTGAGTTCTTTCCCTGAGGTGGCAGCTGTTTCCAAGCTCACCCAATTCTTAACTTTTGGAGGCAGTCCCTAGTGATGGTATTAGCAGAATGTGTGGCATCTTATCCCACCCATTCACATCTAACCGCATCATGGGACCATTTCAGTCGCAAACATCCCTGACCCAGGACCCATAACCCTCCAGATACCTGGATTCAGTTCTCTGAAGTGTCAGCAATGAACTGTTGTAAAATCAGGACTACTTGTATTGTTACCCCTCTGTTCTTCTCATTCCTTTCTGACATCTTTTCTACTTTGCATTAAAAAAATCTCTAGACTGATCACTTCAGTGGGATTTGGGAACTGGACTGAGGCTTTTGGGAAATAAGCCAAGAGAACCCCTGAATTCATCAGCCAGTGTACAAATCCATTTTTCTCTTAAACTTTTTGTTTCCAGAAGAGACCTCAGGCTTCTTACCTTGCTTTGGTCCCAGCTTTCTCACCTTCTACGGAAGCCAAAAGGAGTTTATGAATCCAGCCGAATCTCCTGAGAAACGCAGGATTCAGGAGGTAAATTTGACCCATTAACCAAGCAAAGTCTTCTGAGGGGAGGTCTAAAGTGGACTGTCCATTTCTCCTGCAAGACACAGTAGCTGGAAAGCTAAACAGACTTATAGGATTATGGCACATACATTCGGAAAGAGGTCAGCCTTGCCTGCTTGTCCGTAGGTTTAGGGCTATCCATTTACTGCAAGGGTGGGGAACGATGGCCCTTGTATGACTTCTGGACTTCAACTGGCTCAGGAATATTCTGGGAGTTGAAGTCCACAAGACATAAAAGGGGGCATCGTTCTCCACCCCTGATTTAGTGGATAGACCCTCTGCAGCACAGACCTGAAATTTAGGCACCTTTTTTGGACAGTTAAGGATTTTAAGGAGCAAAATAGGTGGTGGAGATACATAAGCTCCATTATCAAGACAACAAGAGGTGAAGTCTAGAACAGTAGTTCTCAACCTGTGGGTCGGGACCCCATTTGGGGTCAAATGACCATTTCACGGGGGTCACCAAACCATGCTGTCCGCCATTTTTTTCCCTTTTCCCTAGCTGTCCTACTCCCTCTTATTGGTGGCCACACCCACTTGGGGGTCACCACAACATGGGGAACTGTATTATGGGGTCACGGCATTAGAAAGGTTGAGAATCACTGGTCTAGAACATTCAGATAGCATTTGGAAGCAGCTCAGGCAGACACCTCTATGATTCCCTGCAGTATAAGTAGAGGAAAGAGTTCCAGCACAATTAGACTTGCAAGATCTCAATAAAAGTAACTTTAACCTTTCTGTGAAGTTGATGTCTTGGTCTGATCTCTTTATGTTTCAGGCTTTCCTAATCATGCAGTCAGGAATTAAAATTATTCTTGTCGTTTTTTTTTTAAAAATCATATTCTCAGGATTACAGGCCACCATCCAATGTTGTAAATTTTATGACTTCCAAGCCCCATCCTTCCATTGAATCAACTCATGTTGAGTTGAGACCATATTACTTGACTGCATGGCCAAGACTAAACTTCCACACATTTATCAACCTGCACAAGATAAGACCCGCCAAATTTAAGAAAGTATGAAAAGATTCTTGGCAATTTTTTTTAATGCTTCTCTTTTCTTCTGACAATTGCAATCTGCTATTTATTCCACGGACACAATCTCTCCACATTTTTTTTTCCAGGAAGAAGGGACCACGTATCGTGGAAGAGTTCTTATGGAGCTGCGGACTATCAGGGAACCCATCCCGGTTCAGAAAATTGATGACATCCCTGAAGAAACTGTTAAAAAGATGCAGGTAACCTGGCAGTGAAATGGATCCACAATGATTTTGCAAGAAAATATCTCCTAGAACTGAACTATGCCGTGGACTTTCTCCAAAGTCATTTTGCAAACCTTATTTTAAAAATGTTTATGAACTTCCTGCAAATTGCTCTTCGTGGTATTTTTGAGATGCCTTGATCATTGGATGGGTGGAAGGTGTTGCTATTGGTTACCTGTATTTCCATCCCTCTACTACAGCCTTCATGGTTACCCATAGTTCCCAAACAGGAAAAGCCCTAATGAGAACTAAAGGAAGTATAAAAAGTGTAGAAACTATAGAGCCTCCAGAGATCCACACAATGACAAACATGCTATTCTTACACCCCTTTCAGTTGATTTTTTAGTAAAAATGTATTACTCTTTATTAGAAATTGAGTTCTATGCTCTATTCTGTTTAGGCTATTGGCTTAATAGTTGCCGGACACATTTAAGAGTTTTAGTAGTATATTTTTGAATTTCCCTGAAATATTTCTGTCTTAGATGGGCAGTATTGATCTTTAAATCATTGAAATTAACAAACCCATTAAGGTGAAAATGGGCAAAACATAACATTACAAAAAAAATATATCTTTTTTTCCTATGAATTTGCTGGATTGTTGCTGGTTTCAACAATGAAACTCTAGCAACTGAGCTTTAATCAATTCATCCGCTTTAATCTGAATGAATGAAAATAGTTCAGTCAAACTTATAAACCAAATAAAATAAAGTAAGAGGTTGGAAGTGGCAAATTATGTGGGGTGATCTGGGCTAACTTACACCTTTCTTGCATAACCCATGACCATTCTTTGCTTTCTCAGTACTTCTTGCCCCAGTTCCGGTATGGTCTGTGTGTGGTCTTTTACTCTGCCACCATGTTGGCTGATATCACGGAACAGATCCAGTTTGAGGTCAGCCTGGGGAACTACGGGAACAAATTTGATGAGACCTGCAAACCGTTTGCATCCACCACTCAGTACTGCCATGCTGTCTATGATGGTAAGCAAGGGCAGAAGGAAACGCGGCGTTTGGAGCAAAACCAAAGTCTCCATGCCAGATCTGCCATCACACCACTTCAGCCCGATATCACTTTGATGGCATCCTGCCATAAAGAAGGAGAGGGGGGATGGGAGGGGCTATAGGGAGGGGGATGAGAAGAACCAGAACTGCCAACCACAGTTGAGCAATCCAAGGACACAAGCATGGGAATGGAATGTAAACAACCACCAAAGAGGCACCAAAATGTGGAACTGTTACCAAAATGCCTAATTTGAATATCATTGGACATTAGCAAGATGACCAGGGAGAGGATAGTCCAGGAGAAGGGAAAAACACTGGGGTTATGTGGGAATATTCAGATCTGGCTTTGCTTACACTGTAACCACTTGCCTTTAGTAAAAATATACCTTTTGCTAGAAATGGAGGCAAGGATCTTTCTTTCCCATGGAGTCAAGTTGGGACAGGCCCAACACTCCAATACTAAATAAAGATCAATGACCTCATTTGATCCTCAGCAGCCCCCCTGTGAGCTCTGTGCAAAACCAGATTGCTTCTGTTGCAGGTAATTTCTACTATTACCTACCTTGGTATGACACTAAACCCATGGTGACCATCACTTCATTTTGGGAGGATGTTAGCTACCGCGTTGCCTGCGCAAACACCCTCCAGTTCATTCATGAGAGGCTGGTAAGACGATCTACCAGTTCTTCTTTGATTCCAGGCTTGTTCACAGGATGGGGGTGGTGATCCAAAAAGTCAAAATGGCAGTGCCTTTCCTTTTTTAAAACTTGTGCTGTGCTTCAACCATATGGTAACTGCGATTTTGACACCTCCTCGAAACCCAGGGATTGCTTCTAACTCTAAAGGCTGGAAGCAGGCAGATCTTTGGGAAATTTCCTGCATTTCTGCCCCCCCCCCTATAGCCAGAGATCACTTCACTTGAAGAGACAGGGGTGACAAGAATTGATGTCTGCTTCTTTCCCAACAGAAAAAGAATCTGGATACTCTTAAAACCATCCGCCTGCCCCATGACCCACTGGTGGGTGTTGTTTGGAAGAAGCTGCAAAAAGAATTGGTGGAAGACTGCAAGTAAGCTTTCGTGAGCCGAGGGGGATACTCTTTGGAAAGTTCTCTTTTGAAAGAAGTTTGGAAAATCAATTCTAATGAGTAACAACAATGCAGGCACATTTCTTGGCCTGAAACTAACCTGGATTTCATGCAAATATGACCCAGAGGGAAGATTCAGGGAAAGAAGTAGCTGGGAGGAAAAGGTGATCCATTGGTGAAAGAGGGCTGGTGGAGAACATCATCTTAAACAGCCTCAAATTTGGAAAAGCATTATCTCTCTGTACCTACCTAGTTCTAGGGCAGGGATAGGCAACCTCGGCTCAGGAATTCTGTGAGTTGAAGTCCACAAGTCATAAAAGAGCCAAGGTTGCCTACAGTCCTGCTCTAGGGCATCGATCTCCTGAGCCTCCATCTTTATGTACTCTTCTTCCCCCTTCCATCTTCAGGAAGCCATTACCAGCCTTGGACATCCAGAAAGCTGTGACTGTCCTTGATAAACAGCTGTGGAAACTCCGTGTTCGGGTGCTCCAACAAATCAGCAAGGCTGCAGAGAAAACCAGCTGGAAAACTCCCTTGCAGAAACTCATCCCTAAAGTTGAGAGTTGGCTGAATCAGATTACCTCAATTGCAACTGAGGTACTCCTTGTTGTAACTTCTACAGGGTAGAGGACGGAGGGGGCTGGACTGTCAGGAGGATGGGCTCTGCCCCATGAAGATGCCGTCTACCTTAACGTTCTTTCATCCCAAAATGCCTTTCTCCAATGGGTCTGCTTCACCAACGGATCCTACATGTGTCCAGAACTCAAGGGAAAGTTGGAGTCGGGGATCAGACCGTGCAAATTCACCCAAATCTATATAACCTAAAATTAATCTCTTGATTAATTTTGAAGGAACATTAGGCACCAAGGATCAAACCATTCTGAATTTCAGCCTTACAAGAGCAAGGCCAGGATTTCTGGAGGATTTGAACATTGTTTCTGAAAGTTGGCTATAAAATAGAGCAGCCTTCCCCAATCCACTCATGTTTCATTTTATCCCAAAGGTGCTTTTTTTTTCCCCACGAGGCAACTGGACTTTCTTGTTTTTCTTTGAAAAACTTCGCTTCTCAGTTTTTGAAGAGCTGAAGAAGCTTCTTGGATGAGAAGCGAAACGTCTTCAAAGAAAAACAAGGAAGTCCAGTTGCCTCATGGGAAAAAAAAAAGCCCTCTTCGGACAACCAGGGCCTGGATGACTGAGACTCTCCACAGACCTGTTTCCTTTTAGCATCCCAGAATACAGCAGGATGATAAAGAAACACATCAGGGAGACTAGGAAGTGACGGCTGCCTCTCTTTCCTTCTGCCCTTTCCAGACTCAAATAAGTATCCCAGATGTGGTGATCTGGATGCTGTGGGATGACCGGCGTGTGGCCTACACCCGCGTGAAGTCTCAGTCGATCATGTTCTCCAAAGACGGCCCCTACGCCAAAGGCAGGCTGTGTGGCAAAACACACACCCTCTTCCTAAAGGTAACAAGAGGCATTTTGCTTTGGGTCATTCTTGCTCCAATCAACTCAGGAATCGATGCCTTTGGGTTTTTCTGGTTCTCCCCAGACATTTTGCAAACCCCTCCCTATTTCCTAGAATTGCGGAACCATAGAGATGGAAGGGTTCTTAGAGGTCTTCTAGTCCCAGCGCCTGCTCAATACAGGATCTGCTAGGCAGCATCTCTCACAGAGGATCACAGACTTTGTTGAAAAGTCTGTAGAAGAGGAGGAGGAGGAGGAGGAGGAGGAGAAGAAGAAGAAGAAGAAGAAGAAGAAGAAGAAGAAGAAGAAGAAGAAGAAGAAGAAGAAGAAGAAGAAGAAAGAGGAGGAGGAAGAACCCACGCCCCCAGTCTGCCATGACAACCGCAGCCATGCCCACCCAGTAGGCCACGCCCCCCATGCCCCCCCCCGAGGGCACCACGATGCTGATGTGGCCCTGGCACTTTGCGATAAATAAGTGGGTTTTGGGTTGTGGTTTGGGCACTCGGCCTCTAAAAGGTTCGCCCTCACAGGCATAAGGCTTTCCTTCTCCTCCGCCCACCTCCCAGGATATGCAAAGCAAAACGAATTACAGCCCCATCCCGGCTGTGCTCCGGGTTCGAATGTGGATGGGGCGGATGGCCGACTGCACGGACTTCATGAGGTGCTGCGAAGGGAGGATCGCCGTCTACGCGGAAACAGTGAGATGAGGCAGGAGAGTTCGGGGTGGGGGGGGAATCCAGGATGCTCTTAGTTGGTAGGAACTGAATTCAAATCTCGGGTTAGCTACCAAGGTCACTGAATGCAATGCAGAATGCAGAACAGCAGATTGGAAGCAGAAAGAGGGATAGTTGCAGAAATAATTCTTTAAAAAGTTAGTCCACAGCTCCTCTAGTAGGTAGTGTTGAAGTGGAACAGTTTACAGGTAGTCCTCGACTTAACGACCACAGTGACATTTCCATTGCTAAGCACAGCAGTTGTTAAGTGAGTTTTGCCCCATTTTACGACCTTTCTTGCCACAGTTGCTAAGTGAACCATTGCAGTTGTTAAGTTAGTAAGTGAAGCTGGCTTCCCCCATTGACTTTGCTTATCGGAAGCTGGCTGGTAAGGTTCTAAATGGCAGACCCTGGCGTGACCCTGGGACAATGCAACCGTCATATATATATGAGTCAGTTGCCAAGCAACAGAATTTTGTAACTCTAAGGATACTGCAACGGTCGTAAGTGTGAAAACCGGTCATAAGTCGCTTTCTTCTGTGCCATTGTAGCTTTGAACGGTTACAAAACGAGGACTACCTGTATACTCCTCAGTGCCCTCTTGTGGCTAATGTTGGAATGAAATCAAAAAAGTGGTTTGGTCTACCTACCAGAATCTTCACCGCTGTCTTACAATTTTCCTTATCTCCCAAAATTAAGGTGGAGACAAAACCCAGAGATGTACATATCTATAATTTTACTTGGAGTAAGTTTTGTTTTTTTACTTATTTTTTTAAAACTTAGACAGCCACTTAACGTATCCGTAGTAATCCTGGGTAACCCACAACCACTTTCCGTAAACCCCCCAAAATAAATATAGGTATTCCTCAAACTTATGACCACTTGTTTAGCCACTAGTCAAAGTTAGAAATGGAGCTGGAAAAAGTGACTTACGAGCAGTCCTCACCTTTATGACTCTCTCAGCAGGTCCATAGTGATGTGATTGCAATTTAGGTCCTAGGCAACTGACATGTATTTAGGATGGTTGCAGCATCCCGGGGTCATGTGATCATTATTTGCAACCTTCCCAGCCAACGTCTAACATAACAGCCCCACAAAATCTCACCAGCTTTATATTTCTTGGGCTCATTTTCACCCTAGGTAAGAGGATGAGGGGGCCTCCAAATCTTGGGGGCAGGGGGAAGCTGTTCCCAAAAGACAGGGCAGCCATGGGGAAGGCGGGCCTCCCGAGTCCTGCCCTATGGCAATATCTAAGGGGAGGAATCCAGAGGTGGGAAAGAACAAGCTAGCAAGCATCCCAGCACTGGCCCATGGATGAGGGTTTGTGTTCTGATGTTTTCAGTATGAAAACCAAAAGAAAACACACGGAATATGGGGAGTCATGGATCTTATGCCGCACCCCAACTTTTCAGATGTGACTGGACAGGTCAGCCTCCCCAAAGACAAGTTCCAGCTACCCACAGGTTGGCAATGGGGAGGCGAGTGGGCTGTGGAACCCCAAAGGAGGTGAGCTGATGTATTTAATAATTATGTATTTTTTTGTCTTTAACACACACACACACACACACAGACACAAATGTCCTTGGTTCACAAGGTCTCGAAACCTGTCCACCATAAAACCCAAAATGTGGAGGACAGGAGAAAGTGAAGAAATGCTCAATAAATGACAATCCATCAAAATAATGGTGTGCAGAGCAAGTCTTGCAGGATGTCTCAAATAGTAGGACAACAGATGGAAATGATGCCCCAAAAGTGGGCATTTTGAGGAGACATCAACAAAGCTGTCCCAACAAAGGTGGGATATAATCTGGAAGGTCAAGATGCCAGCTAATGGATGGAGCTTTGATTGCATACCTGTGGACAGGCTCTTAGTTGTTGAATAGAACGGAAGTCAGCCTTTACCATTTCTTTACTAAGTTGAGAATAGCATAGAATAACAGAGTTGGAAGGGACTTTGGAGGTCTTCAGGCCCAGAGAATAAGGCAATCCCCCCTTCTTTGTGACAGCCCCTCAAGTACTGGAAGACAGCTCTCATATCCCCACTAAAATAAGAGAAACAAGGATTTGTCCATTCCAACTGTCAGAGCAGTCTGGAAGCAGATGTCAAAAAAATCAGGATGACAGTCATGCAATGGGAGTGCTGCTCCTTTTAATGCGTATGGCACATGGTACACACTTAAAAAGTGAGTGGGCTTCCGTTGCATGGCCATTAGTGCTTTCTGGATGTTTTTGACCACCTCTCAGGATATCACACCTCCTGTAGATAGAATCATAGGGCTGGAAGAAACCTTTAAGGTCTTCTAGTCCAATCCACTGCCCAAGGCGGGAGACCTCATTACATCCTGGACAAATGGCTGTCCATTTTTTTCTTGAAGACCTTCAGTGATGGAGCACCCACTCCAGGAGGCAAGCTCTTTCACTGATAGCAGCACAAACTTTCTGTTAAAACTATGTTTCTCACTAGGCTCTTGTTGGACAAAGAGACCAATTATTCTGAAGTGATGCAGGAAGTTTATGAGAACCAGAGTCGACAACCTGGCCGTCGATGGAAACCAGCCAGGATCCCTTACAGCAATGCGGTGAGTGGCTCAGATTGAAACTTAATGTTGAAGGAAAAGTCTTCAGCATGGTTCAGTCCAAGCAGGGAATAAACAACATGGCGACCGCTTTAGGAAGAAGGATGCAGTTTATTGAAGAGGAGAGCCAGACAGGAAGATGGCTCTGGAAGAAAAAAAAAAGTGAGCACATGTAGGAAGTGGGTTTTTATACCCTCTGGAGCCTTTTATTTGGAGTTGTTCCTGTGGCATGAACTTTGAGCTGAGTCTGAGTGTGCCCTTTGGTATCTCTGTGTTAATCCTATTTTGTCCTGTCTTAGAGTTTGGGTGGGATATGTAGATTTTAGGTGTCTTTGTCTTCTTAATCTTCTAGCTTCAACGTTCCTAAATGGCTTACATCTGCATTTCAAAGAGCTAGTTTCTGTTTGGGGGAGAGAGACTTGGGACTATTAAGAAAACTGGGCATGCTTTTCTGCCTCTTTAAGATCCTTTCAGAAAATATATTTTTCTGCCCTTTTAATATTTCCTTCTCTTGGGGGCTGACTTCCCACATTATAAAAGAGAAATAAGTGGATCTGTTCCTTTCCTGCTTCTTGTCGGGGAGGGTTTCTGTTTTCATTTTCCCACCACAGTTTGTTTCCTATCAACCAGTGTTAGGAAATCTTAACTACTATACCACTTTTTCCCCAATATGGTTTGGAAGCTCAACTGTGAAGAAGTTCCTAGTTCTTTAAACGTTTTCCCAAATGCTGGTGGCCAGTTTGCATACCTTGGTCTGGTATTACAGACTTCTGGGCTGTTGCATTTCAAATACATGTTTAGAACTTACTTCCTCCCATTTTCTACTCTGTGTTGTCTCCTGCCATTCTTAGAGCGGTGCCCCTACTCCCCAGAAAGAAGACATCTTGTGTCCTCCTGGATGGATCTTTGTGGAAGAATGGAAAGTGGAAGTGAACAGAGCCGTGGACGATGCTGGCAAGTGTTTGGCTGCAGCTAGATAGACATTTCTTTAGAAAATGCAACACAGATATTTAATTGAGGCAATTTTAATCTGAAAGAAAAGTACTGAGGGGAAGGGCAGACATTAGGCAAATAAATGACTGGTGATCTTGACAGTTCCAAGTGGGTCCATAACGGGCAGCGTTGGAAGTGCTGCAGCCGTTGCTCCATCATTTGCCTACGGGCCTCATGGCGCCTCTTTCCTCCTCAGGGTGGGAGTATGGCATTGTCATCCCACCAGCTGAGTTTCCTCACTCCTGGAATGCAGCTGAGAAGACCTACCACACGCACCGGAGGCGACGCTGGCTGAGGAAGCGTTTCCGGAACCTCGGCAGGGAGACCCGGGAAAATCAAATGGCTGCCTTTCTCCAACTGGTACTGAATCTTAACTTGGGGAGTGGTTGTCAGACAGAAAGTCACTGGTGAATGAAGAGGGAACTTTGGAAGCCAGGACATTTTACTAGGCCCATGGAGGGTGGCCAGAGTTGAGGGCAGGCTGACCCAGAGTGCTGGTAAGGAGACTGCCCTGGAAACCCTGAACGAGATGGTAATCTTAGCATGAAGTTCATCTATCAAGGAGATGCTCCATACGTCGTCTTCATTATAATTTATTAAATTTTATTTTTATTATTATTTTACTCATATCCCACCTTTATTATATTTACAAATAATTCATGGCAGTGAACATATCCAACAGATCTTCTTCCTCCGTTTTGTCCCCACAACAAAAAAGGGGAGATAGGTTGGACTGAGAGATAGGGACTAGCTCAAAGTCACCCAGCTGGCTTTCAAGGCTAAGACAGGACTAGAACTCAGAGTCTCCTGGTGGTTGGCCCAAAATCAGTCAGCTGGCTTTCCTAACTTGAACTCATGATGTTCCACTTTCTGGCCTGGTGCCTTAAAACCACTAGACCAGGGGTAGGCAACCTTGGCTCTTTTATGACTTGTGGACTTCAACTCCCACATTGAGGGGAAAGGGAGAGGTTTCCAAGCTGAGCCATGCTGGCTCAGGAATTCTGGGAGTTGAAGTCCACATGTCATAAAAAAGCCAAGGTTGCCTATCCCTGCACTAGACCAAAGTGGCGGCCCAACTCTTGATGATTCTGGGCACTTGCATGGGTTAGTTCCTGTTTGGTGTAGTGGCAAAGGGGCTGGTCTAGAAAGCAGAAGATGGTGAGTTCGAATCCCACCTTAGACATGAGAACCTGCTGGATGACTTTGGGCCGGTCTCTTTCTATCAGCCCAAGAGAAGGAGGAAAGAGTATTAGGAATGTTCCCCACCTTATTTCTAAAACAAATAATGGTAAAAGTGGGGTGTCAAGAATAAATAAATAAATTGCAACACTGATCATCGGCCATGCTACTGTCATAGCCTCTCTGGGTTACCCACTTGAGCAGGACTTAACTCTGGCTAAAATAAGACTTCCTAATCAGTGACTTTCTCCCTGTGGTTCCTGCAGCACTCAGACGTTAAAGTGAAAGAGGATGTCTGGGAATACGCTCCGCTCTATGGCTGGAGATTCCACCTCCAGAGGCAGCCAGATGATGTTTTTCGGCGACGCTGTTGGCGTAGGAAACTTGCTCCTGTGGCACCCAGCTTGGTGGCACCCATTTTCTACTTGGAAGGCTCCTTGGTAAGGCTCCACACCCATTTGCACTACTTGGGTGACCCTGAGGACACAAATAAACCTCCAAATGGCCTCAATGACTCTGTAAAAGAAGGCAAATGACCAGCTGTCTGCAAGGAACATAAATCCTTCCGTTCCCCACCATCCAGTCAGAGCGGAAGAAGCTTCTTGGATAAGAAGCAAAACGTCTTTTTAAAAAAAGGAAGTCCAGTGGCCTCTTGGCATTACCTTCTGGGAGGTTCTTAAGCCATAAATCCCCCAAGAGTAGTAGTACTGGGGTATTCCTTGCCAGCATTATGAATATCTCCTTTATTTCAGGGAGTAGAGGTTGGTGGCCAACAGAAAAAGAAAAAACCTGAAGCAGGAAGGAAAGATGAAAAAGAGGAGACTGAATTAGAACCAACTGCTTCACAAGGTCTCTTGAAGATGAATACTCCTCTTCTCTTCTGCGTCTTCAAGAGTGAGTTCGCAGAACTATCTTTCTGCAGTTGAGGTCCTTCAGATGGAGTGGGCTTTCACACATTAGAAGACCCAACAGTTGTGTTAGGGAAGATTGGCTTATATAAGGACAGCCACAAAGAGTGTCCAACTTATCCTTTTGAAAACCATCCATCTTAGTGCTGGCTGCAGATTTGATGAGTTCCTCTTCTATTCCTTCATTTAAATCATTTATGAAGATATCAATGAGTCCTGGGCCTAAAACAGAGCGTTGGGGTACCCCTTTGCTTATTTCCCTCCATGTAGATACAGTTCTATTGAAGACTCCACGTTTGAGTGGGGTTGGTCAGCCAGTTACGAATCCCTCACGTGGTGATGCTGTCTATCCCACATTTTTTCAAGAAGTAGGCTGTGAAGTTCTACTTTGTCAAATGTCTTACTGAAATCCAAGTATACCATTAGTGTGAACCTAAAAATTCTAAGATTCCCAAAGGGCATTCTGAGAACTGATAAAGTATCATTTTGGGAAGCTGTACTAAAGAAGCCAGAAGAAAAAGTGAACTCATAAAAAAAAACCTTCCTCTTTTTAGGTCCAGTGTATTTCCAGTTGCGCTGCTACATGTACCAAGCTAGGGACCTCCTGGGAAGCATTGTGAAAGGGACTGCAGGTGAGCATCATAAAAGAGATGCCTCCTAAACACCCAGCCAAGATAAAATTAGTTCACCCTTCCCTCATCATGTCTGTCTACTGTGAACATCCCTATTCATTTACTCAGATGCATACAAAGGCACAAGTGTTGTTCTTCCTTTGAAGTTGGGAGGAGTTGATGGCTTTTGTGATCTAGATTCCTCCCCATATGCTGGGATTAAGTCAATTTGACTTAATGCAGCTTTTCTATATATCTCCATCTTTCCTATGGAAGCAACAGTCCTTTCCACGGGGAATTATCTAGACCAGAAGAAGGAACAGAAAGGGAATTAAATTCAATGCAATGTTGTTTGTAAAAAAAAATAATAAAGGCAGGATACAAATTAAATAATTTAGTGAACTGAGGTTTTGTGTCTCTGACAGATCCTGTGGCTCATATCTCTTTCCTTCATATGAGCCACTGCACCCACATTATCAATGGTACGCTGCACCCTTGCTGGGACGAGACCCTTCTCTTTGAAGATGTTTTGATTTATGGAGAACCTCAAGGGACTGCACAGGACCCCCCCATTGTGGCTGTGGAGATCTTTGACTATGATTCAAGTGTACGTATGCGGGACCTTTCATTGGCTCACAAGAACAGAAAGTGAGCATCAGAATAGGTCACAGCTAACTGACCCTATTAAGATTCAGTCCTTGTCATTTTGGCATTTTGCTATTTTGGTTTACAATAATTTCCAGGAGATTCAAACATTATATCGGCTTATTTCACCAGTTGTTCCACCTAGCCTGAGAGTATCAGAGTATGTACTGGATGATGAGACCCATGTAATTCAACCATCCTGTTTAAAATAAGTCAAGAGTATATATTTTATGCAGAGTTTGATTGTCTCTGAACTTGGAGGGATCATGATCATGTCTGGTCTGAAGCCTAACCTCTGTGGGATACCTTACCCAATTTAGATGAAGAAAGGCTGACTTTTTTTCAACACATTTTTAACTTGGTGCTAATCAATATTCAGATTTTTGTAGACCTTCTACTCACCCCTTTGTTTTTAAACTCCAAAGGACTCATGATTCCAGGACTCAACCCCTAAACCACTCTTCCCTCCCTCTCTCCATCAAAATGACCATAATTGTGAACCTCCTCGCAAGAGAGACACCACATTACAGAATACAGAAGATAGAATACAAAATAATAGAGTTGGAATGGATCTTGGAGGTCTTCTAGTCCAATCCCTTCTCAAGCAGGAGACCTTATATTATTCCAGACAAATGCCTAAAAATCTCTTCTTAACAATCTTCAGTGCTGGAGCCCCCACAACTTCTAGAGGCAAGCTGTTTCACTGCTTGATTGTTCTCACTGACAAGCGATTCCTCCTTAGTTCTAGGCTGGATCTTTCCTTGATTAGTTTCCAGTCCATACAAAGAACATCTAACTCTACACAGAACATTTAACTCTACACAGAACATCTAACTCTACACAGAATATCCCCAAAATGTCTTCTGCATCTGGGTGGTTGTTTTATTATCGTACCCAACACCCAGATGCATCTTTTTTGCTCTCGGTTACGTTGTTCACACACCTATCCGCTTTGCATCCCTTCTTTCTGATAGGCCAGGTCCAATGATTTTATGGGAAGATGCACCTGTATTCCATCTGTGTGCTTGGACCTCAACTTACGAATGATACCCCGTCTCCAGAAGTATTCTATCACCAACAACGAAGAGGAGAATGGTTATCTCATGGCCGCTTTTGAGCTTCTCTTGGACAGGAAGGTAAAACACACATACACACACACAGTCACATTCCAGGTTTCTGAGGACCCCGGAGGAACTGTCAGAAGTACATAGCACCACATTGTCAAAGGGAACAATGGATTGATCTTTTTTCTCAGCAAATCTTGGTATTTTTGTAAAAGGAAGAAGGGGACGTGATCACGAAACTGAGTGATCTTTTCCAAGTCAAACGGTGCAAAAATGGCTGGAAATATTTAGAGGTGTAAAGCAAAAGGTTGATTCTGTAATTCTTTCTTCTATTCTACTGCAATGAAAAAAGACGCTACTATGTTTTTTTTTTCTTACTGCTTTCTGCACAGCTCTTTTTCTCTCTTTAATTTTCTTAATTTCTGTGTGTGTTTTATCTTATGGTAAACGTTAATAAAAATTTAGAAAAAAAGAAAGAGTCTGCCAGGGTGGTATGGCTGCATCTGAAAGCCAGTAACTTTGCTTGCAATTACTGCTCAGCATGGAGTTGCAGGAGAAGAGCCGGCAGAGAAGACTCAGCCTAGAATTGTTACATGCCCACAAATGAATCAGAATAGAGCTGAAAGGGACCTTGGAGGTCTTCTAGTCCAGCCGCCTATTCAAGAAGGAGACCCTAGACCATTTCAGACGAGTGGCTGTCCAGTCTCTTCTTAAAAACCTCCAGTACAGTGGTTCTCAACCTTTTTAATGCCGCGACCCCCAACCGGTCGTAAGTCGAGGACTACTCAACCGGTCATAAGTCGAGGACTACTCAACTGGTGCAGCACCGTTTGCAGAATGGGACTTTTGGCGGGCTCAGCAGGGCAGAGACAGCCTGGACAATTCAAGAGAGTCTTTTCTATTGGCTTTCAAAAGCCAATAGAATAAAAGGGAGTAGCACAGCTAAGGAAAAGGGGGAAAAAATGGCGGACTGCGTTGTTTGGCGATCCCCGTGAAATGGTCTTCGACCCCAAATGGGGTCCCGACCCACAAGTTGAGAACCACTGCTCCAGTATGAAGCATCCACAACCTCTGTAGGCAAGCTGTTCAACTGGTTAATTGTTCTCATTGATAGGACGTTTCTCCTTAATTCCAGGTTGCTTCTGTCCTTGATTAGTTTCCAAGTCCAGTCCCTCTTGAATTCCATTAACTCTTATCAAGAACCAATTTTCTGCCAACTGTTAGTTGACTAGATTCTTATGTATAGCTTGAGTAATAAATCAATTTACGTGTAATTCTGATTCTTCACAAGAGGATAGGATCTTGGAGTCCTAGTGGGCAATCACTTAAACATGAGCCAGCAACGTGTGGCAGCAGCCAAAAAAACTAATGCAATCCTTGATTGTATAAACAGAGGCAGAGAATCAAAATCACGTGAAGTATTAGTATCTCTTTATAAAGCCTTAGTAAAACCACACCTGGGATATTGTGTCCAGTTTGGGTCACCACATTACAAAAAAAGATGTTGAGACTTTGGGAAAAGTGCAAAGAAGAGCAACTAAGATGATTAAGGACCTGGAGACAAAAACATATGAAGAATTGTTGCAGGAATTGGATATGGCCAGTGCAGAGAAAAGAAGGACTAGGGGGGACATGATAGCAGTGTTCCAGTATTTGAGGGGCTGCCACAAGGAGGAGGGGGTCAATTTGTTTTCCAAAGCTAGAAGGCTAGAAATAAACAATGGATGGAAACTAATCAAGCAGAGAAGCAACCTGGAACTAAGGAGAAACTTCCTAAGAGTGATGACAGTTAACCAGTCAAACAGCTTGCCTTCAGAAATTGTGGGTGCTTCCTCACTGGAGGCTTTTAAGAAAACACTGGAGAGCCACTTGTCTGAAAAGGTATAGGATCTCCTGCTTGAGCAGGAGGTTGGACTAGAAGACCTCTAAGGTCCCTTCCAGTTCTATTCTGAGTGATTGGATGGTTCATGTTTCTAGCACTTTCATCTGAAATCCATGGTGCCCAACTTCAGAAAGATCTCCCTTTTCTTCTTTCAGGACGGATCCATGGGGAAACATCCACCTCCCACTTGGAAAGATGGCGTTTATACAATCCCCAAAGGAATCCGGCCCATCTTGCGGCTGATGGCTGTGGAGGTGAGCTTGTGAACCCATTCAGATGGCTCCAGACACCTTGGTTGGCAAGAAATTTCTCCACAGGTATCCTGGGAATAGAAGAATCCAGCTCCATCCTATGAATCTCTCTTTCTGGTCAAGCCCCACTGTGAGTGACAGGCTCCACCCATGAAGGAAGCTTTGAAGCAATTGAACAGGACAAAGCGAGCAACAAGGATGATCTCCCCCTACCGGCTCCTCACCAAGCACATATATTTTGTAGGCTACAATAGGGTCTTTTCCTATTGCTGAACTGAATTCCTCTCCACCCATTCTTCAAATAGCAGCATAAAATTCTGTTAGCTTCTTTTCTGACCAATAGATTTTATTAAAAGTTAAGACCAACTGGTGCATCTTATATCCAATCAATGGAAGATTCAGCTGACTCTTTTGCCAATCTCCCCATAGATTCTTGCCTGGGGTCTTCGAGACATGAAGAATTACAATCTGATGGTTGTCAACAATCCTAGTCTCATCATAGAGTGCGGAGGAGAGTCCATTCAGACGACAACCATCAGGAACTTCCAAGAGTACCCCAATTTTTCAATTAACATCTATCTCATGAAAGTGGTGAGTTACATAAGCAAAGTTTAAGGAACTGAGGGAGGAGCAGAATACAAGCAGTCCTTGGTTAACAAGTACTTCTTCAGCACTTGTGACAGCACTGAATGCATGGTACTTAACAACCGGTCCTCAAAATTCTGATTGTTGCTGCACCCCATGGTCATGGGATTGCAATCCAGGCACTTAGCCACCAACTCACACTTACAACAATTGCAGCATCCCACAGTCACATGATTGCTCTTTGCCACCTTCTCTGCTGATTTCCACAAATAAAGCCACTCCTACCACTTTTTTTCTCAAGGAGACCCTACAGAGCACAAAATCCCAGGGTTCTTGTCCTCCATAGCAGGCTCACACCATAGTATTCCCTCCCCAGCTGCACACACACATGCACAGTGCTGCAGCACCCCCAGCTCGGCCCACATACCCTCCCATGGCATCACAGCGTCTCCTCCCCAGCCCACATGCAGTTCCGTGGGACGACAGGACCGTGTACCCAGCCCACATTCACTCAATGCAGTGTAATTTCACCTCACTCTGTAGATCTCACCTTCCCCGCGAGTCCCCTGGGATTTTCAACTTCCTACCAGCTTCCTCATTGACTTTGTGGGAAACCAGCAGGAAGTCACAAGATGCAGGCGTGTGTGGTTCTCGCTTAAAAACCCATAATTTTATTTATTTTATTTTATATTTTTTATTCATATACCACCTTTGTTGTTTTTTATCAATAACCCAAGGAGTGTTGAACTTATCAACACTCCTTTCTCCTCCTCCTATTTTCCACCCAACATCCCTGTGAGGTAAGTTGGGCTGAGACGGAGGGACTTGCCCAAAATCAAGGAGATGCTGTTGGTATTGCCGTCATTAAATGATATAGTTATATGACATTGTGCCTGACCACTGCATCCAGTCCCCATTTCTGTTGTTAAACAAGGACTACCTTTATTCAGAAGTTATGAACTGAGTAATCTCAGAGGGATTGCCCCCTTTGTCGATTCTCTTGAAAAAGGTTACTTTTTCCATCTTTACTTTCTTCAGTACCTGCCTGTTGATGAAGATTATTCCCCTCCCATTGAGCTGAAGGTGATTGATCACCGAGATTTTGGATTTAAGCCAGTGGTGGGACAAGCAACAGTCAGATCTCTGAGTCAATATTACTGCAATCCGCTGGAAGAAAGCAAAGCCCACAACCTACCACCCCGAGGTATAATTGATAAATGTCTTAATAAGTCAGTTATCAATATGTTATTCATCAAACAGGAAAATAGGATAGCACAAAATAGATTATTTTCATTTTTTAACTTGACCACCAGTATCTTGCAAACCAAAGCAAGATCCTCAGCCTCCTATTTATTTCCAATAATGTTTCTCTTCCATGATGTTTCCTGAGAAAAGGTTGTCAAAATCAATAAAGGAGAACATTTGTAGCTCAAGGTTGAAATGAGGGGTCTTGGTGCTCTCTGAATTTAGTTATTTTCATTACCCAAACTAGGTAACGCCGTTACTCAGGTGAGCTAGCACAGTCAGCTCAAATTTTGGGGGGCTTGTAGTCTATCTGCAACTAAGGTTACGAGAAGCCAGTTGAAGTCACTGGAAGTTTCACAAAAACCCTTCTGAACTTTCTGAAGGACAAGAAATGATAACGCCTTAAGAGGGTGAATTCTGTTCCTGCTCAAACGTTTATGAATTTTCTTAATGTGTTTTTCCCCCTAACAGTCACTAAAAAGGTGAAGACTAAAAAGGTAAGTATTCCTATTGTTTGGTGTCACAATCAACATTTTGTTTCTTTTCTTCTTTGTGATGGGACTTGTGGTTTAGCACTTGTATGAATTTCAACTCCCAGAATTTCCCAGCCGTCATGCTAAGAATACACTGATCTGGTGTATTATTGTACCTATTGTATTGAGTGCGTTGTAATACCACTAAAACATTATGGTTAAAGTGGTACGTAGGTACCATAAATAGAGAGGGAGGATCCTCCTTGTGTAGGAAGTGTATTGGATTAGTAGTAAAGTATTTGCTCCCTGGGGATTCAGATTGTCTTCACCAACCATAACTTCACCATCACCACCCAGGTTTTTAATCTCAGAATTCTCTAGAAGTAGAAAGTATAGCATGATGACTAATCCGTTGATGGAATTTTCTGAAGAGATTAACAGAATAACAAATTCTAGCAATAACTAATAATTAAGATTAATTCTGCTGCTTCTTACAGAGACTGAACAACTTTAAATTATGGTCATGGAGGAAATCAAAAGAAAAGAAGGTAAGTCAGGGTCAAGATCTAGCACCAGTTTAGTGCTGGCCATTAGTTGACTGAGGCATGAGCAATAGATCAGCTCATCAGGAATTGAATGTATGGTCCTGAGTCTTCATGCCTGACAGTTGGTCCCTGAAGATATTAAGAAATGAGGTCAACGCAAGGAAGTCTTTTGGTTGGAGAGAGCAAGCCCAAAGATGAGCAAAGATCATTCCATTTGGAAAACATGGAGAGGGCCACGCTCAAGCTTCTTTCTTTATTTTTTGACAGATAGATGAGGAGGAGGAAGAAGAAGAAGAAGAAGAAATTGATTGGTGGAGCAAGTACTATGCAACAATGGGAGATTTATCAAAGAGTGGGCATTACCTGGAAAAGGGCTACGATAGCATAAAGGTGTGCTTTTAAGAGAAATATCATAGGACTACAGGGCAGGCAATAATTTTCACAAGAAACAGCGGCTCCACATCCAATGAAAATGAATATTGTAAGCCATCTTTTGCAATCAGAGGCAATGCTGGCTGAGGAATTCAGAGACGTTTTTCAAAATACTTTCAAGTAGGGATATTTTCATACAGACAAAACATCATGCAGTGTGGTAAATATATTCACTTACAATATGGGTTATGAGGAGGCCTAAATGCTCACAAATTTTGCAAATCAATAAATGTATAAAATATTTGGACCATTTGTGGTTAGTTAGTACAGTAATGGAAGGATGCTCAGAGTAGAGAATAAAGATTGTGCAAACATATACGGAGAAAGTAAAGTAAAAATCAACTGATTTTTTAAATAATCTACTGAATACTTGCATCCACAATACTGTAGATGTAATACAAATAGATGTATTACATCTACAATATTGTAGATTTAATAATAATCTACATCTACATTACATTTACAATATTGTAGAATGAGAATAATCTATAATAATATAAGGATACTTATAGAGAATAAAGATCATGCAAATATACATAGAGAAAATAAAGAATATTTCAACTGATTATTTTTTTTAATAATTTGCTCCCAGATCTATAACTGTGAGCTGGAAGAAGTTCCTGAATTCCACGGTTTCCAGGATTTCTGTCAGACTTTTCAGCTATACCGAGGAAAAGTCCAAGATGATGACCCTGTTGTGGGGGGAGAATTTAAGGTGAAAACAAGACCCCAATCCCCATCTCTGGCAAATCGCCTGAGGAAATTCACCCAGGAAATCTGGATTTCTATCCTTCCTGTTCTCTCTAAATTAGTCACTTCTCAATTTAAATCTTTTTAAAGTCATAGACCAGCATGTAGAATACAGAAATCACATTAATTAAATTAAATGCAAAAGAAAGGAAATGAATATATATGAAAATATTCTAAAATCTCTAAGAGGACTTAGAATCAAACCTACAGCATAAAGTGGGGGCTCCTGAGCAGATTTGGCTGTAGACAGAGAGATGAAGTCAAGCTGATCTGATAATATAATATAAATATATAAATAATATAAAACAAATCAGAATGACAGGCTATTTAATGAAAAGTGCAAAATAATAACTCCTGACGTGTTCCTGTATAGTGCGGACAAAAGAGTATAACGTGTTCCAATGAAAGGGCTTTTCATTTTTATGTTGATGTGTACAGATCTCCCAATTCTTTAATAACCTGTGGAAAACCAAATTCCAGCATTGTTGAGTCAGGGGAAACAATATCATTTGCTCATTTGCTCAAACTCATAGAATTTTCAGGGAAAGAAATGCAGAAGTGGTTCTCCTGGAAGCCTCTATTGACCACCGCCTTGTTGTACAGGGCCTTTTCCGGATTTATCCTTTGCCAGAAGACCCCAGAATTCTGCCTCCACCACGTCAGTTCCAGGAGCTTCCTGCCAATGTCTCCATGGACTGTCTGGTTCGCGTTTATATTATCCGAGCTTTTAATCTCCAGCCAAAAGACCTCAATGGATTGGTAATAATCTTTTCTTCATTGTTTTGCTGCAGTCATAGAAAATCCTCTTCCAGGGGCCGGTTGGTAGAGTTGTTCAAAGTAAAGTTTGGAGCGGCAAGTACAAACATTGACAACAACTGCCCATTAACTTCTATTTCATGTGTCTTAACTGGTGAACCTTGCAACTTCGATTTTGTACTGGCACCAGCTGATGAATCTGCTAAAATTCAGCAAGTTTGGCTTACAAGAGTTCCAAAACAAAGCGGGATGAAGGAGAGTAGGCAGGAAGAGTCTAAAAGCTCTGACTCTCAGATTCTGCCTGGCTACTCTCCCTCATCCCGTTTTGATCTGGAACTCTGGTAAGCCAAACTTGTTGAAATTTGGGGAGAAACCTGTCTCTATTCTGTAAGTGTGTGTGTTTGTGAGCCTCATTTAAGAAAGAGAACAAAACCACCCCTTTGTGTCTTGTGTGTACTGGGCTGGGGACAAAACACGGAGAAGAGAATATAGTGATTTTTCTTTGCACCCCTTTACAGTGTGATCCCTACGTCAAGATCAAACTAGGAAAAGAAAGAATGGATGACCGAGAAGAATATATACCCAACACCCTGGATCCTGTGTTTGGAAGGTCAGTCTAGCAAATTGGTTCTGGAAAACTGTTTGTTGGGTCAAATTGCTTTGTTTCTGCTGACCAGCATTCAAGTCACATGTTTAAATATAGTTTGGGACTGCAGAATATGCTGCATACTACTCTTACATATGGAGCAGATTACCATGCTCCTCTCAAACGTGGTTAACTAATTTGTGGCAATAGATAGATAATGATAGATGATAGATGATAGCTCAGACATGTCAAACACAAGGCCCGCGAGCCGGATTCGGCCCACAAAGTAGTTTCATTAGGCCCATGAAGCCATCCTGCAAACAGAGAACTGCCCAGGCCAGCCAGGAGCCAATGTATAATTTCATGGTGGCCACCCATGCTGGAACGCATTCAGTTTTAGCTCCACAAGGCCATCCTGGAAACAGCAAGGGACCGGCTCCTGCCACATCAGCCCAGCCACCTAGGCGCACATTGGGGAGGTGTCACCTTTCATGAGGAATGAAGAAATGCACCATTGCCTGGACGTGGCCAGCAAATGGCCCTTGCCTACTTCACCTATCCGTCTTGGTGAGCTCTAGGGGAGGGGACGCTGTGAGCAGCGTGAGAGTCGATGTTATTTGCACAATGCCGCCCAGCCCCCAGCCAACCTGGTTTTGGCAGGCAGTGGGGCACTCTCCTCACAGCGCCGAGAAGCTGGGCCAGGCGGTGCAAAGCTGGCAAGCTTCTGGAGCCCACCAAGTTGGATATGTGAAGTAGGTGAGAGCCATTTGCTGGCCACTTTCACACAATGGTGCATTTCTTCATTCCTCATGAAAGGTGACACCTCCTCACCATTTCCTGAGAGCTAGCTTCCGTTCTAACTTACCGGTTTGCTAATGCCTAATAAAGTTTACATTAGAGCAGGGGTGTCAAACTCGCAACGTCACGTGACATGTCGTGACATGTCGTACTTTTTTTCCATTGCCGGCAATGGGGTGGGCACGGTTTCACTATGATGCATTGAGCCCGCGGGCTGGCAGTTTGACACCCCTGCATTAGAGAATGCAATGTCTCTGATGCTTTGCCTCGTTGGGTTTGTTAGCCAGAATTTAACGTCTTCTTTTTTTCTGTGATGTCTCAAGAACATATGAACTTACATGCACCATCCCATTAGAAAAGGACCTGAAGATCTCCTTATTTGATTTTGATCTATTTTCACCTGATGACCCAATTGGGGACACCACCATAGACCTGGAGGACCGACTCATGTCTCATTATGGGGCCAACTGTGGGCTACCACAGACTTACTGTGTGTAAGTATTAAGCCTATGTGTGAGTAATCCCATCTTTCTCATCATAGCAGCTTCCAGATGTTTGGGGAATCATCTCCCAGAAATTCCCAAGAATATCTTCTCAACTTTAGAAGTTCAGGTTGCTTTCATCTACCACATGCAGGAACTGGAAATGTCTAGTCTCACAAACAGAAGGACTAGGGAAGACATGATGGCAGTATTCCAATATTTGAGGGGTTGTCACAGAGATGAGGGGGTCAACCTATTTTCCAAAACACCCGAGGGCGAGACAAGAAGTAACAGATAGAAACTTAACAAAGATCCGAACTAGAAACAAGGAGGAATTTCCTGACAGTGAGAACAATTAACCAGTGGAACATCTTTCCTCCAGAAGTTGTGGGTGCTCCATCACTGGAGGTTTTTAAGAAGAGATCGCATAGCCATTTGTCTGGAATGGAACAGGGCCTCCTTCTTAATCAAGGGATTGGATAAAAGACCTCTATAGTCCCTTCCAGCTCCGTTATTCTGTACTGAAGTGATATCTTCAAGAAAAAGCACAGTCTTTCTGAAAAGGTTCTCTACAAACATTGTTTAACCTCTTCTCCCTCTTGCAGGGCTGGTCCCACACAGTGGAGAGATCAGCTTCTTCCAAGTGAACTCTTGGAAAATCACACTCAGGCCAAAAACCTGCCTCAGACAGAGATAAGTGAAGATGGAAGCAAAGCCATTTTCATGGGTAGAACTTATCTGCTCTCTGACTTTGGTGAGTTTCCAGGGAATTTTCAGTACTGTACTGTTTGGGGCAGTGTTTCTCATCCTTGGCAGCTTTGCGTGGACTTCAACTCCCAGAATTCCCACTGCTGGCTGGGGAATTCTGGGAGTTGAAATTCACATAGCTGAAATGAAGTATTTCCTTGTGGTCACCAAAAGGGAGCTTGATTGAAGGTGCCGTTACCTTGAGGCCTTGTCCCACTTGGTTTATATGTTTGAATCACACCTGTATTATTTTTACAATGAAGTCAAGGCAGTGAACATATCCAACGTGCCTTCTTCCTCCTATTTTCCCCACAACAACAACAACCCAGTGAGGTAGGTTGGGCTGAGAGAGAGGGACTGGCCCAAAAGCACTCTGCTGGCTTTCATGCCTAGGGCAGGACTAGAACTCACTTCTCCTGGTGATTGGCCCAAAGTCACCTAGCCGCTTTCATGCCTAAGGTATCTCCTGATGATTGGCCCAAAATCACCAAGCTGGCTTCCATACCTGAAGCAGGACTAGAATTCACTGTCTCCAGATGATTGGCTCCAATCACCCAGCCTAAGGCAGGACACATAATCTCTCATTTTCTAGCCTGTGCCTTAACCAGTAGTCCAAACAGGCTACTATGGATATGATCTAGCATCTTTTTCCTGGTCATGTTCCCATGACATGGTCTTCATCTCATCCTCCTTCCTCAAATGAGATGAGCTTCAGTTCTTCTTAGCAGTTCTGGAATGTATCTTTTCACTTTATTCTGACATTTGACACTCTATTCGTCCTTGTCACTAGCAGGGAAATCAAAGGAGTAGCAGGCACTGGGAACAATCAGAGGCAGGGTAGGAATCAGCACTGCAGACAACTAATTTTGCAGTGTAGTTTCCTGAATGGGTAGAGAGCATCACAACTTGGAAATGGAGGTTGGCAGCTCAGGGCAAATTCAGAGACTCCTTGAACTGTTGCAAAGCCAGGTAAGAAAGCTATGAAGATGCCTGTAGAAAGTCAGGTAACAGGAGATCTAGCAATCTGTCTGGAAACCTGGTTAAGGGTTTCCCTAACTATCACCCTTCTCCTGGCCAAAAGGAAAGGCAAAGGAAAGGGAATGAACCCAATTTTGGAACTCCTTGCTTTCACTCAAACCCTCACTAGATATTTTCAGTGTAGATTCTTCCTCTTATCCCCACTTTTAAAACTATCTTGCCTACTAAAAGCCTTGGGTTCAATTTGATGGGATTCCATCTGATGTTTCCTCCTTTCAGAGACCAAATTGCCTTCGCATGGATATCTGGGACCTGCCAAAGAGCGTATGGCCCTCCACCTTCTCCGGACATGTGGATTGGTCTCTGAACACATAGAAACTCGCACTCTGTACGACCCAGCTCTACCTGGAATTGACCAAGTAACCCTTAATCTCACATTCAGATTTTCACACTATGCTTGTTATCTGATAGAAAAAAGAATCAGTCCAGGGAGGGGGGACAATACTGTAAGTTTCAACGGTTGGGAAGGTTGGGAGATTAGAGCACCCAAGGGTTTACCGGACACATTTATTTATCTTCTACAACAGCTCCACAACTTCACAAGTTGGTGGTCTCCATGTGGATTACAAATGCAAATTTTCCACGTTTTCTGGAAATGGGTTCTTGATCTTAATCACCAGGGGGCTGGAGGGGAACATGGAAAGATTAAGCATATACTTTGAGTGGGAAACCCTCTGATCAAGCTTCGCTTCGTCTGTAACCACTTGGCTTTAGTAAATCTGAAGACCTTCAGTCCGACACCATTTTGTTTCAGTTCTCTTGAATTTATTTATTTCAATCCATTTGCTTCCTTTCTGCCAACAGAAAGCTGTGAATTAAACCCATAAAAGATCCCAGTGTTTCCCTTTTGTGAATATTTTAAACCTGAGTTGTACATTTAAGCTCAGTTGGACAAGCCAATGGGATAACTACATTTTAAAAAAAATTCTCGAGGACAAAAGATGATGTGATGTGCTTAGATGACTATTTCATCCATTTCATCTAATATTTGAGTTTTTTATGCCATTTGATTTTCAGACAATAAGGAAAGATATACATATTTTATTGAATATATGAATGAATGAATGAATGAACGAACGAATGAATGAATGGCAGAAAGTCACAAAGCTTTTTAAGATGTAATAAATTATATCAGATCCCCGTGGAGTTTTCTCTCCTTTGTGGACATAGGCAAGGAGCACTGTCAAAAGAAAAGAAGTGAAGATGGTGACCACAGCTGCTTGGTTGAAGCCCCTCCCCCTTTCTTACATGCATTGCATGCACAATGCATGCAAAAAGGAGTGGAATTCCAGATCCAGTCTGCCACCATGACTTTTCTGAGTCCTATGGACATCCCTGATGATGAGGAGGAGGAATTCCTGTTCAGCAAATCTGTCATTATGAATATTGTCCTATAAATCCTGTGCCTCTCTCCTATCCAGGGTAAACTGCAAATGTGGGTGGACATCTTCCCACTTTACTTGGGTGACCCAGGACCTCCGTTTGACATCATCCCACGAAAGACCAGAAAGTAGGTGCTGCCAATTTGTGTCAAGTTGGTTTTCCTAAGGCTAAACGTCAGGCTGCCACCTCAGACTTGCTTGTGCTTCGCTGATATGTGGTGACACTCTGCCATTAACTATTGAGAAGGGGGGCAAAGGGGGTCATGCTTAGGAAATCAAAAGTAGGTGCTGTGCCATCTTGAGAAGCTGCTTCAAGGTTGCCTAGCTGGAAGAAGGAGGGAGCAACATACCAGAACATGCTTGAGCTGACCGTTAGGAAAACAGCTTGCAAGATTTTGATTGGTTACCTTGAGGTGGGAAATAAAAGATACTTATGGAGGGGAAAGGAGAGGAATGTGTAATGTATGGATTTTGGTGCAGGAAGCTCCGGCTGTGCGTTACTGCAATACACTTGATCGCTAATAAAAATGTACCTTTCTCGGGAAATTGAGCCAAGAATTGCTTTTTTACTTAGAGATTTAAGTTTGTGGCAGGTCTGACACTAAATAAATCAAAGCTACCCAGTCAGTGTGATAAAATAGTGAAGGTGTCAGATGAGGGCTGATGCAATCTGGGTTCCAAGTCCTCGGAAATTCTGTAGGTGAATTGATGTAGGAGACAACCAGGTGAGCCCAAGGTCGGGATTAAATGCATCATCAGTTGAAGTCACTACTGATGAGGTAGTAAGAAATCTAAGTCCAGCCTTACCCCCTCCCCTTGATGTCTTTTGAATCCTATCCTGGCTCTATCCTAACCATATCCTGATTTGTTGCACCTGATGCTTGGAACCTCTTTTTTAGCCCAAGGGTCATTTGACCTAGAGAGGAAGGGGCTGGACTAGGAACAGAAAAACCCACATACTGGTTCTTTCTTGGCCACAAAAACTCGCTGAGGGACTCTGGATCAATTACTCTGTCAAGAGCCAGAGTTTGTTTGTTATTTAGCATATGGAAAATCCTGACGTCTTCTCATAATGATGTGTTGTAAGCCAGGAGATCACAAGGACTTTCTGGCTGCCATTGTGAAAAAATTAGCCAATTCTATGTTGATGCTCAGGGGATGCCCAAGCATAGCCTCCTCTTTCTAGAAGCTTCTTCCTTGTCCTCCAAGAAGCAAAGTGGGGTAACGGCAACCTTGTTGAGCTAGGAATGGGAAGGTCCAGGTTCAAGTTCACTCTCTACCATAGGGAAAGTGTAAGGTCCTGCCTCAGCTAGTTCTCCCAAGAAAGCAGACAGCTCAAAGATTCCCCCCTCCCAACAGAATGGCAACGTCCCAATAGGGATCTGAGGGGCCTGACAGAACGTTGTCTTTTCTCTTCTTTCTAGATATGAACTTCGTTGTATAATTTGGAACACCAAAGACGTAGATCTAGAAGATACCAATATTTTTGGAGACAAGATGAGCGACATCTACGTTAAAGGGTATGAGATAAGTGATGTTGGTGGGGAATTGCAGAGTCCCAAACAATTAAGGAAAAACTTCCTGACAGTGAGGACAATTAACCAGTGGAACAGCTTGCCTCCAGAAATTGTGGGCATTCCATCACTGGAGATTTTTAAGAAGAGACTGGACATTTACCTGTCTGGAATGATATAGGTTCTCCTGCTTGAGCAGGGGGCTGGACTAGAAGACCTCCAAGGTCCCTTCTAGCTCTATTCTATTCTAAGGCCTCATCCTGCTTGTTCTCTTCTTTGCATCCCCTGACAGCTACTCCTGGATTCCTACTTCTGCTTTCCTTGTTCATCCCGTAACCCAAAACCATAAACTCTTCTGTGAGAAATGGAGAATCAAAGCAGTCATTGACCGGAGCTTCATTTCCACCACCATCCAGTTCCTTCATGCATTTCCACACAATCTACAGGCCAACAGAGAGTCAATGGACATTGCCACTTTCATTTCTGTCTACGCCTGTTGCATAATGCACCATTCACAACATCTGTCCCCACACTTGAGTTGACTAAAAATATTTCTGTCCCTCTCCTTTGTTTTGGTCCCAGATGGCTGGATGGCCTGGAGGAAGACAAGCAAAGAACAGATGTCCATTATAGGTCCTTGGCAGGAGAAGGCAACTTCAACTGGCGATTCATATTTACTCTGGATTATTTGCCCATGGAGCAAGTTTGTGTCCTCACTAAGAAGGTGGGTGGAAGCATAGGGGCATAAGCTGGCTTTTAGTTCCCGTTCTCTCTCCCCCCCCCCCTCTCTCTCTCATCTCATTTGCCCTTTATAAACCCTTTGGGAGACTGAAATCCAACTCTTTGAAGAACTAGAGTGGTTAAGACACCAGGCTAGAAAGCGGTTGACCATGAGTTCAAGTCCCACCTTAGCCATGAAATTCAGCTGCAACACACAGCTGGATCCTACTTAAGTAGTGGCCCCCTTAGGACACTTAGATCCCTCGCACAGTCACTATGGTTGATGCCCATTTTCCTCCCGTCCGTTTTTCTTTGCAGCAACATTTTTGGAGTCTGGATGAGACCATGCAGAAAGTACCTCCAAAACTGATCATCCAGGTCTGGGATAATGATAAATTCTCAGCTGATGATTTCATAGGTAAGATTTTTGAACATGGCTGGATGAGGAATTCTAGGAGTTGAGGTCCACAGGTCTTAAACTTGCCAAGCTTGGACACCCCCTGGTATGAGATCTCCTGCTCAAGCAGAAGGTGGATTGGAAGACCACCCAGGTCCCTTCCGTTATTCTGTATTCATGTAAGCTACCTTGAGCTCCTGGAGAGTAGGCAGGAAATAAATCCAATACAGGTAGTCTATTTCAATAACTGCAATTGAAACTGGCAACTCGGTCATTAAACAAAGCAATTGCTGAGTGAAAAATCCCGTGATCGTGCTTATGATTTTATGGAGGACAGCACATCCTGGCTTCAATGGCAAACACATGATAATGCGAAAGACTTAAATGCGGGTATTAGTTGCAAAGTTATGTTTTCAGCACCATTTGTAACTGCAAACGGTCGCTGTCCAAGGTAGCTACTAAACAAGGACTATCTGTAATAAAATTGCAGGAAAAAATGCAAGAGAATGCATCATCTGTAAGAAAGAATAACTTCAGTTTCTCCATGCTCATCTTGGATTCTCCAAGCGAAGTTGGTCCATTTGCGCTATTTCATGTATTTATTTGCTTACTTTTCTGGTAAGCCCTGCTCTTAGGCTATTCTGTAAAACTAGGCCAGCTTTGGAGGATACAAAATCCTCTGCTTTGCTTCACATCTTCATGGTTGGAAGCATCAATGGAGCTGATGTCCAAACAATCTGATGTGCATCTTTGAGAGAAGCTGATGAGGATTTGGAGTCAGAAGATAGAATCATAGGGTTGGAAGGGATCTTGGAGGTCTTCTAGTTCAACCCCCTGCTCAAGCAGGAAACCCTACACCATTCCAGACAAATGACTGTCCAATCTCTTCTTTAAAAACTCCACTGATGGAACACCCAGAGCTCCTGAAGGCAAGCTGTTGCACTGATGAATTGTTCTAACTGTCAGGAATTTCCTCCTTACTTCTAGATTGGACCTCTTCTTGATAACTTTCCATCTGTTACTACTTATCCTGCCCTCAGGTGCTTTGGAGAATAGGTGGAGCCTCTCTTCTATGTGACAGCCCCTCAAATGTTGGAAGACTGTTATAATTCCACTGATTAATTGTTCTTATTGTCAGGAAATTTTCTCCTTAATTCTACGTTGAATTTCTCTTTCATGATCTTCCACCTGTTACTTCTTGCAGCTTTTTCATGCACAGCCTTAATTGGTCCAATGTAACCTGACTGCTTAGGTCTCGGTGTTACCTTCTGTGAATCACTGGATCATAGAACATAGAATCAATGGAATTCAAGAGGAGTTAGACTTAGACCCTTTGTGGGAACATGCTTAACTCTGCCCCCCCCCCAGCTCTGCCTGCTGCTAAAATAAGACAGATCAGACCCTGCTTGAAAACTGAGTTAGTAGACCTCACCAGACTGTGTGAAAAGCAGGGTGGATATTTGTGATTTTAAATATCATGGATCCCATTGTCTTAGCATATCATAAAAGCCAGGATATCACAGTAAACCACCATGTACATTTTTGGGGGGAGACAGCATGTGGTGTGAACCCAGTTGTAATATCTTGTTAGCCCAAGATTAACATAGTATGTGAACCCAGCTGAAGCAGGCTAGCATCATCACTCTTGATTCATAGGGCTGGAAGGGACCTTGGTGGTCTTCTAGTCCAACCCCCTGCTCAAGACAGGAGACCTTATATATATATATTTTATTAAAAATTTTATTGACTTTTATAGGGTTGGGGATAGAATAGGATCGGGATAGGGATTAGGGTTTAGAGTTGGGGTCAATATTGGGGTTATCCCCCAATAACATTTTCAATCTTTAGCAAGCAGACTCTTGTCTGGGTACATATGTTCAGTTAACAATAGTTGATGTAATAATAAGTAACTGTAATAAGTGTAATAAATGATCATCATAAACAGTATCAGTTAGTTAATGCATATCATTCTTCTTACTAATATATACTCAAAATAACATATCACATTCATTTCTCACTAGTTCGTTTTCCTAACCATTTTTCTTCCTCCTGCAGGCAATCTGGAAATAAACTTGACCAGCATCCCACGACCGGCCAAGCGGCCTCGTGATTGCACTTTGAAAGTCCTGCAGGACAGCAGCGCTGCTGGCTCTCCCAGCCCTTTTCGCCGACGCAAACAAAAGTGCATCTCCCTGTTCACCCAGAGGAACATGAGGGGCTGGTGGCCTTGCATCGTCTTCGAGAAAGATAAGCCACGAGTGTCTGTAAGTCAGGAAAAGATGGGGGCAGGGGGAGAGTGGGCTGTCTCTAAAACATCCAATTACAGGTTGTCCTCGACTTACAACAGTTCATTTAGTGACCGTTTGAGGTTACAACAGCACTGAGAAAAGGGACTTATGACTGTTTTTCACACTTGGGTCACGTGATCAAAATTCAGAGGTTTGGCCATTGATTCATATTAATGATGGTTGCAGGGTCCCAGGGCCACGTGATCATCTTCTGGCAAGCCAAATCAATGGGGGAAACCAAATTCATTTAACAACCATGTTACTAATTTAACAATTGTGCCAAGAAATGTGGTAAAATGAGCAAAACTTACTTAGCAAATGGTTGATTTCACTTAGCAAGTGAAATTTTGGGCTCAAGTGTAGTCATAAGCTGAGGGTTGCCTAAATGCTATTGGATATTGGATTCTCTGCACAATGGATCAGGCAATGTTGGACCAGTTAAGAACTTGGAGTACTGGAATCTCTCGTCTCTTGAGGATCACTCAGACCTCGGCTTCTAAATTTGAGTTTATATTCCATTAGGAGGCAGATGTGTTCATTTTTAAGCCCTCCATCTTGGAAAGATCGTTCTTCTGAAATATTTTATTTCTTCAGCATCTCCATGTCTTTGAACCAGCATCCCACAAAATGAAGCCTCCCAGATGTATGTGTTATGAATGGCCGTGAACTCATCTTGGAGAACATCAGCCTGGGGAAAGTCTGGTTCAGACCAACCCAAAAGACTGAAGTATCTTGCTGGTGTTTATGCTCCAGATTCATGTCTACCAATCCAGACAGCACAGAATATTTCCTGCAAGTCTATGATGGCTGTTTGAATTCATCCTACATGATGTCTTAAGACATGGAGTACTAATAAAGGAAGACTGAGCAAAGTACCCAAGTTCTTAAGGCTGACATATCGGTTATCCAATGCTTTGGTCCACAAATTGGGATCCCACTTTTGCTTTATGCATGAGATATATCACCGGGAATGACTTTTTACTCCAACCCATGTTCTTGTGTCTCTGGCTTTCTAGGGTAAGATTGAAATGAGTCTGGAGTTGCTGACTGATCTTGAGGCTGAAGAAATGCCAGCTGGGAGAGGAAGAGAAGAGCCCAACACAAACCCCTTTCTGAAGCCACCAGAGTAAGATCAGAACATGGGTGTCCTCTGGCACAAAACCTGGTGGAGGAGGAGTGACTGTCCTCAGAAGCGTGATGCCTCTCATCTTTAGACAGTATGGAAAGAAGTGGTAGTCTTACATCATCATTCACAGGGATTGGCAGGTTTTGAGGCAGGAAAGTATTTCCAAAGTGCTTTTCCAAAAGGCAACCGGATGTTCTTGATTTCTTTTTCCTTTGAAAATATTTTTCTTTTCATCCTAGAAGCTTCTTCAGTTCTCTTTCTTAGGTGAAATTGTCCGTAGTTGCTTAGTAGTTGGGAGAACTGAAGAAGCTTGTTTCTCTTCGCTTTCTTTCAAAGAAAAAAACCAAGAGAGTTCGGTTATCTTTTGGAAAAAGCACATCTGGGACAACCATAACCTGGATGATTGAGAATCTCAACAGACAGGCAGGAAAGTGCAAATTAAACCACCTTCATCCCAATTAGTTTACCCTGACCAGGGTTAAAAGACTCTGAAAAATGTATGCTAGAGAAACCACAATCTTTGACAGAAGTCTTGTAGATGCCATGGGCAATGTATGTTTCTCCCAATGCCCCAGTGACACCATTGTGGGGTCCTTCAACTGTGGAGTCCAGGATGGAGCAGAAATTAATGGCAAGGGATCAACGATGCCAGACCACCCTGGCTGGTCTTCAGCTGATGAGTGAGCATAAGCAAATAAAAGATGAATGAAGCTAAGATGAATACAACTGCTATCTCATCACTTCTTCTCTCTTCATTCTTCTCCCTCAAACTAGGAGACCGGAGACCTCTTTCCTATGGTTCACAGCCCCCTTAAAGAGCATCCATTTTATTATATGGCAGAAGAGTAAATGGAAGATCCTGATTTTCATTTGCATCCTGCTGGTGATCTGGCTATTTGTAGATTTCATCTACGCAGCTCCAGTAAGTCTTCTGAGAAAAGAATGTAAAAATGTAACCCTGAAGGGGAATCATGCACTATAAGTAGTAAGGGTGGGACTCTTTCAGCCATATGAGTGCTACTCATGAGAAAGAGAGAAAAATGAATAATAGAGTACAGCTTTCACTGGTTTCCACCATCTTCTAACTTTCTTTACTCAGGGTTATCTGGCCATGAAGTTAGTCAATCCAATGAAATCCCAGGGTCCATCTTGGTTCAAGCAGTCTTCGAAGAATAATATTAACACAAGCTTTCAAATAACATGGACAACCTCAGAAATAATGCAGACAATTTCAAAGCTGTCATTGCCATCAGCATCTCCCAAGAGAGGATCATCAGCATCTCCCAAGAGAGGATCATCAGCATCTCCCAAGAGAGGATCATCAGCATCTCCCAAGAGAGGACCACCAGCAGCTCCCAAGAGAGGACCACCAGCAGCTCCCAAGAGAGGACCATCAGCAGCTCCCAAGAAGGGACCATCAGCCCCAAGAAAGGACCACCAGCAGCTCCCAAGAGAGGACCATCAGCAGCTCCCAAGAGAGGACCATCAGCAGCTCCCACGAGAGGACCATCAGCAGCTCCCAAGAGAGGACCATCAGCAGCTCCCAAGAGAGGACCATCAGCAGCTCCCAAGAGAGGACCATCAGCAGCTCCCAAGAGAGGACCATCAGCAGCTCCCAAGAGAGGACCATCAGCAGCTCCCACGAGAGGACCATCAGCAGCTCCCAAGAGAGGACCATCAGCAGCTCCCAAGAGAGGACCATCAGCAGCTCCCAAGAGAGGACCATCAGCAGCTCCCAAGAGAGGACCACCAGCAGTTCCCAAGAAAGGACCACCAGCAGCTCCCAAGAGAGGACCATCAGCAGTTCCCAAGAAGGGACCATCAGCAGTTCCCAAGAAAGGACCACCAGCAGCTCCCAAGAAAGGACCACCAGCAGCTCCCAAGAAAAAGCCTCCAGCAGTTCCGAAGAAAGTTCAAAGCCAACTCCTGCCAACAACAGCTCTCAAGAAAATGTCATCAGCAACTTCAAGTAAAGTTCCAACAACCATGCTGAAGAAAGTGCCACCAAGACCTCTGAAGAAAGCACAGCCAACAACATTGAAGAAACTGCTGCCAACAACTTTGAAGAAAGGATCACCTCCTATCTCAAAAAAGCCATCTCCTAAGAAAACATCAAAAACAACTGTTCCAAAGCCACCACAACCAACTGGCAAGAAATTATGGGCTACTTCTCCCAAGAAAAGCAGCTCCCCTCCCAAATTTCCAATTCCTAAAAAAAGATTGATAACACTGAAGACACCCCAAAAATAGTAGTAATTCATCAAAAGAAATTCCTTGGATATCACCAACTGCTAAGATCCTAGTCTGTTACAGTTAAGTGATGATTTTTTGTTACACAGACAGAAATCCTGCCCTGTTCTTCACAGTCTATTTGAAATGTCTTGCACCAAAGGACTGTTCTTGCTTCATCTTCCCTGTTGCCCTCAAAGGAACTATAAGAGTAGAAACACTCAGTCTTCTATGAAGTTGGTGCCATCCTTCCAACTTTTTCACTTCTGTGATGATGATTTGCAGCAGGAGAAAGAAAAGAAAGGAGTGATGGAGTAGGGCAGGGCTTCAAAAAAGGTAGATTTCTGAACTCTGTCCTAGGATCTCCAAGAGGTGAAGAAGGCTTCTCCTCAAAATGAATGTAGGTCAGGAGGAGTCAAAATCTTGTTATAGAATTAGAATCATAAATAGTTGCAATGCAGTTACACATGTTTCAGTCCTCACTTGAGGCAAGTCATACTATACAAATAAATATGCCATCGATGGTCCTGTTTTGATATTTGGGATAAGATAGTTCTTTAAAAAAAATATTAAAGATTTTTTTCAGAGTAAAAAGCAAATCAAAAGAGAAAAGGAAAGTAAGACAAAAAGTGGGAAAAAATAATAAATAAATAAATTTAAGAAACGTTATGACATCTGACCTTCATTTCAACAGAGTTACAATCTTGCAGTCCTTTCTCATCTTAGATATTACACAAGTCCCTTCAGACCCTCATTTAATTCACATCTTTCTTAATCTTCAAACCCAGACATCATCATATCAATTCTTTCTTCTTTCAGCAAAATGTCCATATAAAGCAGGGGTCTTCAAACTTGGCCCTTTGATGACTTGTGGACTTCAACTCCCAGAATTCCTCAGCCAGATTTCATTTTTGTCCTCTTTTCAGGCACTGAGTCTGCAATATTTTATTGTTGCCACCAGATTGCAGTGTTTCACAAAAATTCCATTATAGTCCGCCCTCCTGTAAGCCGCAGAGAAAACAGAACTAAATGAACTAATTCTATTTCAAGAAGAGAGATTCCATGGATGAAAATCCTATAGGGATTTTTCCTGTTCAAGACACTTGGGAAACTATAAAAAACGAGATAATAAACACCCAAACAAAAACAATACTATCAAGAAAGAAAAATTAGAGACTCCAGATGAAACCAGCCTGGTTGCACAAAGAATAACAGAATAAGAGAGTTGGATGGATGGGACTTTGGAGGTCATCTAGTCCAACTCCCTGCTCAGGCAGGAAACCCTATACCATTTTAGACAAATGGCTGTCCAGTCTCTTCTTGAAAACTTCCAGTGTTGGAGCATTCACTGCTTCTGGAGGCAGCTTGTTCCACTGGTTAATTGTTCTAACTGTCAGGAAGTTTCTCCTTATTTCTAGGTTGCTTCTCTCCTTGATTAGTTTCCACCCGTTGCTTCTTGTCCTGCCTTCCGGCACCTTGGAAAATAGCTTGACTCCCTCTTCTTTGGGGCAGCCCCTGAGATATTGGAACACAGCTATCATGTCCCCCCTCGTCCTTCTCTTCGTTAAACTAGACATACCCAATTCCAGCAGCCGTTCCTTATATGCCCTTCATTTTGCCCTACATTTTGCCCTTCTCATTTTAGAAGACAGGTGTCAGAAAGCAGGAGTCCCAAGGGAGAGGTCAGACAATCACTGCATCTTTTGACCTCTTCTGACCACGGTCTTCCAGGACAATCCCGCAGGCTGGCATTACAAACACAAATGTGACTTTCCCAGCTTCTATCAGGCGCTGCCCATGACGCTCATAAGCGAGGCAGGGGCATGACCCACCCCTCTTTTGAGAGCCTAGGCCTGTGGCATTCAGAGCAGGGCTTCATTTGTGGACAGTTAGCATCTGAGAAGCTGGGAGGAGGCCAAAAGCTCTGGAGGCCGGCCGGCGTGGTACATTCCATTCCTTCCAAGATCTCTTACAGGCCTGTTTCAACAACATCACTCTGAATCGCTTCTTGAAATTAACTCTGCTTTGTTTTTCTTTTTCTCCTCCTCTCCCCAGTTCCTGCCAGGGCCCCTGTATTATTCTTAACATTGGCTCGGGATCTATCTGCTTGGATAGATCAACCAGCCAAATGTGGCATCTTTGCAACTTGGGAACATTTTTTTTCCTTTCATACCTGTGTGTCTTTTACTAGCTGCTAAAAAAAAAAAAAAGTTTGTTGCCCTCAGTGGCAACATCTAATTGTCTTTGACTTAGCTCAGAAAGATTAAGTGGAGCCACATCTGGCCTGGACTGGGAAGGGGGGCTAATTACAACTAGAAACTTGGTAGGAAGCTGGGGGGGGGGGAAACTTCAAAAGAATGTAGAGGCAGATCACTTCCTCGTGGATTAACTGTTTGCTTCTGGCCAAAGATTACAAACAATGTTTAATGGCTTCAAATAAGCAACTCCCTTTTTACAGCCCTGTAAGTGAAAGCAAGAAAAGGATAAGATAATCAAAACAGCGGGCCATTAGGGAGGAAATACAACTCTAATCAAAACAGCGGGCCATTAGGGAAAAAATACAACTTGGTGATTCAACTGGCAATAAAAAGATCTAATCAGTTACCAATTAATGGTCAACAAAGAAAGACAGCAGCAAATGTTGTAGGTCCTATCAAGGACACAGAAACACTACAAGAAATAAATAACTATGTGATTGGGTGCAAATTTAAAAGGCCCAGAGATTTGTCCATATTTTCTTCATCTAGTACAGCAGTCTCTAATGCTTTTAGCTTTGCGGACCAGTGGCGGTAGTAGTGGCTGCGGTGGTGGTGGTGGTGGTGATGGTGGTGGTGAGAGCCTGTATGCACAATTCCATTTGTGCAAGTGTCCAGTGTGTCCAGTAAGTTGAGCTGCGCATTCCTCCCTTCCTTCCTCTTTCCTCCCTCCCTCCTCCCTTCTCCTCCCTTTCTTCCTCCTTTTTCCTTCCTTTCTTCCTCCCTCCTTCTTCCTCTCTCCCTCCTCTTTCTTTTCTTCCTATCTACTTTCAGATGGATGGACTCCAACTCCAATTTCAAGGCTGGCTGGAGAGTTCTGGGAACTGAAGTCCACAAATCTGAAATTTGCCAAAGTTGAAAAAACACCAGTTGCAGTCAATGGGAGCTGAACTCAATTGCAGGTGGAGGAAAACTTTATAATAACTGGTGGACAACACAATGTCGCCATCTCAATGGGCTATGCCACAAACTAAGAGAATCGCAGCTTTTGTTTTCTAAAACAGTATTTTAAACAGAGTAAACATGGCTTCCTGTTCTTTTAAAAAAACATGGATGTTCTTGCCAGGAAAAACCTGCTGCTATTTTGCCCATGTCCTTTTCATCTCCTCTACCTTTAGCTGGGTGGTAATCTGAATTTTCCGTCCTTGGGTCACGGGGCTCAAATTCTCATATTGTCTGTTGGTGTGATTAACTGGAATTGTGACAGGAAAGGCAGCAAACTGAAGTGACAACTGTCTTTCTTGAGCCAAGAGAGAACAGTTGAAAGAAAATGCTTTTTTGTGCCAAGGAACATGCTGTTCCACACTGCATCCCTTCATCTTCGGTGAGGGTCATTTTTTACATTGACCATCAGGGTACAATGTTATTTCATCCCTTCTAAATAGAACCCTGTACTTCAATGATTCAATATATTTTCAAAATATATTAATATTTCAAATCCAGCTACTATGCAGAATTAGTAGAGGCAGCAGAATCTTTATCAATTCAGAACACTTCATTGGGGAGCCTTTGACTTCTTCAAAGTTGCTCCAGGCAAAAGGGGAAAGTGTGGAAACAATTTAGACTCACCAATGATTTAGTAACTTATATCCCTAATTGGAGAGAAGTTTGTATGAAAGGAAAAGAGAGTGCAAGCTAGTCTTGACCTTCAAAATGTTTTCGTTCCAGTCAAAGAAATGCCAATTTGAAAACCGTGAAGGAAAATCTGGCATGGTTTTTATTTTGGAATTCTAAAATGAAAATAAACAACTCGAGGGATTAAACAATTTAGTATCTAGAGAAGCTAAACCCTTGTTTTTTTCAAATTCAGCAACTTAAATTAAAAAATATATGGGCTTCAATTCCCAGAATTCCCTCACCAGAACCTTAAAGGTGACAAGTTTGAAAAACACTGATCTACTTACTGTACATTAAAACAGTCCAACTACTATACGTATGAAGTGCTTCCCTCGGATAAACCATGGCAGAAATTTAAAATGCTGGTGTTAGGATCTGTTTTTCTTCTTGGTGGTGACTGAACCATAATTGGCTGACAATCAGACAAAGACACTAAAAAATAATGACTTTTATTATTATTATTTATGTTTTATTGTGAGGGTCCCGGAATCATTGAGTTTCAGGTGGCATACACATTTAATAAATTAATTCTTATTATGTACACAATAGCTTCTCCATTTTCTTGTTTATTTTTCCCATTTCCCACCTCTTTTTACAGTATTTCAAAATTGCTAAATTTGTTTTATTCATTATTTTTCTTTTATTACCACATATAAAACGCATGCATCCTTATTTTTTATGCTCCCTACCTTCTCTATAAGGGTGACTCTGGGTGGCTATTCATTTATACCCACACAAAGATATACAAAAAGCAACAATATGATGAAAATTTTAATAATAAGTAACTTAGCTTAAGACCTTTTTTGTAAACTTTTATTGTAAAACAAATACTTTCATTATTTTTATTTAATTTTGAAGAAAATAATGAAAAC